ACTCTTATGTTATGCGTTTAATTAAAGCTTTTTTAGCGAAAGCACTATTGTCATTTTGAAAATAGATAATAATAAAAATAAAGCCCGTTTTATTTCCAATCATGACAAAAACAAATAATAATATACAGCTTAGATTATTTTACATGTTTCTTTTCTTGTTGTCCTATATCCTAGCTACCTTTAGTACCGTCGTTCGGAACCCTTATCACGGGTAAAGGCCTGCTCCAGCTTTTTCTGACAACTGACTCTGTTTATGGCTCTCTTTCTCCATTCGTTTCCTGCTAACGCTTCTATTTCTTCTATACACCTTTTTTTTGAGCGACCTATTCTCCTTCTTCCTCTTGGTCCTTTCCATACAGTTGTCTTTAAAGTCCACCTTTTATCTGTGTATCTTGCTATATGCCCCGCCCATTGCCACTTCTGTTTTAGGCATAATGTAAGGCATCTATCACTTTTGTTTTTGTCTTATTTTTTCACTTTAAATTTTATGTATTTTGAAAATAAGATAACGTGACAAAACATTATGAACTTTTTACGTCCTTTATTTTGGGAGAGCCGGTGGAGTGTGTGTATTTATTTAAGGTTATAAAGTTTTTCATGTCCGCTATTTAGCGAGGGTGTACCTTATCAACCGTTCAACGTACCCAACCCTTTCGTAAATATTTACCACCCCTAATTAGTTAAGTGCTGTCAAGTTTGTTGATTGCAAAGATCGTTCAACGCTCCACTTAGTGATTGTAATCCCTTTATAATATAACCTATTTTTACTATATATTATTATATATAAATTACGTGTCACGTTGTTTGTCCGCTATGGACTCCTAAACTACCGAACCGATATCAATCAAATTTGCACACCGTGTGCAGTTTGATCTAACTTAAAAGATAGGATAGCTTACATCTCTATTTATACCCGCAATATTATTTTATTGCAAAATATTTGTTTATTATTTGATAGTAACAATTCTAACAGATGGCGCTGTGTTGAAAGTACCAAGGTTTCACATAAGCTACAATTTAATGGCATAACCACCAAAAAAGCATGGTGGTCCCCATGACTAGTGTTCTCCTAGATAGAGATAATGTAACTTTTTCTACAGCTGTGATACTTTTTTGACATTCAACACCTTTTGTCTTCAGTCACCATAACCACGCACGCTGTAAAGCACGCGAAACGTCGGTTAAATTTAAAATTATGAAAAATAATTGTAAATTAATAATACATAACTTTAATCCGGTTAAAAAGTGTTTTCTTTGAAATTTTTCGAATAATTTTTTCCCTTCTACCAACACGCCGTTTATCCTGGATTTTACCTATTTAATTAATTGAAGGAGGTGACAGCGGTCATTGCGCAATACATACCCTGGTTCGCAACTTTCCGTTCTTTAATGTTCTGCATAAGTTTTTTCGTTAAAAAGTTTCCTATGCCATTACAATTCTTAAAATGAAAGCTAGATGACGGTCCTAAAAGAACCACTGTTCGCGATTATCCTTTCAAATAATTTAGCGTTTCCGGCCTAGTGGGTAGTACGATATATCATTAGGACACGTGACGTCACACCAACTTCCTTATCAAAACCTATTCGGGAGATACAGGAGCGAATTAATATCATGCAAATATAGTCTCTTTGTATGTGTGATAAAATTGATTTTCGCATGTTATAATTTCATAATCGGCTCGCGCCATTGAAAGTGACAATAGGCCGTGTGCCTTGAATGACAATAACATTGGTTTTAATCGAAGTTTTGAATCACTTTAATTATGCAAGTTGGTGATTGACCGTATTCAACGAAGAACGGTTCGATTCGTCGACGACCAATCACTTTCCGAGCGGCTTGATCCCTTGGAGTTGCGTAGAGATGTGGGGTCTCTCTGCATCTTTTACCGCATTTAGCGAAGATGTTCGGATGAATACCTGCAGCTGAGTTTCATTATCGGTCATCGAGACAATACGAATTTCTACCCGTATCACCTCGACGTCCGTCGTTCCATAACTGAGCGCTTTTTAAAGCACTTTTTGTGTACCACCACTATGTAGTACCAATTCCTTAAAATCCGACAACGCACTTGCGAGCCTTCTGGCAGCGAGTGTCCATGGGCGGCGGAATCACTTAACATCAGGTGAGCCTCATCACAGGTTGCCTCCTTTATTATAAAAAAATGTACGTGTAGAGCATTAAATTTGTTATAGGATATCTAATATGGACTTTTCTATATTCAAAGTAGTACCAAAGATATTTTAGAAAAATATGTACTAATATTCGCTCGAAGAATACAAATAACTCGTAATAATTACGAATAGTATTAGGAATATAGAACCTAGACATTAGATTGAAGATTATAAATTCATCAATAATTCTTAAAATATAATACGTCATTAGATCTAATTCGCATTTATGGATTTTTAGCATATTAGCGATTTATGTACATAAAAACCTTCCCAGAACCTACATAACCTATGTACGTACTAAATATTGTCAAAATTAATTTAATAACCTAGAAAATTGGACAAATTATATCGGTTTCCCATAAACGTTATTTAGGAGGGTGCGGTGCGCATACTGAAGATTAAGCGATGAAGCTTTTCCGATATCAAAAGCTTTTAATGTTATTATCGTTAATGTTTAACGAATTTTGGGCAATCAAACAATTTGGGCCTGTAGCTACATATTTGTATGAAATTTTCCCAGTTTAAAAAAATACAATAAATCAGTAGCGCTTCAAGCTCTAGGTATTGGCGTCCGATTTCTGAATTTGTTTCATGATCATTTTTAAATCTAATAGGCAAGCAGGTGATCAGCCTCCAGTGCATGACACACGCCGTCGACTTTTTGAGTCTAAGACACGTTGGTTTCCTCACGATATTTTCCTTCACCGTTCGAGCAAATGTTAAATGCGCACATAGAAAGAATGTCCATTGGTGCACAGCCGGGGATTGAACCTACGACCTCGGGTATGAGAGTCGGATGCTGAAGCCACTAGGCCAACACTGCTTTTTTCTTAAATTTTGCCAGTTTAGTAAGTACAATAGATTTATTTTGAACTTAATAACTCTTTCAACGTCATTAATAATTTGTTACCGTTAGGCAAACGTGTTGAAACACTAAATTGATGTGTTGCAATGAAATATAAATTAATGTTAGTTAACCTGGTTCGAACATATTTGGAACGGACATAAAACATGTACAGTTAGCTGCTTCCTAGATTTTAACATGACGGTTACAGGGAATTTCGTAAATAAATAAACTGTTAGGGCTACCACGTCTAGATTATATTCATTGCTCAGGAATTGTAACTAAAGTCTATTGCTAGATTAATCTTTACATATTTGTAACCGGTCTTCTATCATATCATGACGTGCTAGCTGAGCATGGAATAGTTGAGAGTTGAGAGAGAGAGTTAATAGAAGTGTGATTAAACAGTAGTAGATATTTAATTTATACGTGACATTCGTTTTGATACAAAATTTGACCGAAGTCAATATATCAGATAAGAGAGTCAGATCTTTCGCAGTTTCGGAGTTCACCAGTGGTCTTTATGTACTCTTCTTTCTCACCCAATTTGTCACGCTTTTAAGATATTAATCCTTTAGAATGTAGCACGGCACCAACAATTAACCCATAAACCACAAAAACTAAATGTCTAGACAAAATATTTATAAAATGGGAAATAAGTAATCATTCAGTGGCGACCCTACATTTTAGGCCTTGGCCTTAACTTTATGTATCTGTTTCGTTGTCTTTTGTTATTCTAATAGGCAAGTAGGTGATCAGCCTTCTGGGTGTGACCACGCTATCCAATTTTTGGTTGTTTGTGTGCGTGTGTGCGGCCACATAGTTGAGTGTGTAGCAACATAATGAGTAGCTAATATTTTATTGCACTCGGGAATAACGACCGGTGCTACCAATTATACGCTACACACTGTCGTAATAGAAAATGTGTGGTATACATAAACCACTACAGTTGTAAGGAATGCCGGTATCACGATGTTTCCTTCACCAAACTCCATTCTTTTCCTAAGAAAAGTCTCGGTACTCTATTACTAATTATATTCAATGGCAATATATAAGCGAAACCTCATCTAGACACTAAGCAGACATAATGCGGAATAATCGAAGTATATTTTTTTTTAAACTACGCTGCGCTGAATATTTATGTTGACCTATACTAGAATATTTGTTTATATTCCTGGTAACCCTAATTCTGGAATATAGTTTAGCTCACGATTTACGACCCAGTAAAACTCGGTGGCTGCTACGTAATTGTATACATACCGACTTACGATGTTTTAGTTTATTGATAATAGGAGTTAAGGAGAAACTGCTCCCAAGATACCGAAACACGATACTTGATACTTCTTCCGTGATCTTGGTTTCTACGTTTCAAATTGAAAAAATTATGAAGGCATTTGGGAGATGTTTCAGACATCTGTTTGATACTTATTTTTTTGGAAATAAGCAAGGGAGCGTTCAAGTATTACGTAACGAATTTGGGGGGGCGGGGGGGTCATTTTGTAAAACGTTACGATGCGGGGCGGAGATTGAATTACGCGTTATTGTTAATATTATTTTCGACTTTCACACCACATAATGGTATCTTTTAGGTATAAAGATCCACTTTGGTGGACACGATTTGGGTATTGGGTACAGAAAAACGTTACGGCCCGTTACATGGGGGGTAGGGGGGCATCTGCTTCACATGTATATCGAATGTCTGGTTCTTATCACCTTGTGTCACTTTGCAAATTAAACGTAACAAACTATTGGTTTACTAATGTACACAATCCAAAATACATACTGCGCTGGCGCAGCGACTCAAACACTAGTGCTTGCCATTTTTAACCGTCTTAAAAACGAAAGGAGGAGGTTATCAATTCTACGTGTAATTTTTTTTTATGTACAAGTACTTTTTCTTTTATTTCAGGAAACTAGTAGCACAATTTAGCCGCGAAGAAACATCACTACTCGTTCTTCGCGTGATGGTGGGTTTGATAATTCTCTACGACTGGGTACATCCCTCGGGTGCCTTCTGCCGTTCCTCTTCAGTGGATGTTAAAGGATGTGTCAAATTCCTCCAACAGCAGCCTCCACCCAAAGCGGAACCTTTGTTAAACGCCCTGAGATATACCACCAAGCACCTAAACAGCCAATCGACGCCAAGGAATATTCGGGCTTTGCTAGCCGCGTGAGGACAGCATTCGAGCTTTGCATGTTGCTGTGGGGAATGATGTGACAATAATTCATGGGGATTTCTCGTTGGCATTTCAGTTGCATAGCGCCGTTTGAGTACCAGGGAATCAACGGTTACATTCAGAGTCGAAACTAAGCGCGAACTGTGACTATCAAATTCAATACGTTTTTCACACACGGGAGTTGAAGTTAGCGCTGTCTCGACTCTTTCTGTTTGTAGCCTCAATTCTCTCATGCTCAGGTCTTAAATCGTGAAATCGGTTGACACTCTACTAAATTATAATTTCGTGGCTGTTTTCATGGCTTTAAAGTTCCTTGTGCGATTGAGTTTCAACCGATTTGCAAATTAATGTTAGTGTAAGATTTGGAAAGAGGGGTTATTCATGAAATTCAAGTAAAATATTGTGAATAACCCTGATGAAAGTGGTTTTAAAGGATTGCGTGTCCTTATTTTCCTGCTTCTTCGTGATATTGACATATTGAAACTATTTTTAATTTTGCGCTTTAGGACTGCCATAAATGTACTGAGAGTTTGGGTTTATTTCCAATTTTGGCAGCCGGCATTTATGTATAAATATATATAGTTGAACAAATTAGTACACTTTAGACGAAGCTTCAAAAGCTAATATATTTTTTGAGAAATCATTCCCTCCCCCACTCAAATGCAAAGTTACTTCACAACTCGTACAGAATTTATATAATAGTCGCTAACTGTTAGAATTAAGATACTAAAGTCTATTGGAGTAGGAGAGAGTATTAACTATGTTAAGGAATAATAATTATCTTTTAATTGGTTACCACAAATATTGTGCAATGAGTCCCAGTGAACACACTGAACGAGTCCTCTATGGGTTATGAAAAGGACTTGACTGTGCTGCAGTTACAAAACTTATTTGTGCTATGACCACACTTCCCTTAAGTTTATCTACTTGTTAAATAATCTGGTTAGAAGTATTTATGTCATGGTATGGTAAAATAATGGATGAAATATTTTTGGTAACCCAACGAATTATAACTAACACGTAAACGTAAGGTAACAATTTAAAACACGGGATTCCTCCCTACCACTAATCTAGACCGTATATCCTAGTCGAAGTATAGTGGTAAATGTTTCCAAAATATCGTATATTGCACTGCCTCAAACTTTTAAATTTTGTGGTACGGTTTGATACATTTTTACAATATATTTTACGCTATATATTATTGTTAAGCCGCATACGCTCAATTTATCTGGTCAGAGTATTTGATTCATAAATGCTAAAACAAGTAAATCTTTACCCAATTAACGTAAAGATTTTGGAATTAATAATGTAAAAGTATAGTGTTTCTAGATTTTCGTTTTGAATGAGGCCGAATGAGTCTAGTCTTCCATTTCATTCTCTATAATTCACTAAAGCTTAGGTTTCCTAGAAAAGCGGTGCCGTTATCCAACGGCCGTAATGTAACGTTGGGTGACGTCACCCATACGTTGTCTATAAATAACATCGGAGCAGGTTTTCTAGAGAACGTTGAGTGTCACCGTAACGTCAAATAGTGGTGCTGTCATTTGCATGACGGCCGTCAGAGCGGTGGTAAACATTAGTTCAACGTTTTTTGCCTGTAGCGGTGCCCATATTTAATTAATACAATGAGTGGAAACGTGATTTGGACGAGCGAAAATGATTGTTTTTTTGCATTAAAAAGTAAATACGGCCGTTATTAACAACTGTAAAATGACGGCCGTTAGTTAACGGCACCGCTTTTCTAGGAAACCTAAGCTTAAGCAAAGCAGTTTTTAACCCATCTCAGTAATAATTATAATTTTAATAATCTTTGATTACATTAGATTGTACTGAGCATGTATTGAATATTTCGTAGTTATTAGATAATTGCACAAATAGCACATTAATGTTATTTAATCATGTAGTTATTTTGTCATAATTCTGATGTTCAAAACCCCTTCAAATTGTATACTTTACTAGAAAGACCGCTTTGGTCTCTCATATGAAAAAATATGATTTAACTTTTGAACAACAGAATTACTATAACCTTGTTGAATTTAGTAATGTGCGTATCGCACAAATTGAATAAATCTGTCACTGCCCAATTGATAATATTGTATTTGACGTTTTTTCCAGGACAAAATTTAATAAAATATATAAGAACTCATTTAATGAAATATTTGATGTTAAGATTATTTGTCTGTTAGGTGTTTCTCCTATACTGTAGCGATTAAAGTTGAAAAGCATTTATTACTTTGGCAATACTCATCTTTAATCATAGTTATTGTATGTAGTTAGTATTCAACTGTTAGTAGCTAATGTAAAATTTATATAGATTTATTTGAAAATTTTATTGTCTTACATTAGAATTTTACTATGTTAATTCTACTTAATATTGTCTATTTAAAGCGCACTATCTATTACTTAATTATACAAACTTGTGATAGTATATTGAATTGCAAATAGTTAATTTTTAAACTATATTTCATATTGACTACTAGAAAAATTATTGCTGCTTTCATTGGTTAACACTTAGAACTAATTTTTAAGTTTTCATTTATTTATTATATAGTAAAAACACCAAAGTTATAAATAATAAACATAATAGTAACTTAAACTAATTTTATTTAAACCTTATCACAATTTCTTGACTAATAATGACAACTTAGAATGTTAGCCGGTCGAGGTTTAAGTATAAGTTTACCAGTTTCATCACAAGACATATTGAAATCATTAAGAACAGATCGGGTCCGTGCTGTGATGATGCTGGGTGCAATCACCTTCCTGTGTACCCCGACTATGAAGAGTAGCACTGAAAATAAGTAACAATCTTATCTATATGTATTCAAATCTAGTGGAAACATCAAAATTAGTGAAACTATCAACTTGGTCTTCAAAGCCCACTTCTTATAATTCTCTACAACATTCTAGTAAAGATTAATACAGCAGAATTATCCAAACAATACATGTTTAAGTAGCAATTTTAATATGATAAGTTAGTTTTTTAAAAAAGGAAAAATAAATATTCTTACATAACAGAGTTGAGGTGACTGTAAAGAAGGGATGGTTCCATAGTGACTGTGTGAGGGACACAACAGGAGTGAGTGGATCCGTAAGCCAGTGCCAAGCTGCTATTGCTGTGCATAATGACACCACTGCTAATACAACTAAAAATATTTTTAAAAGTTTAAATATAATTGTGGCTCAATGAGTAATCCATATGGCTTTTAGCCTATACATAGAGAGTTATGACTCTTGGTGATACAATATTCATTTTAATTGTTAACTTCAGCATCTACTTTTCTCCACATAAAAATTGAACACAGAGACACATACAGATAAACCTAAAAATGTATTTTAATGTAAAATATGAAAGTCTTATAAACAAATTATAAAACAATGCAGTGTTGTTATGATTTTAATAGTATTTCTAACAAAAGTTACTTACTTCTCCATCTCGTAGTAGCAGGTTGCAAACAAGCTATTACTTCTGTTAATCTTCTCTCAAAAGCCTTTAGATCTACAAAAATTTTGTAAGGATTTATATTTATTATAAAACATTACACAAGATAGGTAAGAGATTCGTTTTTGTTCTAATATCACAAAAATTGTTCTTAATATACAACTGCCTTATATTTTTCAAATTTTGGAGAATTTATAGAAGGAGTACAATTGAATGACAATAATGGATATTAGTAGAACACAAATGTAATTTTAATGAAACGTTGGAATCCTTAAATTAAGGAATTAGTTTAGCTAGACCTACCATCACAAGCTGTTTGTTCTAATGACATCGCTATTTAAATCTTAATCATAACAACATTAAAATTTAAAACAACTTCAACTAAATAGTATATTGAAATTTCTTATGTATAACACTGATTTAAGACCTTGACTTTCTTTAATTTAAATCTTATTGGTTTTAATCACAAATTTACTTCCATGTTCCATCAACAGTTCAAGTAGAGGAAAAGTAAAATTAAAAATACATATAATAGTTGACAGCTGGCACTGACAGATGCATCGGTGTGTGTGGATTTTAAAGAGAAAAATCTGTAACTTTATACTTTCTTAATCGAATTATAGTGGTTTTTCAAAAATAAAAAATAAACATTTTAAACGTAAAAAAATTATAAATAAAAAATATATTTTATTTATGATGTAGAATACAAATAATTGAACGTATTTAACTAATGTCGATTGTCATTAAAGATAATCTTCGGAATCTAACTTGTAATTTTAATTAAAATAAATAAAATTAAAAAAAATAAAAAAATAAATTAAATTTGGAAAATAAGGACAAATCAAGGTTGTTAAGACTTGTATATAAGAATTGTGATTGATGAAAATTTTGATTTACACAGAAGTCGCCAATATAAATACAGTGAAGTGAACAAATCAAGGTAAGTAATCAAAAATGTTTGTGTAAATTCACATTTACATAATAGGTATAGCTCGTACATTTATCAATAAATTAACCTTATTCTACCTGCCATTAGACATGGGTAGTGGTAGTAAATGTTCCAGGAGTTTTAGAAAAAAAATTGACATTTATGTTATTACATGTAATAAAAGATTTTTATTTATAAAGTATTAAGCAGTCGGTACTAGCAAGTAGCAATAAAACGGTACAAAGTCCAAATTTTCATCGATGTTACTTGTTGATACCTGATTAATATCTAGTTAGTTAGACCTTAAAAACTTACTGTAGAAATTGAATATTTCCGTTAAGGTTTCTTCGTTACGAAATTAATAATTAAATAATCAACGTAGATAAAAGTTAGCTCAGTGGAACTGGTTTTGTTTACCTATTAAAAAAACTGAAAATTTCAGTTGAAGTTTTTTTGTTATATATTACATAATTAAAATAATATCAAGGTTTTTGAAACTATGTTCCATGACTGTTGTCTGTATGTTGGTAATAAATAATGTGTACCTAGTTTCCTGCTATAATATAGATAAATTAAACTTTCCAGTTGCTTGATTTGATATTCAAATTCATGATCGATTTTTAAGAGAAGAGTTTATTAAATGGCATACAGTGGGAACTTATATTTCATGAAATATGGGTTTGTTAATTGGTTTTAAGATATATTTAGAAACATACAATTTACATGTATTATTGAAATATTATTAGTATCCCTCCTGTCTAATGTGATGATTTATCAGACTATAATGAAAATATATGCTCCAAAGTTTAAAACTATGTATTAGATAAGCAAAGTACACAAGACAGTGTGCAGTAAAGATACACTGCTATTAGTACAGTTTGGATAAAAACTTAGCTACTTGTGTATAAAATATTCTTTAAAAAAATTATATTTTAATTGCCATAGTCAAGTAGTTGTGTAGAAATTATCTCAGTGTATCAGACATTACAGTGTAAACTTTTATGTAACATAAAAATAATGTTTCCATTCTAATAATATTTCTTTTTTTTAAAGGATAACTTTATATGACCCTAGAAATTGCATAGTTAAGCAATGCATATTATTGTATATATACAATAAGTTTGTACTGTAGGTTAAGCAGGTGTTGTGTAAAAAATATGCTCTTGACCTAGAAATTAAAATAATTATTTAATAAAATAAAGAACATTATATTGCAGTTAAAACAATGATCATCCTAAGACAAGCAATAAGATGTATGAAAGAAATTACTCCCAATATCCGGGCAATGTCAAGTCAAAGCCTTGTAAACCTGAGTGTGGATAAAGACAATGCTGAAATTGCTATTGTTACAATGCAAAGACCTCCAGTAAATAGCTTGAATCTAGAATTACTTCAAGCAATTAGTAAGACTCTTGATGAGATAGCGAAAAGTAACTTTAGAGCTATGGTTTTGACTTCGGTGAGTATTTATATAAAGTGGCATGCGGTCTCCCTTATGTTCATTAGGTTGCAATGTGACGATACATAGCTTCTTAAATAAATTGCTCTATTAATAAAATAAATAAAGTAAAATATTATTTGTTTCTGATACTTTTAATGAACTATAATTATTTAAAAAGTTATTCCCTATAATACTTTTATTGGTGATATTATGTGTTGTAACTATATTATCAAGTATTTTTTAGGCTTCACCAACAGTATTTTCAGCAGGTATAGACATAATGGAGATGTATAAACCAGATATGAAAAGAGCTGAACAATTTTGGACAACTTTACAAGATGTTTGGCTAAAGTTATTTGAAACTAAAATTATAACTGCAGCGGCAGTCAATGTAAGTAAAAAATACAAGCATTAAAAATTCCAGTACAAAGAAGCATTTAAAAAAATCAGTGGCGCTACAACCTCTTTTGGGTCTGGGCCTCAGATTTTTGAATCTGTTTCATGATCATTTTTCAATCTAATAGGGAAGAAGGTGATCAGCCTCCTGTGCCTGACACACGCCGTCGTCTTTTTCGGTCTAAGACATGTCGGTTTCCTCACGATGTTTTCCTTCACTGTTCGAGCGAATGTTAGATGCGCACATAGAAAGAAATTCCATTGGCGCACAGCCGGGGATTGAACCTACGACCTCAGGGATGAGAGTCGCACCCTGAAGCCACTAAGCCAACACTGCTCACTCAAACAAAGAAGCACTTAAAGCTGCTCAAAACATACCCATACACAGCCATGCATCCAAACAAAAAAGATTTTTTGCAGATTTTCACAAATTAAATCAGCCCTGCCCTGCGATTCTGTAACTCACTTTTCGAACTCACACAGCGGTTTTCACAGCGGCGGTCGCTCTCAAATCAGTCGTGAAGCAGTCATTTTATGATTTGGCATTCTGATAAACAATAAACTACAAGCTCCCACCTTTTCAGAATACCTTTTACCACCACCTTACTAACCACCTTTTAAGAAAGTGAGTTACAGAATCGCAAGGCTGCTAAAGAACTCACTATATATACAACATAGAAAAAACTTATGGAATTTTATATAGTGCAAGGGTATATGTGTAATATGCATACTTTCGTACTAGTGCAAGGTAAATGTAATTAACTAAAAACAATATTCATACACAAAAAAAAAGGGTGCGTGTACTTATGTACGCGCGTAAGAAGTTATACTTCTTTGGCATTATTAAAAATAGTTTTTGATTGCATGCAAATAATTAATTACAATTAAATAATCAAAGACTGGAAAAGGAGTCATTAAAGTCAATAAAGTTCAGTTTACATTTGAAAAATTAATTAAATAAATATTTATTATTATTCTCTTACATTAAACAAATAAAACACTATTTATCTTTAAAACATTTTTATTTCATTATACTATTTATTTTTAAGTGACTCTAATGTCTTCATCAGAATTTCGGTTTGTAATTTTAAATTAATCATTACTTGGTTGTGCATCTACGAGGCTTCTCCAAAACTACTCGCTTTCTGCAACAAATAAGAGAATATTAATTTAAGCTCTGTCCATGCAAAACTTAAAATTTTTTATAATTCATATTATAAATTTTTTAACACATTTATATTAATATAATTATATAAATGTGTTAATAATATAATTTGTAGCACATGCTACAGACCTGGATAGCAACTTTCTTTTATTCTATTTAGAGATAGAGATAATTTAAATATAATACCGGTCTTCCTTGTAGGTTTCTTTGGAGTTGTTTGGGGATTCTTGTTGTTCAGTTCGACATGATTTTCTTTAACCTTTCTTTAATCCTACAAAATAATGAAATTGTTAAGTTATGTTGTCACTGTTGTGCACACCTTTGTTTGGCTTTTTTAGTATTCAAGTTATGTCAAAACTGATTTATTACCTTGTCATTGTTGGCTTTATTTGCTTTTGGGATATCAATTGTTTCCAAAATGATTTTATTTGTAATAACCTGAAATATATAAATAACATCTATTAATTTAAGTATCATGGTGAGTGGTTCGCACTCAGGTATTAAGGTGTATTATACCCACTGTCCATTATAAGTGGGAATGGGCTCACTTCTGGCAGGACAGAGTTTCGGTACTACAAGTGCAACATGGATGTTTTGAGGTATTACAATATCTCTAACTACCCTGTAGGGGAATAAAGTAATGTTGTAAGCATATGCCTATGCTTGAAAGGTTGAACCTTGAACATCACCATACATCATATTTATAATTAACATTCCTACCTCGACACCATCACAATCAAATTCATTGAAATCTACTTCAAACCATTGTTTCGAGAAGGTGATGGTGGCTTTGTTCCACCTCCAGTTTTTGATGTTTCACGGCGATAAGATGACAACTCTTTTTTTGTATTCAATTTAGTGCACTTCCACTGATTCATCAATTGTTTTTTGTCTCTTGTCCTTATATTTGCTAGATTAAATCTGATGTTTTGATTAAATAATGTGGTCATTTTTTTGAGATGCAGGTACTTATTAAAATGTTTACTTCTCTGTTATATCGCTCCAAGCCTTCATTTTCTCCTTATTAGTATTCGTGCTTAAATCTTTGTTCTCAATTATTGATATATAGGGTCGTAGAATATTTCTAAAAAGTTGCTGTAACAAACGCAATAAACAAAAGCAATGAATAATGGTTCATGTTTCAGTTTTAATCAACAATAATACTCGATAATACATACGGATAGTTAACCTCAATTGTATTGAAGCACTCAGGAAGGTTAGCACAGTTTTTTCACAAATATTTTATATTATTTCACAAATATTTTGTATAATGAAAATAACTAGGTATATAATTATTAATTTTAAACAATAATTAAAACTCCTATATTTGTTTAAAAGGTAAATGTCATTGTCAGATGTCAATTGTCATGGTCATTCAAAATTCTTGTTAAGCTGCTAAGCTAGAATATGCGTGAAGTTAGCTTCACGCATATTCTATTTCTTTTTACTTGTAGTTTGTCTTATTCCCATCTCGCTCGCGCACGCTATATCACACTGCCAATTTTGTGTCATAGGTGCGCGCGCAATCGTAAAATTTCACTCTCATCAATTTTTCATAACGCGCCTAAAGAAGTACAACTTCAAAAATTGAGAAAAACTTGGTCGATAAATTTAACACCATTGCAAATTCTTTCATACTAGACGACAAAAACAGCAACATCGCGCAATGGCGTGGAGTGCAATTTCAAAACAATACAAATCGTGTCCATCCCTTAATAAATTGTTTTAATTATAATTGATATAAAAAAATATAACAGCGATTATAGCAATGCCTATTTCATCGTAATGTTCCTTAGGTAATGAATAGAATCACAAAACGTTGGCGTTTCTAAAATTGTATGTATCGCGCAAAGTTCCTAGAATTAGCGGTCTAATTCAAATTCAAAACTATATATTCATTTAGGTAACACAATATACACTTATGAACGTCAATAAAGAAATATGAACATAATAATTAATATTAAATGCTAAATGCTTCTAACATTACATTTACTGTCAGTTCTCAAATCAAGACGAGAAGAACTGGCAATTAACTCTCCGCCACTCTTTTTTTTTTTAAATCTAAACACCTAACTAAAATAAAGGTATCTTTGTTATAAATTCAAGAGGTTACGTTTGTTTAGATTGGGTTAACTCACGTTATTAAAGTTAACGTAAACACTTTACGTAGCATCATATGAATTTATGATCTTTACACAAACGATAGTTACAGTCCAAAATCATTTAATCAAATAGGTAACAATGTACACTTATGAACGTCAAAATATGTTTTATACATTATTAGTTGTTAAGAGCGGCAAACCCGTATTATCTTTTCATACAAACGCTCGTACGTGATTATGGCGTTGTAACAGATATTTCTTTGAAACTTTTGAACTAAAAGCCACCTTGTGCACTATATCTAGGTTTCTATTAAAACGCGTAATCAAAATTGTAAGAAACAAATTCAGTACAAACCTCCAAAAATCAGCCTTTTTGCACTAATTTTATATGAAGTTTGGGCGTTTATAATGTACTCATTAATTGTAACCGGAAAAATATTTGCATAGAAACCTTGCAAATGTAATGGTTTTCTAAATGTACAACTTTTTTTTCATAATCTTGTAAGGCTTACGAAAAAAGACGTATTTCTTGGAACAAGTTTTATGAAATTTCCGCACACTATTTTTCTTTCAATGTTATCGCGTTCTCACTTGCTGACATTGCGCTGGATGAAACAACAAGCTTTTAGGCCATGCTCGCGTTGACGTTCGTCGGACGGGGAAGGGCGCTCTTAAGTGCAAAGCACAGAGCTGTCTGTGACATCAAAGAGCTTTTTGCATTGCTCAAAATTTGTTATAATAGTATAACCTATCATAACAAATGAGTCATCTACCTTATGTTACTTGTACGATTATTTTATGTATGGAAATTGTATGATGTACGTGTTCTTGGTAAATAAAACGTAATCGTATTAAGAATAAAATGCACTTTCGGAGCAAATAAAATATTAAGGTTTTATTTAGTAAGAACCTTACTGCTGCTTCCGAGAAGGCTTGCACTCCTCTTTGCGGCACTTCACTTTAACTTTTAACTTTTACTGCGAAATTTGTTGCTAGGAAACATTAATTCACATAGTATTGTCTTTTATTGACATAACCTTTACACATTTAAAGAAAAAACTTTTTAACCGGATTAAAGTTATGTATTATTATAAATTTACAATTATTAAATTTTTAAACATGATTTTTTCGCGTGCTTTACAGCGTGCGGAGTCACCGTGACTGAAACGTCGGATAAATTTAAAATTATGTTAAATAATTGTAAATTTATAATAATACATAACTTAAATCCGGTTAAAAAGTTTTTTTTAAATGTGTAAAGGTTATGTCAATTAATTCACATTTATTTGTACATATAGTTTATGGTGTTTCTACCCCTAGGTAAATTTTTGCGATGCGCGCGCATACCGTCACAAAAAACTGACACCCGCACACCGTCACAAAAAGTCGACACCCTGAAGTTAGCATAGTCAACATTTTAAGACATAAAATGTAAATTTATTTAATTATGTAGATATAATTTTTTGTGATATTTAAATAAACTTTATTTAACTAGATAATGCGTTATAATAAAACTTTCAAAGTATTAAATACCTTTTTTTCTATTGTTAGTGTTGTTTTTTCTACAAACGTAGTATAAGGCGAAAGATAAAAAATTTAAAAAGATTTTTATCTTGTTACCTACGCTAAAGAAGTATAACGCGTGTACATAAGTATACTCACATTTTTTGATAACCAAACAAAATAATTATATACATATCTACTTACAGGGACATTCTCCTGCAGGCGGGTGTTTACTAGCGATGGCATGTGAATATCGGGCTATGGTGTCAGGTAAATACACCATAGGTTTGAACGAAACTGCTCTAGGTATTGTCGCTCCGAGATGGTTTATGGACTGTATGGTGAATACTATTCCTCAGAGAGAGGCTGAAATAGCACTGACTACAGGCAAACTGTTCACGATCGAAGAGGCATTGAAGGTTGGTAGAGTATATATATATATATATATATAAATAGAGTAAAACGTAAATGAGGTAGTACAGGGCAAGGGGCTTCTCCCCTAAGAATAAGAAATTCTGATATAATTTTTTAAGTCAAGTCAAGTCTAAATCATTTATTCATTTAGGTAACACAATGTACATTTGTCAATAAAGAAATACATATGCTCCTAATTTTACATTTACTGCCAGTTCTCAAATCAAGGCCGTAGAACGGACGAGAAGAACCGGCAATAAACTCTTCGCCACTCTTTTTAATCGCCAAGTTTTTTGTTTTACACAATGTTTGTAAGGACGTACTTACGACGCATTCTCGTGCAAATACATAATCGAAATAACTAACATCACCGCATACACGAATTCAAGTCCGACCAGTCACCCACTAGTTCACGAGTATGACCAGCCATCGTCCCCCTCGCCTTTTAGGGAGAGAGACATTCCGACGCATGGAGAGAGACAAGATTGTGCAAAAATATTAAAAACTTAAGATAATGCCTTACTGCTGCATTTTACACAAAACTTGCTGTTTCTTACACCACAGATAGAAATTCAACAATTACCTAAAAAAGATATAAACAGCTAAAGTTTATTAATCCTTGCTCGTTGACTCAGTACTTAATTGTGTGAGCTGTGCAGGCGGATACAATATTAATATTTAGGATAATAATATATTTTTTCATAGGTGGGACTTATAGACGAGGCGGCAAAAGACAAAGATGACGCAATAGAAAAGTGTAAAGGTTTTATAGCGAAGTTTGACAACATCCCGCCCATGGCTCGAGCAGTGACTAAGCTAAAATTTAGGGATCCTTCAACCCAGTGGCTCAAGAATAACAAAAAAGCAGATTTAGATGGATTCTTAAGTTATCTAAAATACCCTCAGGTTCAACAGTCGTTGGAAATGTACATTCATATGTTGAAGGCGAAACAGAACAAATCATAATATCAGCATCACTTGTTACCGCCAATAAATTATTTTACTTTTGACAGTTACCATAACTCCTCGACAAAGATACATCCCGGTGGACGTAATCTTAATAGTACTAGTTTTTTATATAATCTTTTTATTGTTAATGTTGTTTTATTTTAATACAGTGAGTGAATATTTGACATAATATGTATTTTTTAATCGGTGTAATTTTATATCGGTATATTTTTATACTTATAAATTGAAGATGTTTTATATATGACATGGTTACATGTATATATTTAATTAATAAAAAATAAATTTTAAAATTTATTTATTTTGAAATTTATTAAGTATATACCTACACCATACAAAATTGGTTGACTTTTGCAGTATGCATATGGCGTGTTAAAATTTTATTAAGATTATTTTTTTTAATTATTTAGACTATTTTAATAGTGATAGGGGATCACGCCACCCAATAATAATAATAAAAACTTTATTTATGACAAAAGGGTTGTGACAGAATTCATATATCGCTAGTCCCTACACTAGGGAGGCCCTGTGTTGTGGGTAACTAGAAAACAATTATTACGTGGTACATGTTTAAATTAGTTAAAAAAAGATGATAATAAAAATTTTTAAAATATATATATAATAATAAAATATACCCTGTATATTATGTTAATTTTTTGAGATCGTTTGTTCTAAGCAAATATTGTTACGACAACTACGTTTTTTAATAATTACCGTAAACTGAATTATAAAAGATGGATGCGGTTGGTGAAGGAATTTAAATAAATGCAATAAAAATACATGTTTTCATTTATTAAATAAAAGAACTAAAATTCATCAGCCAATAATGCTGCCGTCTCCGGATCAACAGTCTCCGTCATACTCATCTGCATATCCGTCCACTCTTCTCTTTGATTGTCTATGAAATAGTATATTTCACTTATACGATCGCGGTTGCGTTTGACTTCATTACTGAAAAAAAGATATTCATGTAAATGCAAAGCAAATATCATGATTTATTTTTATCAAACTTTGCTACATTTATTTCTAAAAACCGAAAGAGGATGCCTTAAATTTGGCGGGTAATTTTACTTTTGACGTGACGTCTAATAAATCGATGCACGCACGAAAAAGCATGACTCATTGTACGCTTGCGCCGCATCTATCTCTCTTCCACTCGATTGGCCTATGCGTCCCAGGATTCACTCCTTCTTTGTATCCATAAAAAATAGTGATAATTCAATAAAAATGATTTAAGTTTATTTATAAAAGTATGCAATCTCATCAATGTTTTGTTAACGAAAACGTGTACACTCGGACAGCGAGTACCTCTAATAAAATAAATTCACAGATAATAAATAACCGGCAAAGTTTTAATAATATATATATTCTGATAATCTTAGGAATCCTATGGATACGGTCTGACACGGGCACAAGGGGTATAATTAATATTCATTATCATTCCCTCAACTTTTGGGAAGTATTTTGATTTTATATACTCACTCGTTAGTCCCTTGTACGAGGTCATCACGCCATTTATTCGCTCGTGTCATCAATAGATCTTCGCGAGCGTCGACAAACCGCATATGATTGTCTGAAGACTGGGCTACGAGGTTCATCATGGCGTCTCTGTCCATCATTACCTAAAACGCCTTTATGTGAATTTAAAGTCTATTTCACATTACATTAAAACAGTAAATGCTTAGGTATAAAGATTTATGCTGGACTTTAGCTGTTATTCAAATGGTATATAAACGATTATTCCCTCCAGTAATAAAGGTGGTGGTAATTAATAGAAATGGTAATTTTCTTTATGAATTGACAAAAATTATGAAAACATGATAATACTAACAAAAACATATAGATCGTGTACCTCAAATAACTCAGGCGGTGCATCTCCCAAAAGTATCTTATTACCCAATAATTTTGAAAGCGCATCTAACTGTCGCATAGACCACATTCCTTCATGCTCCCTCCACGCCCCGAAAGCGTTTCGAGACACTTCTAGAAGCTTCGTTATCATCTCTGTCATGTTTACGGAAAATTGTACTCTAGATTCCTATAAATTTATAATTTAATATTCAATTATTAGATTTTTAAATATTCAGTAAAAATACGTCTATCATTTATCTATTTAAACCTAAAGTTTCGCATTAATTAAACTTTTACAGCCTTTATAAAATTTTCTAGAATTCGAAGTTAAAATTAGACAAATTGGAATCCCCTAGCCGTATAATATTAGTCTCGGCGCATCATTTGGCCAAATTTCGCGTGTACTTTTAGTTAGACCTTAACAAACTTACGCATGTTATGACTCGCGTCAATTTATTTCACGGAAACTACAATTTGTTTGCACAATATGTTCTAATATTTATAAATGCAATCGGAGCTACCGAAAAATTATTACTTGGTTTTAGGTGAGGGTTTATTTTTTGAAGTTATACTTCTTTAGGCGCGTTATGAAAAATTGATGAGAGTGAAATTTTACGATGCGCGTGCACCGTTACACAAAATTATCAGTATGAAGTTAGTGGCGCATGTTGGCACGCACGCCGCCTCTGTTCACTGTGTATTTATATTTATAATATTTATCCACATGCTTTGAGTGTCTACATTTAAAACACGTGTTTTCGTTTTGTTTTCATTATACAAGTGCGAATTTTATATGTGCGTCTGAATTATAATCAGAAGTGATTTAAATTGAATATTTAAATCAATACTTAAATTAATAATAAATATAATATTAATAAAATAATAAATAAAGTTAATAACAAATTATTGACTATAATGACTCCTTTTGCAGTCTTTGATTATTTAATTGTAATTAATTATTTGCATGCAATCAAAAACTATTTTTAATAATGCCAAAGAAGTATAACTTACGCGCGTACATAAGTACACGCACCCTTTTTTTTATAGAATCTCACAGTTGGCCTGAAGGGACAGCTCAGCCTGGGCTGTTATGGCGCGTGTACCTCGGCCGGAATCTGTGATAGTTTACGGCATCGTTTCTCAAGCGGGGGGTCGAGTTTGTTTTATAAGGGGATCGCAGTCTGTTGAAAAATAATAAATACTAACTACATATAGGTACAAAAGATTCGTTTATTAAAGGAATGAATAAACTAAATTATAATTTTACAGTGACGGGGTCGCAACTCGCAAGACTATTTTACTTAACTTTTTGGCTTTTTCGTGAGTCGCGACAAAATAATGGTTGAGAAACGATGGTTTACGGAGATGGAAGCGATTTTCATAGTCGCGCACACACGTGCATACACATCCATGCATATCGCGCTCACTTAAATTTATCAATATTTTTGATTCAATATATATTTGGGTTTCATTTACTGCCACGCATATTTTAAGTACTCAGTTTTCGTTCTTGTTTTAAACCTCCGAAGAGTCTGGTCACCCACAACACAGGAATGTGTGGGGACTAAAAAATAAAGCAACAATAGAAAAAGGGTAATTTTCTTTTAGTTTGCCGGATGTTGGTGTCTCAGGTTCAAAATACCTCGCATCGTTCATAGAGCTGCATCTCTATGGTCATAAGTTTCTTCCAGAGATCGTAAATCAGATCAGTAAATGCCTCTCCCGTGTCAATAACATTTGTTTCAACCTGTTCCAGCGTTGCTTGCTTTGTCGTCACTTTACCGATGATTTCTTTCATTTGTTCCACTAACGGCTTTTTTTTCGTTTCGTATTCTTCTACTACGCTACAGAAATCAGAATAAAATTGATTACCAATAACATTAAAACTCTTTGTAATTACAACCTTTCGTGTTTGAAAAAACTGGTGTTAAAATTCGGCGGTAAAAAACAAATTTTAGGTAGAAAAAAAATACTGTTGCGGGTTGGTGTAGGCTCACAGCTGGTTCTTCAATAAATGAGTGTACCAATCATTAAAAGGCACCACACTTGGGAACCTCCTGGCAATGTATGTGTCCATATTACTCGACATCAGGTGAGCCTTCTGCCGGTTTTCCCACACAAAATTAAAAAAAAAGTAGTACTTAGCAAATCAAATCGATCTAGTGTATAGCGTGAAGTGATGACGCGTGGAATTAAGTGATATTTATAAATAAAAACAATATTTACGCTTTTTGTTCACACAACTTTTGCGATATATAGAAATAATATACTTATTAAAAAAGGCTTATAACTTGCAATATTCTCTGTGTAGCTTGAACGGCGATTACCAATTAAGAGTGTCCCTTTTGCCCCTTTTGCCCCTTGTGCCATAATTTTACATTTACTGCCATTTCTCAAATCAAGGACGTAGAACGGAAGACAAGAACTGGCAATAAACTCTCCGCCACTCTTTTAATTCGCCAAGTTTTTTTTACATAACGTTTGTAAGGAGCTGCAACTATTACACCATGTTCCACATGACATCTTAAGTAATAAATAATAATAAAATAAATTAAAAAAAGATTTGTCGTCTATCAGCAGGAGGCATGGTGAAATAGGAGCACGTACTTACATTCTCGTGGGAACAACACGCAAATACATAGTCCATGCCCTAACTAGGAATACTTAATACATACTCTTTACTCTTCTTAACACTTTCATCTAAAGCGTTTTCAACCAGGTCTTTAAACAGCTTTATCTCATGTTGTCGTGCATTATAGGCGCCTTGAGCAAATTCTACTAAGCCAGCCATGGTTTCGACATATTGTTCTTTATATCTAAAAAGTCAAGTCAAGTCAAGTCAAATCATTTATTTCAATTAGACCACCTAAAATTGCACTTTTGAACGTCAAATCAAATATAAAGAAGATTCTAGTTGCCCCTGCCAAAAGGTAGTTTCGTGTGGAGAAGAATGGGCAAGAAACTCCACACTTACTCTTCTAGAATAGGTTTACAATATTTTGTTTACATTAGTTAAAAAATTATATGTGAAGACAAAATAATATACGTATTAGATATAGGCAACAGCGTACAAAAGCTCGCGGGAACGAAATGGAAAAAGTATGAGCAGTATACACCATAGGTAAGATTCAGAAACGAGACAGCACTAACTACGTGTGTATGTGTAACTATTTATTTATTTTTATTTATAGCTAACACTTTCATGTAAGTACATATTATTTTTGAATAAAATATATTTTAATAAAAGCAAAATAACGTGTTAATTATGATGTTCTTATGTAAATTATGTTTTTCTTTTGCGAACTAGCAACGACTACATAACTAAATACGACCTCCAACTATTCAAAGTTAGAGTGTACTACTCCCTCATAGGCCGGCAACGCACCCACAAAAATGTGTCCATGGGCTGCGATGACTGCCTTTTATGGGCGTCCCGTCGGCTCGTTTGCACCGTATTGCAAAAATTTTTTATTTAATATAATTAATGAGATAATTATGATAAATTTAAATATATTAACTTTATCTTATAAACAATACCTAAGTCCGTGCGAACTACAATTTGTGAAAACTAAACTTAGTTTGTTTGTCAAGTTAAAACAATAATAAGAGGTTTTTAATTGAACATGGTTTTATACGCCACCGATGAAGTAATTAGAAAAACATATTTTTCTGTTGCGTAACAAAAAATCCTCGTACGGGAAGGTAAAGAAAATACATTTTAAACCTAAAAATGTGTGAGACACAAAAGATTGATCTTTGCCTATAATTAATAAAAATTGATAACTCAATTTTTATTACTATTTATTCTACTATAGGTACTTACTGTTCATAGAACCCAATCAATTCCCCCCCTACTTGCAATAGTAATGCCCCATCTGGATCTTTCTCAAACATTGTCTCAATTAATTCTGGTCCACTCAAATACTCCACAAAGGACATTGCGTAAAACTCAACTCGTGAATCATACTCCTCTTTAGCAATTCGTGCCTTTTCAGTCTTTTCATCTGCATCATCCAGCTTACGAAGGATACCGCTGAAATTGTTTGTAAAAATCTCTAGTGTTATGACCAGCAGGGGTCATTGGAAGCAAATTGCCTTGACTAAAATTGCGATGATATTGTCACAATACTTATAAGTACACAATAATATTAATATGTTTTACGTATAGAGTATAAAATCATAGGATTTAGTAATGTCATGTCAGTGTTTAATTATTATGCTTTCGTCGTATTGGAGGGTGAACGCCTCTTGTTTCTCTATTTTTACGTCATTACTGTCAATGATTGAAAATCTTATAAAATAATAGAAATAGAATTGCCAAAAAACATTATTTTGTTATTAATAGACTGCTAAACGTAACTCAATAAAGAAACTCTAAGCTACGCAGATCGAAATGTGACTTAAAACCCCTTAATATACTGAATTTTGAAATGAATTTTTTGTTTTATTTATGTGAGCTATATATAGAGTCCTACCGAAATAACGCTTGCCCTGATTCCCTCTCCTCTTCTGTAATTAGTTTATAGTCCAAATAAGTGACAATGGGAAGAGCACACTTCAGGAACTGATTTGTCATGGGATCATCACAACACGGATTGCCCTTGAAGCTAACAGATCGTAACTTCCGAAATCGTCGGAGGTAGGACATCTGAAGATTTATACATCTTTTAATTTCTTAAGTCTTGCTACTTATGCACATTCAATGCTTATTTATCATCAATATATTTCGTGTTAAAAGAGAAAATAAAATGGGGTGTAGAGGATTTGAACCTATTTATTATAAGAGTGGTAATATTTTAATAAATATAAAATTATTGGACGCGTTTTAATGCATGTATTTTTTACAAAAATTAAGGCCTTTAAAATATATAACTGGTTTTTTGTGTATTTGATTAGGGTTTAAAGTTAACTAATTCGTCTTTTTAAAAAAAAATTAAAGTGTAACAAAAATATTTTTCTATTACTCGCCTCTTTATAATCCTCAATTAAATTATCTCCAATACTGAAAACCATTAACTTTTCTAAACATTCCATATTTTCCAATTTTCTTATTTTATTATGGAACAACGTTAAAATTTCCAAATCAACTAAATTATCTAAATTCTCAATTTTTTCAATCTTGTTAAACGAAATGTCTAGCTCGTTCAGTCCCGTTAGCTGATCTAAATTTTCAATTTTTTGAATCAAATTGTGAGCTAAAGTTAATTTTCTCAAGGACTTAAGCATCCATAGATGGTCTATTCTTAATATATTTTGAAATTCCAATCGTAAAATAGGAGCTTCGTCCAAATGGACTCCTTCTTCGGCGAAAAGTCTCCCCGCTTCTTCAGTAGGACCTATATAGATAGTACACTACTAGTAAGTCATATTATCATTTTAGTGGTACAAAAGGCTGATAATCTACTTACAAATAAATGAAAGAAAAGCCAGACGCGAGAATGTTTATTTTCAGGCCTTTATTAGTTATAAATTGATAGAGATATGATTATAGTTTTTTCCGGGCGGAATATCAATAATTTCATTGAAAAACACAAGACTGTTACTAAAACTATACTGTACTCTCATGGCAATAGACTTCATACACAATCAAACATATACCTATATTACGAGATCAAAACACAATTATATTTTGATGTACTCGACCCGACACTCAGTCTGGACATGATAAGGAAAAAAAGCCTACGTAAAGAACTAAACGTTTTATTTTAGATGTTTTTAAATTAATAACTACATAGAAATCCCACAAATTATTTATGTGAGAATAGACGAAATACTACTAGTACTTTACCATATTCAAGTATACATCTTGTTATCATAGCATTGTCAATCACGCCTGGTTCAATTGCAGGGTGTATAATTAAACTGTTCAGTGATTTCTTTTCAGTCATATTTATTTATAATAAAGGAGATATTTTTAATATATGTAATAGGATATGTCTCAAATTCCTACAAAACACTTTTTTTTAATCTTGTTTACAGCATTGCTAAGATACCTAGTATGTTTGTGTCGTAGCCAGATCGTAAAATTGATGGCCAACCATTTCATAGAATGAAAAACTATTATAATCATATATTTGATCATCATATATAAAGAATTTGGAAAAAATTAAATTAAGTAATAAAAAAGTAGATAAAAGCTACGTTCAGTGAATTAAATGTATTGACGGCAAATTTTTAACCTTCCCGCCATATCGTATTTCCGGTCATTTTAACCACAGATTACATGAAACTTTGAAAAGTACTCAAATAATTAGATTAATAACATCAATATGAGATAATCAAGAAGATAAATTAAATTATGTTTATTAATTTTTTTTAGTTAGTACATAAAGTAAATTAAACATTAACATTTTGACATTTTTTGACCTGACACTGACATCACTAACTAACTTTCAAAATCTAATTTTTTACCTTTGCATTTTGTTATTTACAAGGTGACAAGTGAAATCGGTGAAAAAAATTTTTAATTGTTATTATTTAAAAGGGTATTTTATTAAAAGGCTAAAATGTCTTTCTTTGGAGTAGGAAATCCATTTGCCACACCGGTTGGTCAAAAAATTGGTAAGTTCGAAATATTACCTTAAAGAATATAAGAATTTCCTCACTTTCTGCTGTTACGCATTACTTAAACAGGAAAATTTAAGTTTCTTTATCCATTGTGTACATTCGCTTCACACATAATAAGAGCCGATAGCCAAAACATTTGTTGGTTTGTGTAATTTTACTTAACAAACCATTTATTTTCTCTACATGAAATCTTTATTTCAGAACAAGCCACAGATGGATCCCTTCCTTCAGAAAATTGGGCCCTTAATATGGAAATATGTGATATTATAAACACTAGTGCAGATGGACCTAAAGATGCCATAAAGGCAATTAGAAAAAGACTGACCCAAAGTGCTGGGAAGAACTACACAATTGTTATGTACAGTTTAACTGTACTGGAGAGCTGTGTTAAGAATTGTGGAAGACCTTTCCATGTTCTTGTGTGCAATAAGGAGTTTATATCTGAGTTGGTGAGTACCACAATTGATCTGACCTTGCTTCTTAGTGATTTACTGTAGGTATTGATGTTCACCTTGACTATTTATTATGCATATTAGATACTAACTTCCTTCAATGTTGTGTGAAACTTTAAAAAAATTACATGGGTTCTACTAATGTCACATCTACATCCCAGAAATGATAAAACTCTGGACTCAGTTTCTTCACAAAGATTTCCTTTGCCATGTGTTAAATGCGAACAAAGAAAAAAAAGTACATTGACACACAGCTGGTATTGGAATGAGGCGTAAGAGTCTTGTGCTCAAGCCACTAGGCTAATACATGTCAAATTCAATTCAATTAGTATAAGAGTAATAAAAAAATATTTATTTCCAATAAATAATGGATTAAAAATAAGTTGGATTGTATGATGTATAAAGCACTATACTTTTAGTAAGGTCTGTTTGCTTATGATTATTCTCTTTACTCTTATCAAAGAGAATAAATACTATATTCACCAATAATTATGTGGTTGAATGACTCAACTTACAAGACATGCAAATATACTCTCATTACATGGTTGAGGGCCATAGGTATTTTCTAGGCTAGTTGCTGTAAGTGAACCATCTATCAACTGAGTAACTGGTAAAGGTAATGCTAAGTAAGCATTGTTGCTTTCACCTGGTGAATTGTGAGAACAAAACATCATAATCTTATTGAACATTATTTTAAAATTTTTGGCTTTATAAATTGTAACAATTTTGTGAAAATAAAGCAAAGATAATATTGGAATGAGGATGGAACATTAAGATAAATGTAGCATATTATCAATGAAGATAAAAATTAATAATCTGATAAGATGTCATTCACATGCCTCTTAAAATCTATTCTTATTGATGTGAATGATTATTTTATTGATATTGTTGAAAATGTAGATAAAGTTTAGTTATCAGCAATAAATAATAAAATTTAAAAAAAGTGTAATTTATTGTGTTATTGTTTTGCAATGGTAAAATGCAATATTAAACAAAGCCAACCAAGCATAATATAATGTTTTATGGATTTAATAAATTAAATTCTTACAGTGATTTGATAGGATTTAATGATAAAATAATCAGTAAAAACTTATATATGCAATAATATTAATATTAGGTAAAAATAAAATATATATAATATGTTATATAGAGTAATTTATTATTATTTATTATCCCACACTAAGCAGTAGCCATATAAACAATGTATAACCATAGTGAATATGAAATGTAAATAACTGAGACAGTACCCTTGTATGATGTCATCGGAGATAATATGACATACAACCTGTCAACACAAACTGCTTCATTTACATAAAAGAACACTATATTTAACAGAGCAATATTATCTTGTGGTTAATCTAAGTTTTGTTTTATTTGGGACAAAATTTTAATTTGTGCGTAACAACAAAAACTCCTAAAGAAGGCATATGCATTACCAAGCAAGCCTGTGAGGTGGCTTGGTAGGGTACCTAGCCACTTCATCTCACTCATAAAGTCAGAACAAGTCTAATTGTAGTCTTATAAGAAAATATTTTATCAATCTCATCTTTCTGTAAAATTTTGTATACACGAATGACAAAAGACTAGTAGACTACAAATTCCTTGAGTTCAATGTGAAAGGAACTTTGAATCTGAGAACACAGAAATGATAAAAACTACTAAAATGACAAAAAGTATGCAAAATATGTTTATTTACTAAGTTTTTTATGTCTTATAATGATGATAGTGTATTGGGTATTAGACAAGTGATAAGCTAGTCAGGCTGCCTAGCTCATCACCTTGCCTGACACATCCAGTAAAGAGCATTCCGGTTTCGTCACGACGCTTGACCTTTATCGTAAGAGCAATGATTTAATTGCGCAAATCATTGATTGAAAATTTCGTTTTATCTCGTGACCGCATTTAAATCACTTACGAGTAGTTTCTTCACTGTAAAGAAATATGCAAATTGAAATTTGAAGGAGGGCTTTGACGTGACAAGGCATACCTTATGATCATAGATCTATGATGACTGATTCTGACGGAAAATTTATAGTTATTTGATACAAGCTAACTTGGGGTCGCATCGACCGCATGCAACGTCGATTGTATGATTTTTATCTTAACTCAAATTGCATATATGTTTAGTATGTGAACCCTTTGATGACTGGGCTAACAAGGCCTAGGAGTTAGCGAATCGTTTCAGTAATATTAATTTAAGCATCATTTTCAGGTAAAATTAATTGGCCCAAAAAATGACCCTCCCACGGTTGTACAAGAAAAGGTTTTGAGTCTCATACAGTGCTGGGCGGATGCTTTTCAAAATCAACCGGAGTTGCAGGTAAATTTTTATTTTTCAGTAATTGCAATCGTGGCCAGGTTTATATGTAAGAAAAACAAAAATTGTGCACAAATATTTTTCACATTGGTTTTCCGTTCTATTTATTTTTTCTTCTTAGTTTTATGGTCTTTTTAATGGTTAAGTAAGGTTACGTACTAAATCTGTAAATGGTTAGTATTTGCCCCACGCCTTCTTGACCCGTCTATCAGCTTCACTCGAGGTTTGTTCGAAGAATGATATGCTTTGTCCTAGATAGATATAGTTTTCCACAAGTAAATTAATGTCTAAATGGATTAACGCAACAATAAAAAAATCTCTACGGAAGTGGAAATGCCACTTTTGCAACGCTACAAGTTATATGTGGTCCGACCCACTCCAGTGGGTATTGAGTTGATGATATTAAATGCTAAGGTGGTATAAAAGTAAGGAGTGTCAAAGTCAGTCAAACGAGAAATTTTGGACAGCGAGGAATTTATTTTTGTACTGAAAAACATGAAATGTAGAGTTATGTAATTAAAACAATTTGCAATCCTGATATTTATCGAAAGGACTCGAAGTATATATATTAAGTCCAAATTAAAAAAAAATACTTCAGTGGGTCATATGAATCATATGTTTAAAAGCCACTGGATTTTGTATTCTATAGTTTGTGGTTGGTAAATATACATGATAATGTTATAAATATTCGTTTATATCTATCGAATAAGGTTAACGATAACTTAGTTAAGTGTTATTTAATTGGTGTGACACACTTCTGTTGCTGGACGAAGTTATTTTAGAGATAAGATCGATCTTCTTTTATTTCTTTATAAGGCTTTTCTAAAGCGTTCTAAACTGAAAGGCATTTCTGAATGAGCAAGTTTACATAATAATAATAAAATCGTTTAATGGCAAATAAAGTGGTACATTAAGATCTTTCTTTTGAAAATAAACTTGACAATAAACTTAATGCTATCTATTATTGAAAAAGTGTTTGAAAAAGGTTGGGATAACCTGTTATTACAAGTCACCAGTCCCTCTTGGACATAGTGGCAAAAAGTATTGTTAATACAACTTTTAAAAACGAACAATAAATAATTTATAATAAAAAAAATATAAAAAAGTTAACATTTATATAAAAAGATAACAAAGTTACATTAAAACATTCCATTGTTTAATTCATCTGTGTGACATCCAACACGTTAACAATAGTTATTAATGCTATATTTAAATATGTGTTTTGTTGCATATATTAAAATGATTTAAGTGGCTTAGGAATTACCCATTGCGATTTGGATTAACATTAGAATGTTATGAACCCTGCAACTTATGACTGGATTATTCGAAATAATAGTGTCGAGTGAAGTTGTAGTGCTTCAAAGTATACACTTGATATTTGATCCAAGTTGTCCGCATTGTCAAGGATTGGGTGTTATGTTACACTCATACTCAGCAGTCGTACGAAGAACTTAGTACATACAAGAAATAGTGGCGATACTTTGTCTTAGCGATTTCAGACTTTGGAATTTTCATTGTTCGCTCTATAATCGGTAAAAATAACAATCTTAGCGATGTTGCATTTTTAATATGAGTTATCGATTACGGCGTCTTTTATTTATGGAGTATTTTCAATGCACAACTGTTTAAGGTAATATAATAGTAATAATTATATAGAATCCTAACAATTTTGTCACATATTTTGTTTTAAATTATTATATGTCTCGTTTAGAGCAGTGTTGGCCTGGTGGCTTAAGCGTGCGACTCTCATACCTGAGATCGTATGTTCGATCCCCGGCTGTGCACCAATGGACTTTCTTTCTATGTGCGCATTTAACATTCGCTCGAACGGTGAAGGAAAACATCGTGAGGAAACCGGCTTGCCTTAGACCCAAAAAATCGAGGGCGTGCGTCAGGAACAGAAGACTGATCACCAACTTGCCTATAAGATAAACAAATGATCATAAAACAGAAACAGAAATCTGAGGCCCTGACCTAAAAAGGTTGTAACGCCATTGATTTATTTTATTTTTTATGACTCGTTTGTGGTCCATTGTAATTAATTAAATTTGCAAAGCATTCGTTTAAATTGTCTTTTCTTCTGCAGTAGTTCCTAAATTTGACTTATCTCCCCACTTTCACAGTGGGGCAGAGGGCAACAAGATTCCGCAATCGAGTTATCTTGGGCGCGCCCAAGATTACCCTATTTTGCTCGTTCTTTAGAGGGTTTTATTATGATAATGAGGCTTATTCGTTAATGAAAGGTAATAGAACATGTCTTTATTTTCAGGGAGTAGTACAAGTGTACAACGAATTACGGACCAAGGGTGTTGAATTTCCTATGACCGACTTGGACGCTATGGCACCTATATTTACGCCGCAACGGGTGAGTACACGGCCGCCCCCGCGAACTTTTTTGCGCCTTAATATGATTTTTAACTGAGCCTACCTTTTTAGTAGCTACATACCAACATATGGAGCATTTTTCTATGGTACCCCATAGACTGATCATATTTCTGAAAAAAGTGCGTGCGTACAAAGTTCACATGTCAGAAGTAAAACTTCTTTGGCAAACAAATTTTTATGTCTTGTTCATATTTATACAAATCTAAAACTTTAGATTTCCGAGACTTATAAGGAGAGGAAAAGGAAGATATGTTAGGAATATAATGAATTTAACTGTGATTAAAATAAAAGTGTAGAAAATTAATAAAACATAAATTTAATTTTTTTTAATTTATTTCTTCGATAATAAAAACACGTGGCATTTTTATTTACAATTCATCATTTGAGATTTCAATAAATTATATTGCAAAAGATATAAAATACTAATATTTCATTAATTCTCTTTACGAAATTTTTAAATCGCCCTTCTCACTCTCTCTCAATCGCTCTCTCCCTTTTCTTCGACAAAAACGCTGCACATCTTCGTGACGCTAATAAAATGTGCCAGGATATAGCAATGTATGGTTCAAAAAGAATTGTGGGGCCTAAATGAATGTATCAAAAAAAACCACGTCGAATTAAGTTAGTTTTTTGAAGTCATCTATTTTATCAGAGTGTTCCTGATGGCGGCGAGCCGATGGCTGGCTCTCCTCAGCGTAACGTCTTGGCGCCGAGTTCTCCCATTCGGATGCCGCTTGAAAATAGTACTGGCACGGTACGTATAATAATATAGGTAGCGCGGTTTTTATTACTATGGTTACGATATTTTTCAGATAGTCCATCTTTAACAATTAGTCTGCAAAGTCATCATGTTTGCTATCCAATATAATATAATTACATAACGATAAGTCTCAACTCTAAATCTTACACCAATAGTTTTACAATATCTAATATATGAAATTCTCGTGTCACAATGTTCGTTCCCATACTCCTCCGAAACGGCTCGACCGCTTCTTATGAAATGATTATGCATATTCATTAAGTCTGAGAATCGGCTACTATCTATCTTTCAAACCCCTAAATGATAAGGGGTGTCCACCCCAAAAAAAAAAATTTTTGGACAAAATTTTTTGTTTTTATTTTTTATGATACGGCTTACAAAAATACATACAACCCCTAATTTTCACTCCTCTACGATCAACCCCAATTTTTTTATTGTAGATAGTTATTTTATTGAACTAAAAAAAGGTTTCCTAGAAATAATATACATAACAAAACAAACGAGCTTTTGCGTCAGCTAGTATGGATATAAGTAATAATTAAAATCACAATTCACAACAGTAAAATTCTTAAAAGTTTTTGTCGTAATTTTACTTTTCTTTATAGTGCAGGTGGCAAAACGGGCAGGAGGCTCAAGTGATACCACTGCCCATGGACACTATTAATGCCAGAGGGCTCGCTAGTGCGTTGCCGGCCTTTTTTTACTAACGTACCTTATAATAAAATATTACTATCACATTAAATGCTTTATATGTTTTATTATTTATTACAGGTGACCCTATCAGAGAGTCAGACAAGCAAGCTAAGGGCCGATCTATCCGTGGTTGAGGGCAACATGACAGTTATGAATGACATGTTGAACGAACTGACAGCACAGCCGTATACGCAGCATCACGAATCTGACATACAATTGCTTGATGTACGTATTTATTTGCCCCAAATATTTAAAAAAAAATCAGGCAGCTTTCTATTGTTGCAATTTCATTTTTTCATGGTATGGCGTCTGTTATTTGATTTTTCTGTTAAAATACTTTAGCACTTCTTTAGCTAATGTTACTAATAAACCCTTAATATCGTTTCTGGAAGTTTCTATTATGTTTTTATTTTTTATAAAGCAAGTAGGGGGCTAATCCAGAAAATATCCTTTTTTTTTACTTTAATTTTAAATTTAAATTTTAATATCAAAATTATACTCTTAGGAGTTGGCAGACACACTCCGGGCCATGCAAAGTCGGGTGGCAGAATTAGTGGGGCGTGTATCTGACGAGTGCCCTTTGACAGCCCAGCTATTGCTAACTAACGACCAGTTACACAACTTACTTCTGAGACACTCTCGCCTAACCAGCAACCGGTAAGCGAAAGATTACCATATAGAAACGTTAAATGTGTAAAATTTAAAACGAATAAAAAAATTTTTTTTCAGTAAACAAAATATACAAAATTTTAATTTTTTTTGAGATTATTTTTATACTTGACTAAATCCAAAACGCAACTATTACATTAATTCAGAAACGCAGCTACCGGTGTTGCCACGCCATCGGCCATTCTCGGTGCCGCCATGGGAGTTCCTGGGACTGTATCACGTAAGTTTATACATTTTTTTTTAAATTATTGTTACCCATAATTTTTCATCGCTGTATTGTCTGATTTGTGGCGCTTAAGAGAAAAATCACCTTTCGACAATGATCACACTCGCAGGTGAGTGACCTGCGATTTGTCCCGATTTTCATACAAATTTATTTGGCATTAGTGGGTCACGCTTGTCCCAAAGTGATTTTGTCTCAAGCCCCTGATTTTAGAGTGCATTCTTATTTAAATTTCGAATCTGCAAAGAAATTTTGAATTTTATTTGAATTTCGCCCTCGCTTTTTCATTAATTCTAAATTCAAATTTTACTTTCAGCCCCCAAGAAAGAGGAGGACGCACTCATCGATCTAAGTGACGATGTTCCTGATATTGCTAAATTAAGTATGTATTATTAAATGTAATTAAAAAGTATTTTTGATAATTTCTCTTGCTTATATTCTTAAAGTATTGAAGAAATAAATATTATATTTGAAAAATAAAAACATTAAATGCTTTCTTCCTTTAATATTGAGGGTTTTTCATACGAATATTTTTGATGATAAGTTTATTAGGTAAGTCGAGCGGGCCTGATGTTATCCTACCTATTGTGCTCCTGAGTTGGCTCCGGTCCCGACCCGCCTTTTCCGGTATCTGTACTCGCTCGGTACTGACCACAACTTCTGGAAGACTGCTTCAATACGCCCACACGAACGATGTTCGGTTTTCCAGTCATTTCTAGGGAAAGGCTACATTAGCCTCTAAGAAGCTTGGTGGGGTCAGCAAGGCGAGACGGTACTTCACTCCATCGCAAGTTCGGCACATGGAGTTCACCTTTGGGCGGAAGCTACCCAATACCAGCTCTTTCCACTTGAGCTTATTCAAGGATGAGCTTCGACAGCAACGAAGTTCGATTCGTCGACGCCCAATCCCTTTCCGAGCGGCTTAATCTCTTGGCGTTACGTAGAGATGTGGGGCTCTCTCTGCATCTTCTATCGCATTTACCATGGAGAGTGTTCGGATTTATTCATCATTGCCGTATTCCATGTCCGTAGTTCCACAACTGAGCGTCTTTAAGGCTGTTTCTGGACCGCTATGACCATTCAGCTTTTTTAAAAAATAAAGTATTTTTAACGTTATAGGTGTGACAGACACGAAGATTGAGAAGTCTCCAAGCGGCTCCAAGGACGAGTTTGACATGTTCGCTCAATCTCGAAATGTCACGTATGAATCTTCCAAAACTGGGTAAGAAAACATAAACCAAAAACCAACCAATTTCAACCAATTCGACTTAGGGTCCTTCAAGAAAAGAGCGTACTAATTATTAAAAAGCCGGCAACGCACCTCTGGCAATGCGAGTTTATGGGCAGCGGTATCACTTAACATCAGAAGAGCCTTCTGTCCGTTTAGGTTCTTAAAGGCACTGTGCTTCTAGGAGAGTTCTTTGCAATGTATGTCTGTTATTATTTATTAATATAAAAAAAATATTACCTTTATAATAGATTTATTTATTTAAAATATATCAAAAATAAACTATTGTCTAATAAATCAAAAGGCTGGATGCTTCGGGCGAATATCACCGATTTTTATTTAATTATTTTTGGATTTACTTAATGTTAAATAATTAATAGATTAATTATAATAAATTGTGCGTGTACTAGGTGTACACACGTAAGAAGCGAAACTTCTTTATGACCTTATTTTTCGAAAAATTGTCTACTAAATGCAACATTACAGAAATTCGTTAAATTAGATAAAGTTTAACAAAAGGCTTTTATTATCATAGATATGAATAAAAATATTTCATTTTACCTTATTACTACGTAGATTATTATAGAATTTCATTAATTGTAATAGAATTATTACTATCATTGAAAAACGTGACGATTTGCTACAAAATTTCTCCCATACGTCGATAAAGAAGTTTCATTCCAACGCCGATAAAGAAGTTTGACTTCAAAAAGCAACATGGCGCGTAACCGAAAAATGTGACGCGTAACGAAAAAATGTTACACTAAATTTTTTTCCAACCTCGATAAAGAAGTTTCACTTCAATAAGTAATAATAATAGTAATTATAGGGAGTAGTTTTTGTATTATTATAAGAATTTTTATATTAACTAGCTGCCGCCGCGAACTTCGTTTCTCCTTAATGTGATTTTACTTAGCCTACCTTTTTAGTACATACCAACATGGAACATTTTGCTAACAGACTGTTTCGTTTTCCGGAATGAAAACTTTTTACGTTTTTTTGTGAATTTTTCTCTATATAAACCACAGAGTTCAAGTCGTAAGATTTTAAATAACAAATAAAAAAATAAGAGAGGTGAAAATTAAGGGTTGTATGTATTTTTTATGCTGCATCATAAAATCAAAAATTATTGTCTAAAAAATAAGAGCATTTTTTGGGGTGAACACCCCTTATCACTTAGGGGTTTGAAAGATAGATAGTAGCCGTTTCTCAGACTTACTGAATATGAATACAAAATTTCATAAGAATTGGTCGACCCGCTTGGGAGGATTATGGAACACAATGTTCGTTACATTGTGACACGAGAATTTTATATATTAGAAGTACGAGCCAAGGCTGTGAGGCTTAGTTAGTTTTATAAACGTGACGATTTCCTAAATGGTCGGAGTTACGCCCCGAGAGGACAGCCAGATTCAGCCACTCTTTTCAACTGTTACATTGCATTCATTCGTTACATAGTAATTAACATTTCATTATTTCGCTTATATTATTGTAGTATGCGAGTAAAACTAAAATCGTCTATTATTTAATGCACCCAGGAACCGTACAAATAATTTAAAAACTCACGCTTCTTATTTTTACAACCTAATTGTCTATCATTACACATAATTTGTTGGTTAAGAATTTGTTTTCTTTTAGTGGAAGCAGTTACGCGGACAACTTAGAGGAGCAGACGACAGCGGGATTAGCAACGGCCGCTAACACACGAGCGACCCAGCAACCCTTGGTAATTATTCTTTGTTAGGGAGCGTTCAAGTATTACGTAAAGAATTTTGGGAGGGGAGTCCTTTTGTAAAACGTTACGATGCGGGGCGGGGATTGAATTACGCGTTATTGTTAATATTATTTTCGACTTTCCAGTACTTTACACCACATAATGGTAACTTTTAGGTATACAGAATAACTAGGTGGTCACGAAACGTGCAGAAAAACGTTACGGCGTGTAACATGGGGGCCCCCTTCAATCTCAAAATCAATAATCTCCAAAAATTGCGTGACGTCATACTTGAACTCTCCCTTATCCGATTTCAGAAAAGAAGCTTCGTTAAAGACTTCGGCAGAGGCACGGTTAAACCTTAGAGTTTTATTTTTACAATGGGCTATTTGATGACATTTTAAAAACAATTTCAGATTATTTATTAATGACTAGAAACTATACCAATTGTTATTTTTTATTCTGTTTTGGCTGTAAATTTCAAATTAAACAGTCATAATTTCACAAACCTGCCAAAACGCGGTGTTACGTGATAATTTTCATTAAAATATATTGAATTAATAAATTATAGATTTTTAGGTTAATTCATGATTGTATAGAAGTTATTTACTCCTAAACTCCTTTAAAAGACGTGCTTTATATGAATTAAACTGAACTTAACACTTTATTTTACATACTGTAAAACAGCCTTGCCATTTTTTCTACAAAAAAAATTTATTTAATAAATAGTACGAACCGCAAACAGAAGATATAGTTAAAAAATATTCTATTGGGAAGGTGTGGCGGAGGAGGGGAGGGAGGAAACTTTAATCATGGTTTAACGTTTGTTTGATTGTTCTAAAACTTGAATGCATTGAAGTTTTTAAGCAATATTCCTTAACACCTTTAAAAATTAGTATAATATGTATGCATTTATATATAGACCAATTTTTTTTTTACCTTACTTTATTTTGACAGCCATCGGGAATGGATCAAAGGGAAATCGATGAGATATCTGCTTGGTTAGAACAAGAAAAGGTGATTTTTCGTTTCTTTTTATTTACAATCTCTGTTAATTCACTTAATTACTCTGGTTTTATTTTGAATCAATTTCTTTTACTACCATATAATTTTTGTTTTTGTTTAATCTATTTTTATTGGTTACCACTAAAGCACATACAATCCAGCCGACCTTAAACGATTGATTTTCGGAAAACATTTAAAAAGCACATGACCAATTACTATACAATAGTAACGCTTTCGCTTATAGTGTTTTTAACAATTATAATTGGATTAAAACACGTCAATACAGGCCGCCACAGAAGCCAATGCCAACGCTGGACAAGAAAGTGTAACGAGCAGTGACTTCGAGAAGTTTCTAGCAGAGAGAGCTGCCGCAGCAGACAGCCTCCCTGACGCCAATAACACAAGCAACACGCCCAGGCACCGACAGATCAACAAGGATCAAGATTCGATGTTCGCCCTATAACAATCCGGATCGAAGGACCAGGTCTGTGACGTCACTCCCACCATGATTAGACCTTTACGCCTCTAAGGCGTCTATTAGCGAAAATCGTTGAAGGCAATATGTCTTATGTTTATAGAAAAAATTATGAATTTTAGGAGTGGCTAATCTTTTAAGGGTTAATTCGGACTAAGTTCTATCATATATGTTTAACTTACTATGTTTCGCATTTTGTGCTCAGTCCTGTTCCTGTTTAACGGGGCGTTTGTTGCCATGGCAACGGATATGCTGTGGCTTTATGAATTTAAATCGGTCGGAGTGTCGTTGAACTCATATTGTATATGTACCGGAATATGCACCTTATGAATTAAGATTAATTTTAAGAGATTTTTTATTATGCAAACATACACACAAATGTCCAGTCTCCTTTGTAAGCAGCTATTTTTGAACTGTATATGGCGCGACTCCAACTTTTAGGATAAGATTCAGAAATGAGACTTAGCGTTCAGTTTCGTCAAAAATGTATTGGATCTTGACATATGGAAGTCAGTTCGTTAAATCTAGTTTCTGAATCTCACCCTCTTTTTTTCAATCTATATTTATGTTAGGGGCCGTTCAAGTACTACGTAAGCAGATTTACTGTAATTTATCCCCCCCCCCCCTCCTCTTATCAGCAAAAGTAAGCAAAGCTATCAAAAATAATAGTACCTAAACGTATTATTTTTTTGTAGGAAGCATAGACAATGTGTGGGTAATATGTGTAAAAAAGTAAATATATAATTTTGACGTAATCACCAAATAAGAAAATCTAAGACCCCTTCTCCCACCTATGGCGCTTACGTAATACTTGAACGGCCCCTTATAGCGCGAGTCTATAATCTATATAATTGAATAAAATCTTTATTGTACAAAATAGGGAACTGGATATTTTAACTTTGCCACTTGTAACTTATTTATTGCATAAAATTATGATAAAAATTATTTTAATCAAGTTAGTTATATTATTTAGTTTAAAAAACATTGTGTAATAACACTTCAACCTTCCGCCATGTTTCCTAAAATGTGCACTGAAATCTCTGCACGAAATATTTAAAAACTAATAAACTAATACAACATTCTTGAATGGGAAATTTGAGCAGCGCTTCGTGGGCCTATTTGTAACAAAAATGTACAAATTTCAGGGAAAATCGATTTATTCGAAATGTCAAAAGTGACTACGTATTGAATTACGTGACAGAACTATCGTACGGCTCTGTAATTTATGAAAGCCGGAAATAGAATCGCAATAAAATACAAGCATTATGCCTTAAGTGTGGGACCTTTATACATGTTCTCAATGCTAGCAAAGATTTCTCGTATAACATTCGTGTAAATTTATTAGATGTTTTGTTAAGTACACTTGTACTGAATGTTCAGGGTTGCCATTACTAAATTAAAGAAAACAAAAATGCAAAAATATTGTATTGTAGTTTTGGCAACCCTGTCCTCTTTTGATCTTCGCACCTAGGAGCTAGACAAGTATAGCTTCCCGCGTCTCGTAGTCTATATAAATAAGCTTACGAAACTTCATACGCATCTGCTTTAGTACGTACGTGTACACAAAATGTGATATTTAAATTTTTTATTTAATCGTAGCTGACATTTTTACTAATGTATTCACTTGATTATAAAATTAATTTTAAAAAATTGAATCTTTTGTTGAATTTTTAATTGAACCACCAGAAACAACACGCAATAGATAATTGAGGTTGGAACGTACGCAAGCGACATTAAAAAAATATAACTTCATAGATTTTGCGTGTACGAGATAAAATAGTAAACCTTATTTGTCTATTTTGTGCCTGTTTTTTAATAATGAATAACTTATATTCGCCTAAGCCATTCCATCTCACTTAATGAAATTTGGTGTTAATGTGATAAACATGGAACAAGCTTAATATTAATAATTTAAAAGAGTTATTTTGTGTTTTAATCGTTGTATTTAAGATAATAAATGAAATGTGCGAATTAAATTGTTGTTTTCTTGTTATCCTGTGACCAATACGCCACATTTAACGAATATTCTGTTGCTTATAGATGAAATTAAAATTGTAGGGGAACACTAAAACAGAAATGATTACAATTTCATAAGGTTAGTCGTGATTTGCCCTAACTAGGAAGTGTGCCTCGAAAAAAATATTACAGCTAGATAGAAAATATAATGTAACTACTCTACTGGCATTCAAATTGCTCCATGCAGATTAGAACGATATTCGTATGAATTTCGAAAATGTCATACATGTTTCATTTAAGAAATAATCTTTGGACTATAATTAAGATGAATTAGAGAAGCGGGCATTAGAGTTGTTGTTTAATCATGAGACTAAATCGTCAGTGCACCTGCTGTACTTGTGGTTTATGAGCATTATTGACTAAAGTACACCACATCATGTTTAAGTTACAATCTATATATTCCAAAAACATGACAATTACGGTGAACAGAAATTTTACACGAAATAAAAAAATACTAAAAGTATTACACTTATAATTTTAGTTTTTACTAGTAATTTTTAGTTTAACAAGGGGTTATTTTTTCTGGTGTAAGTACTTAATATGAAAGCACTTGTTTTCATTATGGATCATACCATTTAATAAGCAATAATCTTATATACCATTAAGATCACTTAAAGAGCAATATCAGAGGCAGAGCTAATAACATTATAAATTTTTAAATCATCCGAGACGCTTTACAGTGCTTTATATTGTGCATTAATTAGTTCGTAGTGCAATTCTAGTCTTCCTTAATAAATTGTGTGAATATATTGAATATCTCTCTGTCTCATTCATTCATTCACTCACGTATATGTTATGAGATTTAAAAAACTGAACTGAAAGACTGAATCTAAGATTTGATCCAGAAATCGGCGTTCGATGTGTCGGACACAGAAGGGTTATCTATAAAAGATAAATTAAGGAATGTAATTTCAAGCCAACACCAATAAAAGGGTGTTCACGCCATCCATGTACCTTTAGTCCTATCTGTTCACATTTTCTGTCCTTACCGCACTCATTCCCTAAACACCACTCTGTCTCTATTGCTATATTCAAGTGTAGGAGGAGGGGACTATTTACCCTTCTTGTGCTTACACAAGTTTGTGGTATTCTCCCACGGAGACAAGTAAAGAGACGGGCGACTATCGGTGAGTGGCGTTTTTTATATTTTTACGCCGCTTTCCACGTGTCCCTCGGCCTACTTTTTTTTTGTCTTCCCTACTACAAGGGTTGCAGCACTACTGGCTTATAACAGCCGAAGGAAATGAATTGCTTAGCGATAATACGTGAAATGAGAATTAGTTATCTCATCTCTCCTTAGGTCTAAATAGATCCGTAAGTTAAATACTAGGCCCAACATTAAGGAAAATAAAAACGTATTATAATATTTTAATATTTTTTATTTATCAATTTCTGTATCCACAATAAACAGACGCGGATTTTATTCAAAGCAATATTTACATTTTATAACCAAACGTGAGAAAATATTTGATCTTTTCGAAGCACCTTCATTATAACATCTTAAACAATTTCATAAACAAATATTTCACTTAACCAACCAATTATTGTGATGAAAAACTAACTACGCATAAAATGAGATTTAAGCTAAAAAGCCGCTCTTGTTCGATGTAACACAACTTTGTACTAAGGAACGTAAAAAAACATTATGATACAGAAATTATAAATATACACAGATATATAATCTAATTGCTGCTGATTATGAAATAAATTATTAATAAATTACTGCCATACCCCTAAATATTTAGGAAATTAATACAGAGTATTCATGGAAAATATCATAGACCATACAATATGGCAATAGATGATTCATTATAAAGTGTAACCATAGAGAAATATTTTTAATCTGTTATAAAAGTTCATAAACAACGAAAAATGAAGAACAACCTCAACTCATAGTATAAAAATTAACAGCCTAGCTTATAAAATGCACAGGTTAAGTGTAAGTTTAGAATTACATCTATACAGTACTATATCTATGGAAGTCTCAGAGAGATTGGCCGCTTTGCTTATAATTCGTCCCGAGGCGCTGCGTCTTCCTCGTCTTCTTCCGACTGTAAATATATTTGTTAATTAATATGAATCGATATTTGCAGCAAAATAAAAACTTAAAAATTACCTCAATTAATTTATACTTTGCATTAAGACATGCATTATCGTAAAAGCATAGATAAAAAACGTAGAATGTTTGTGTATTTTAAATATATACCTAAATGCAATAGATTTAACACACCAAAGTATTATAGAAAAGGGCATAAAATCAATAATCTTGCTAATAGTGCTGATAATTCTGACTAGTCGAAGTAATACAATATAAAGAAAAAAATATATAAATAACTATAAATAGACCAAAGTGGTTTTTTATATAAATATACTTACCACAGATGGCACTGCCTCTGAAGCTTCTCCGTCAGTTTCAACAAACTTGGTGAGTCCGGCTAGCGTTCTTTCACCGTTGTAGTCCTTGACCTAAAATTAAAAAAATATAACATGCATAAGTCATATACAATAATATATACATACATATACAAATTTATTCTAAAAACATATGAAACGCGAGTTGTCAATGGAGACTTGAAAACACTTTTTTGATCGACAATTCCTATTCTCATTATGTAATTATAATCTGGTAAATATATATCAATATTGCATCGAATTGGACTTGTTTGAGAATTAGAAACCAGAGCATGGAATTTTTCTTTAGCGCTTAAACGATGAAGGCAAACATCGTGAGGTCTCAAACAGAAAAATCGAAGAAACGCATGTAATCAAAATCTAAAAGAATAGGATTTGGGTTTACTGGATTATTATTTGAGAAGTAGAAACAAAATTACAATTTACTCCCATCAGCATAATATTAATTGCTTAATGCATACCTGGTTGTCCTTAGAGTAGAGTTTGATGGTTGGGAATGAGGTGATCTTAGTGTGCTCCAACTCGTTGGCGGTGGCATCGATCTTGGCGATGACTACGTCATCATCCTTCTCGAAGTGTTCACCGAGCTGGTCATAAATTGGGACCAATTGCTTGCAGTGTCCACACCTGAGGAAGTTATTTTTATTTAAGTTTTGCATTGCAACTTTGCTTAGGTAATATATAAACTTTGATAAATAAAGTATGTAGATATATATATTTATAATAGAGCATTGGCTTCAGCGTGCGACTCTCATCCCTGAGGTCGTAGGTTCGATCCCCGGCTGTGCACCAATGAACTTTCATATATAGAAGTAAACCTTTATATATTTTTTTAATTACTACACTGTCACGTAGATGTGTCACCATTAATTACGTATATAAAGTAATCTCTTAGATCAGGTGATGCAATATTAGTCATCTTTCTTTGTAAATTGCTTGCAGTCCCGTTAAAAATTAAATTATGTTCTTAATTTAATTTTTATATCAATAAGTTTTCTATTGTATTAGTAGTAAGTTACTGTAAGAATTGAAAATAAATAAAAAAATATTTTCTTCATTTGTAACCTGTCTCCATGTCAATAAGAAAATACCTATAAAATTAATTGAATAACTCCTAATGAGTTTACCGCACTTGTGTAAACATAATTACACCATTTAATAATGACTAGACAGTAGACACGTAACTACGCTTACAATGAAATAAAAATTAATTCGATTGCGTAAGAAATATGGATCTTTCTAGTCTGAAAAAAATATACAGTCTAACCTTTTATAAAAAAAGGTGTCATTATTCAAGATAATAAGTTGATTTTTCGACGTAAAGATGATCAATATGTTTTTAAAGGAACCCCTTATTAGCGTAAAGTCTAAATAATCAGTCTTTCAAAATCAAAATCTTTTAAATGACAATAAAAAAGCTACCACATTCACAAAAATACCATAAAATTGTAATACAATTCATTATTACGGTAATAAAAAATCTAATTGTTCTTAATTCAACATACCAAGGCGCGTAGAATTCAACAAGAACCTTCTTGTTGGTGTCAAAGACAACTTCATCAAAGTTTTTAGCGACCAAAACCTTCACGGGTTGTGCGGACCAGTCTTCGGGCACGTCCTCGCTGAGAAGGTGCTGCTTCAAGGTACCAGCGAAGAAGGATTGGATGAATTCCTGTAGGGAAGTATAAAATAAAAACTGTTACTGATCGATCTACACAAAAAAAATGAAATATTGTTACTTGGCAATATTTTACATGGGAAAAGTTACATGTAATTTTTTATGAAAATTATTATAGCGACAGATACAAAAAATTGTTTGAATGTATAGGTTATTTTATCTCCATACCTCATAGGCTACGGAATATTTTCTTTACAAAATTTATATTACTAAATTTATATAAATTGGTTTCCATGTCATTAAAACAAATAAAAAAATGATAAATCCCTATTTGACTTATAATTATCAATATAATGATAACACAAAATACAAATGTAGGATTATTAGACTTAAATAATTTCGTTGTTTGTTTGTTGTTTCAATTATGCACCTAAACTCCTTCCTCCTTCCTCAGGAATTACCTACATTCTATTGGTGAAACCCTTATTATAATCCGTTCCGTAGTTTTTGAGTTTATCGCGTTTATACAAAGTCGCGGAATTTAATAAAAACTTGTATATATTAGCTTTTAGTTTAATTTTATTGTAGATTAAGTTTGGTAATTGTATAATTTTTTAGTGTTACTAGTAATTTTATAATGTTGATTTGGTTATTTTTTTGCAGTTTACTCTTAGTATTTCTTTTTTCTTACTAGAGTTATCTGGAAGAGATGGCTTGTGAGCGATAATGTTGCCAATTGTTTCCCTAATAATTTACGTTATTTGTTTTTACTTTAATGTAACGAAATTTATATTTACTAGTTAATTTGTAAATCTACACTGTTAAAGATACCCCATTAACGCCATCGGAATATTTTAACCAAAGGTCACTGTCAGATAATAATTAAGATAAGAGTAATTTTTAATAGGTTTTAAATGCAATCTGAAACAGAGAAATACTAGTATGTTATCAACGTCGGTTGCGATAACGCGTATCGGTTATACTTATTATGTAATGCATTAAATATACTTTTATTTCTATATAATACAATAAATCGATCGCGCTTGCAACCTTTTTAGATCTGTTTCATGATCATTTGTCATTCTAATAGGTATGTAGGTGATTAGCCTCCAGTGCCTAACAACACACGGCGTCAATTTTTTTGGCCGAGGGAATATTAAACGCGATCATAGAATGAAAAGCCATTAGTGCACAGTCCGGGATGGAACCTAAGGCATGAGAGTCACGCTGAAGGCACTAGACCAACACTGCTCTTTTTTACTATAGAAGAGCTAGAGTAGAGAACGTTTTACGATCCCTATTACAACTTAATCGAGATCACTTATTTATACAACATAATATATTCCATCGCCATACTTACGAATTCTATTTAATAAAATATATATGAATCTAGCGGAAAATTTACCAATAAAATACATTTTTATTTTTTACATGTCAGATTGAAGATGAAACTTGTTGACGTTCTATTTTTAAATAACGTGATGCATTGAAGAACTTAATATTTTTCTACATACTAGAAAACGTTAATATGTTTTCTTTTTGATATAACAGGAGACAACGGGAAACGGGACTCTCCTGATATCAAGTGATATGCGTTGCCGACCTTTTAGAAATTGTTACGCTCTTTTTTTGACATACAATAAGTCGAATTACTGCTGTGGGCAGCTGGTTCCACAATATTACGCAAGAAATATATGAATACGAGTGAAATTTCGGAATTTCGTATTCTCTGTAATAAAATCTCTACCTTCGCTACGTGTTCGTCCTGACCGTTCGCTTGACCTACTTTATAAATATAACAAAAAATAAAATACGTTTATTATGGAACATAAGATACAGGTATCACTTATTCCAGGTCATTAAATTTGAATAGGTAGACATCCTTAGTCATCGGCAAAGAAGACAGAGGGTGTAGGCCGAGAGAAAAAGCCGGCGAAAAAAACTCTCGGTACTCTTTTAAAGTAGCAAATCATCAAACAACAATTAATTAGAAACAGCCTGTCCCAGGCTCTTTTATCAACTAGATAATCGTTAATTTTATAGTGTAAGCCTTTTTACAGAGCTTTTCTTAAATTTATTAAAAGGCAGAGATAAAAGAGCCTCTGGAATTTTATTAAAGAAGAGTATCCCTTAAGAGTATAATGAGGGAATGATCGCGAATTGACATTAAATAGCAAAAAACGTCTAAACTTCCAAAGAGACCTATTTGTTGGGAACTTAAAAATCTCATTCATACATTACGCATTACATTCGGTATTCGACGGTGCGGTTTCCTATAGTCTTTACGTAGATATAATTTTAATTTCCCTCACAATTGCAATTTACAACTTAGCATATAACACTTAAATGATTTGTGTTTAGGTTCCGATTCTGTACACTCACGATTCGTCAAGCCGTGTACCGATAAGACCATGACAAGTTAATTGAAAGCTGTATTATTTAATTTTCCGACGAATTAAGATTTTGCTAAGTATACGTCAATATAATTTCAGTTTATCTAAATATTTATTGGACATACAAGAGTCATAGGTCGCGCTATTCGCGTCTGAATCTCAACCTTAAAGTAATAAATGTCAAACATAAAGTAATGGCAATGTATCTTAATAATTTATCAAAACATAGCTTTTAAAAAAATATATAAAAACAAAAGAGAATAAAATTTAAATATATACGTATTAATTGATATTCGTATAGTTGTTGATCATTTTTGATATGTCTATATTCAGACTTCGCTACAGTACCTTCATTATATATATATATATTTTTTTAATCCATCTGAATCTGGTTTTTATCAGATTTTATGCGAAATTATGGCAATTAAGAAACGCAAATCTAATATTTTTTTATTCCCTCCGTAATTCGTAAACTGTCAGACAGCGGCAAGTTTGGCCCGTTTCAGCTTCGGGCCTCTTGGAAACTACGGACAACCAACCAAGGTACAACCCCCCTGGTTGACTTGTTTCTGAAGTCTCATTTTGTATCGCACGGTTGACCTTTTAATGTCTTCGTCGACAGTGGCAATTCCTAAATATTTATGGACTTCAGCATTTCGTGTTAACAACGGCGCACCGCTCATATTTCGCAGTGTTTTGTTTTTCATTATAATCTGTGAAAAAAGTTTTATTTACCTCAATAGCGTTAGCAGTGAGTTCGTTGGATGCAGGTTTGTATTTGGCCATGTCTTGTTCCAGGGCAATAAGACGAGCGGCTGGCACTTCTTCCTTCTTCATGCCGAAGAACTCCAAGATTCTGCAATAAAACATATTAATTACAATCATACTTTAGAACTGAAAATGCCTTTAAACAGACGTTTCTATCTTTGGAGGATGCCGTATTTTAGCCAATATAATCAAGTCCTAAACTACCATTGTTACACATTACAACTCATAATTAATTAATTTCAATTCTTAAATTAAATTCTTAAATTGTATCACCTACTTTTGTCTATAATAACATGTTTATGAACAAAAAACATGGTGATTTCGTATTATTGGGAGTTTACCTTTGATGGTCATCCTCATCAGTGTCGATGGCAACGGTCATGATCTTCTCACGATAGGTCTTAGCGACGGGCTTGAGTCCATCTAAGTACTTTTCGAAGTCACCGTTTTTCTACAAAGTAGAAAGAATACTATAAGAATGGTTCCATATTATTACAATTATCTGGGGGTGTTTTAAATAATTTATGAAGTTTTAATGATTTGAGACTTGCGTGACTACGAAAACTAAATATGTAGTTGACAAAAAAAATTGGCTTTAAATATGGTAACACTAATTAAATTAATGAATATAGAACGTTAAAAAACCAACTTGCAACAAGATTGCGTATACCAGTTTTGTGTTGGTTTCAAGTCAACGCGCGAAAAACATATATGTTTTGTGAGAAAATATTTTTTCGAACGAACGAACGAGTCGCTTAAGTGAATATTGTGTGGGACGCTCATTTGAATATTCTCATATCTGTGTGCATTCTAAGAGGATGTAGGAATATTTAGAGAACAACAAACTACCGTTGTTTTTGGTTATCATTTTGTTTCTATCGTATTTCATAATTTCCTAATACTTTCCAAGATTTAAATGTATTCTACCATCCATCGATTACGTAGCGAGAGGGCAATGTTCAATGTCTGTAAAGTTCATTGACCTATAACGTTTGTCTTGAATATTAATTTTTATGCCGGAGAAAAAAGTTTAACAGCTTTCAGACATAGCTTTATGACTACAAAATCAACTTTTATAGTTAAAACAATATTGTAACTGTAATATTAAGAACGTGACGTTTATTATGTGGCCTGAGACTTCTGCAAATGTTCTTCGTCATAATTATCTTAATAGTCTAGTAGGTTATCAGACAGATACATAGATTTTTGGATCACAAGCACAATGGCTCTCTTCGGATTTCCTCAACCATATATGCGCACATTTGCAAAAAAATTTAAGCATGCAGCCATGATTCAATCGCGCGACCGAATGTTTGTGAGTAGGTGTTCAAAATTACTACTTTCACAAATTTAAAGCTCCACTAAGCATGAAGTCAGATCGTGATCGAAAGCTAAATAAATAGGTCACTTTTATCGAATACTTTCGCCAGTCATGAGATCTTATCACAATTTTGCGAGAACTGAAACATTTGTTTTCAACTTGACCTTGATAATGTTTTTACAATATAAATGATTGTTACTAATAAATGTTGATCAGTAAAAACAATTACTAACGGCAATTAATCAGTATGTTGATAAAAAGATAATTTTATATAAAGAGAGGACAATAATAGTATATTAATACCATAAAATTAGCGACGTGTAAGCCACGTGGTTTTGCCAACTAGTTCCATGTATTTTGTCTTATTATTCATGACCTGGTTCACTGTCAGTGAACAATATATCAAAGTTAAGCTTATGAATATTTATTGTGATAAGAATATCATAATTATCATGTTGCAGATTCAAAATCATGAATAATTTATATTACTTTAAAAATAATTTCTAGACGGATGCAGCAATCTGAAATGAATATGTTTATATCACAATAAAAATACTGAATAATTTAGTCATTAAGCTGTCTATCTAGGCACTTTTTAGATAGTTAATGATTTTTTTTTAAATTTCTTACCTTGGACAAGAACACGAGGAGGTGGTACTTAATTTGTCCACCAAAGATCTTGGAAGCTGTCTCATGAGAGAATTCAACAACGGTAGGCATGCTCTGTACAAACACCCAGTTTTTCAAGATGTCTTCGTTCAAGTCTTCACCTTCAAACTTGACACTTGGGTCTTCGAACTAGTGGGAAAATATTTGAGTTAGATACATGCTATATTTATCAGTTCTCCAGTAGCTTTACTGAGAAATTTAATAAACATTACAATCTAGGTCTAACTTATGTAAATTCGTGATTCGCATTAGTAATACTGTTATGCAATATATCTTTAGGACTGAAGTATAAAGATAGGAATCATTTGTGGGGTAAAAATATATTATACTTATTACTATTACTTTAAAATTAAAATTAAATTTTTACATGGCTGTTTTTGTTCAAATTCCTGCATATTAAGAAGTAGATAAGAATTAATTCCACTAAAATTAATGCCAAGCTAAACCAGTATTAATGTCATTATTGTTACTTTGTTCATAAATAATTTAACCTGCACTGGATATGCATATTAAGATAAGAATTTTGTGTTTGAGTTTTAATTACTAGTTTCATTAGTCAAATTAATTATGCTTAAAATAATTGTCATTGTTATACTTACTTTCTTGTATAGCACAACATCTTCAGCCTTGGCTTCCAATTCTTCAATAAGTTTCTCATCAGTTACAATAGCAAATACTTGGTCATCTACCAAACCAGCTGTATTAAGGAAGGCAACAGCCTTTTGGGTTGTTTGGTCTGGGAAGAAACCAAAAATGATGACATTGTTTGCAGCAATCAGCTCCTTAGCTTGTTCTGATGATGCAACATTCACAGCTGGTGGTCCAGTCTTCTTCTTTATCCACGCAATAATGTCATCAGCTTGACGACCACCTGTTTAGAAAAATTTACGATTTAATAATGACTGTTAATTTCCTTATATAACCTTATATAACCGGCTAACATGCCGGTTAGTCATAAAAATGTCATTTAACATTATGTTTTCAAACTTATAAGTAACTGTAACATATTTATTAAACATTACATTATGCGACTAATTACCGACATTAATCTCAAAGTATATGATAAAAATAATTACCAGAGTATTCAATAGGGTTGCCGTTCTTGAAGAAAATGAGTGTTGGGTATCCGCGAACTTTGTATTGTTCAGCCAGATCCTGTTCTTGAGTAGCGTCAACTTTGCCGAGCTTAATGGGCGAATCCTCCTCCGCCAATTTAGTAGCAGCTTTTGCGTATTCTGGAGCGAGCGATTTGCAGTGTCCACACCAAGGTGCATCTATGACGTAGGCAACAAATTAATGATACAAAAAAGCCGCCCGGCCACTTTTCCGACAAAGAAAATTGCTTAAGGCCGGATAATTAATATTTGAGAAATGTAGATGGAATATAACAAAAAAAACATCCAGACTTACAGAATTCAACTAAAATGTACTCTGTCTTTGAAATAACATCATCAAAGAGCGGTTTGGTCAGCACAAGTACATTATCTTCTGTTGGTATTTCGTCTCCGATAGCGGAACCCAAAAGGGCTATCACACAAATTGATAACAAAAATCTCATGTTGAAATTCTTGACTTCCAGTCCGTATTACTTACTATCTTCTACTCGGAAGACGAAACTTAATAAAATGCCGAAAATGCCACTTCACAACCGTACCGACTGTCTCACTCGACGTGGCAGCGTCGATCGTGTGTTTGGCTGTGATTGGTTAATTTTACGTTTTTTTAATTTGTCATTTTAAGAATGGAGAATAGGTATTTTGACATCAACTTATCTATATTGATACAAATACTTTTATAAAAATGTAATAAGCATGAAACACGGTTAATCTTTTCTAACGCACCTCAGAAAATCTGTTTTATCTTTGTAATTGAGTATTATCTAATTCATAATAATATCTATTTAATAGTTTTGCCTCAGACGAGTTTTGCCGATTTATGTATCTGATAAAGTTGTCGTTGGATGTCAATAGTGCCGCTGTCATGCGAATAATACTTGACACTCGGACACTTGCTTGAGGCAGCCCTTTTCATCTCTTGTTGTTTTACTTGAATTGTCTTTACTTATACGATGTCCCTCAGCCCTCTACTTATTCTGTGTTATTAGTCTGTGATCCTTAAGAAATGCGCGAAATTGTGTTTGTTTAGAATTTTAAAAAAATTAATAAATTCATCCAAGGTTAATAAATAAATTTAAATCCCAGGTTTGATAGTTTTTTATGGGCAAAAATTTTTGGTGAAGAGTTGAATGATTTACAGATTGTATTTAAATATTAATAAAAATCAATAAAGCAGAATAATATACATAAGTACATTGGTTCAATAAGAACTATTAAAATCTAACATTATTTAACTTTCATGCAAGTAAAAGCCCATAGATGGTCACCAGTAAAAAAAAATATTGTTAAAATGTATCAGATCATTAAGCCACAAATCACATAAATTGGCCTTCAATCGCAGACTAGTCAATGTATTTTAGAATTTTAAAATTGGAAATCATCCAATTTTTACTCACTTCCTCACATTAGTTCAAGCTTGTAGATCATATTAATTGGAGAATACGGTAAAAAAATAATTATTAATAAGATATTTAACAATAATAGTTTACTAAACAAATTATATAAATTTCTTTATTAGTGAAGTAAATAAATAATGTAGCTATTAATTACATTTCAGATGTCAGAGATGACTGTTGTATCAGAAATATATGATGAATACAGTTACAAAACTGATAGTGCCCCAAGTAGAAAAGGAAGTAAGTTAATTAAAAAAATTCTAAAAGTATTTTATCTCACATGATCATAGAATGGTTCATTCAATGTGGTATACCTGTTAAATAAGTGACCTTAATTAAATAAAATTAATTTAACAGATGTCATATCCCAATTTCCATTTTTATTACCAAAAGAAAAAGCTAAGCGCACTTTTGATGAAGATGATGATTTGGATTTTGAAAGGCCAAGTAGAGAAGTTGTAAAAATTGGTAAGTAAACTTATTATTTAAATGTATTATTACTTTTTCCAAGCACACACAATCACTTTAAATAAATTTATTAAATGTTTAGATGTTGATGCAGATAGAATTCTTTTGTCATTATTTGAAATTAATAGTACTTCAAGAACATACTCCATAATTGATTTAACTATACTTTTTAGAACACAGTTTTAAAACGAAAATTGCCTTAGTGGGTCTTCAAGTATGGAGAGGAGCATTTTTGTTAGGCGACTTGTTAATCAATTTAGGAGTTAATGGTGAATTAGATGGAAAGACTATTTTAGAACTGGGTGCTGGAACTGGCCTTACAAGTTTTGTCGCCGGTATTTACGCGAAGAAAGTTGTTTGCACTGGTAAGAAATATTTACGCGATGGTTGCGAGTGAAGTCACACGTTCTATATATTTAAATAATACACATTTATTATTTTATTTGTGAAGCTAGTCTATCGATATTATTAAATAATTATTTATCTTAAGTAAAGAAAGAGGTGGAAGAATTAGACAGTTAAAACCCAGTCTAAAACTGTAAATTTACACTGAGCAAGCAATTTAGCGGAAGGGCAAAGATTAAGGCTAAGTTCAGATGACCGCGCGTAGCCGCGCGTCGCCGCGCGGTTGGAGCATTCACATGACGGTATATGTACGCGCGGCAGTGTGGCTTCAACATTGATTGACAATGGACGTGGAGGAGGCAATTTGCTTATGAATTTTATATAGAAGACTGAGACGTCGCAGAAGAAGACAAAGACGATACTGGGTGCATCCAATTTTAAGTGACAGACTTCTTTCCAGCCTGTTTGTCACTTTGTATCCCGACTTGAGGTTACACAAAGATAATTTTTTTAACTATTTCCGGATGTCAGTTGCATCCTTTGATTTTTTATACGATTCTATTGAAAATGATTTAAAATCCAGTGAAGATGCTATACCCAACCAATGCACCAAATACTTAATACCATATCTACGGTACTAATTTTACATCGATCTATGTGTCTTTCCGTCTCAAGCCGCGCGGATCAACTGAACAGGTCGATACACGCTTGCAAAACTTGTGCCGCGCGCGGCCGCGTGGAAGCGCGCGGGACAAGATCTTGCGCGCGGGTCGGAGCGCGCCGCGCGTTGGCGCGCGGTAATGTAGACGATAATTACCGTTTATATTGATCTTGTACCGCGCGGTTCGTAGTTCCGCGCGGTACCGCGCGGTCATCTGAACTTAGCCTAAGTGCGCTTCTATAAATTTTAACCCGATTCAACTTAAGCAAAAGATATATCAGAATACTTTTGCGGGAGACTGAATTGAAATCAAACCAATAAAATATCATCAGAATAAATCAGTGGTAGACTTTATAATTTCAAAATATATTATTTTATCTAGGTTTAAAATTCATCTAAATTCAGTTACATTTTTCAAATATTAATAAGATTCCCATAATAATTTTTCAGATATTGATTTAGGTGGTATTCTGGATTTAATAAAAATAAATGCTAGATGCAATTCCAAGTTAATTAAATCGGAATTTATAGTGTTGCCCCTTGATTTCACAAATCTTCACTGGAATCCTGCTTTATTTAAAGAAATACAACAAACTGATATTATTATCGCTGCTGATGGTAAGTTGGAGTTTTTAGATTATTCGAACAATTTATCGTTATAGATTTGCGAAGTACAACAAAGGGTAGAGTAAGGTAAGAATTAATCGAAAACAATATTGCCAAGCGCTTTGCCAGATATGTAACTAGCTAGTTCGTTTTCGGCCTACCTTACATTTATTTATCATTTGATCAATTACTTTAATAGAATCTTAGATTTCTTTATCGGGGAAACAATAATTGTTTCGGTTCGAAAGGCACAGATACTCAAATATTCTGTGAAGGGAAATAGTAGGCCCAGAAGACTGATAAGGCTGTAGTGGTGAAGTGGTATTTCCACCATATATTGGATCTGCACCAGAACTGTATCTCCCAATAGCTAGCTGCGATTCCGCGTGCAATGCTGAGTTTTTGATTCCGCGATCCCAAGGTTGCTGTTTCAGCGCCGCGAAACTATATTGAGAAAAACGTCGGGATCAACATTGCTTTTGCTATTGGAAGTTACAGAATACCGGTGAAGGTCATATCATGGTGCAATGGCGAATAAAATACGGGACTCCAAATAATAGATTTATTATATTATGTATTACTAGACTTTAATTTTTATTTCAGTAATCTACGATGACGACGTTACGTCAGCATTTGTATCGACAGTTCAGAAAATACTTGACACAAATCCACCAAAGACAATATATATAGTTCTAGAGAAGCGCTATGTTTTTACCATAGAGCATATGGAGTCTATAGCTCCATGCTACGAAACATTCCTAGCCTTATTGGATAAGGTTAAATGCGATTGGATAGTTGAACAACTCCCACTCAATTTCCCCAAATACTTTACGTATGATCGCGTAAAAGAATTAGTTTTATGGAAGATAAGCTCTAAATGACATTAGATTTAGTAGAAAAATATACTTTTGTTGAATTGAATGTGTTTTTTTATTGAACTGAATAAAAGATTATATAACTTAACATTCTGTATTTCGAGTAACTCTCAACTTTTCTGTTTGAAAACATCGACAGACCACATCTCATTGTTCTTTCTACGTGCGTAATTAATACTTAAGCCACGTATTTATACTAAACATTTGTTAATAAACACTGTTTATAAACTGTTAATAAACAATGTTTCATCATCTCTGTAAACAGTTTATAAACAGTTCATAAACATAGGTGATGAAACATTGTTTATGATACGTGTTGCCGTGCTCCCCACTACGAGTGGAGAGCAAGACTAAACATCTAGTTTATAAACAAAAGTCAACAGGTGTGGACGTGTTTTGCGCGAGTTTATAAACATGGAGGTAGTGTGGTCCAACAACCAAATTTCGAAGCTCATAGAGCTTTATCACCAACGTAGTATTCTTTGGGACGCCTCAAATAAAGATAAATTAAAAAAAAATGATGCTTGGACCGACATTGCTGCAGAATTGCATATATCGCAAAAAGAAGTGGAAACAAAGATGCATATTCTACGCTCACAATTTAGTCGTGAAAAGAAAAAAAATAAAACATCAAAAAGGACTGGAAGCGGTTCCGAGGAAGTGATTAAAAGCAAATGGCAGTGGTTTGAATCGCTGCAATTTTTATTGTGTTGTGCAACAACGTCTGGAACATCAGATACAATGGGAACATTTCAAAATCTGATGGTGACATTCTGGTGAAGTTCTGAAATGACCCATCAAATCCGCGGAGGTCATTAAATATATAACTTCTATTCAACAAATAGTTTCGAATCCACCACCTTTTCTTCTTTTTTTTTCGATTAATGCTCTTGTGAATTATTATGTAAGCAGCAGAGAGCATCACTACCTTCTCGGGCGATATCCTGTGAACAACTGACAAGTGTGGACGGCCAATGTTTCAGAAACATGTGTTTATTGTAAACTTGTTTAACGCTAGTCATAAACAGTTTATCAACAAATGTTTACTAATGAATACGTGGCTTTATACAGCGAAGAGAAACATCGTGAGGGAACCTGTATGTATAATTATAAGTCGATAACATGTTTTACCCACATTTAAAAGAAAAAATAAATACTTGTGCACAAAAAATGTGCGATTATTAAACGAGCTTTCCTTCGGTAATGAATTCTTAAACGTTATCGTGTTTTTATTTCAAATGAAATAAAAACGATAATTATGTTTTAAATAATTTCATTCAAATTTGGAATACATAATTTGCCGTAGTTTAATATAAAAAAAATAAATACACAAAACACGACTTGTAAAAATTAAACAAAACATTATATCTACTGTAATTACTATTTTTGCGTGGGCCAGAGCTCATTATACTTTGTGAGATAAGTTTTTCTGAGTTCGGAATTTCGGGCTTGTTGATCCTTCTCTTTGCTCAACGTTTCAATACTCTGACCGACACAGAGGTCCCCCGTAAAATGTATTATGAGGACTTGTGTATTGAACGAGACATTTTTATCTGCACCGTGTTTTGTATAGCTAAGGTGTGGCGCCCACTCCATTTGGTAAGGGAATGTGTCCCCTGCTGCAAAGTATTACATATTAATATTTTTTTATCAAACAGACGCACGACGTGGTAGAATTGGCTTACTGTTATCTTCTGTATCTTGTGCTGTGGAATCTCCAGTGCATTCGGGGCCGCATCCACCATCTTTGAGAATACCTCGCATTGTTGTTAGTTTGCTTATTACTTTTTCACCACTTTTAGCCATTTGCTTCGCTTCGCTTTTGTGTTTATCAATATTACGGAGAAACTTTTTCATCTGGAAGATTTCTTTTTGTAACAAGACTTGGCCAAAAAGGACGTCATATTGGTGACAAATTCAAGAATACATAGAGAAAAAGTGTAACGTACCGTCTTGGATACTTTTTTAGGAGGATCCTGATATGACATTTTAGGTTCACCTGGATTACTTCCCATTACATACATTGTGTTTTTTGGGATGTTATAGTCCGAGTACACCGACGCTTGTGTTTCCAGAGTGTCTCTATCACGTCCTGACACTGTTGAGGACTTACTGTTCGTCGGTACATAGGTAGATTTTCCAGCGCTTTCGGATTGTGTTTTCTGTATTGCCCCTTTGCATTTATTTTTCTTTCGGCCCATCGGTGTATCGTCATCGTTCGACAAACTTTCTTCAGAAGTGGAGGGAAATACCTCATTTAAACTTAACACTTCAACGTTACAATCTTCGATGTTGGCTGGATTGTCTACGTCGGCCACTTGACAAAGGTGATCGGTTGAATGTATGCTTATAAAGGATTTTTGACCGGCACATATTGCCTCGTCTTCCCCCGAACTCGAAGATTTCTTTGATACAGTTACTGAAAAGTCTTACATCGATTTATAGAAGAAATATAAATGTTTACAGCAGAAAGAAATGGGTACGTACCGGCATAAGTGCGGCTTTCCGTCGAGAAACAAGCTATTGGTTCGTCTAAAAAATAAAAAGAATGACATTTCTATACGTAAAGTATGGATTCTATATTAGGAGAAACATACCTTCATGATCTAAGTTTTCATTTACGGGAGCGTCTAATCTACACTTATCAGTTAATTTACTAGCATTCTTCGAATGTGACATACTTATTTAAACAGTAAATTTCAGTTTGTTAAATTTGTCAAATGGCTTTCATTTTTCGCTTTGCAATTGACGTTTGACAGTTCTTCTTTTTAATATTCGAAGAAGGTTGCGTATTTTTTCATACAAAAAGTAAACGTACTTTCGCTGAAAACAAGTTTGATGCTCAAATTTATAATTGCCCTCCGATTTCTAATATTTTCCTGTCTATTCAAGCCGTGGTTGACAACCTAAGTAGGTAAATAGCATATTGGTCGTTCGCATACCAATATCTTAATATATATAAATTACGCGCCACGTTGTTTGTCCGCTATGGAATCCTAAGCTACTTAACCGATTTCAATTAAATTTGCACCGTGTGCAGTTTCATCTAACTTAAAAGATAGGATAGCTTACTGAACTCTTAAACGGCTTGACCGATTCGAATGATTTTTTTTTGTATGCACTTGGGTGAAGCCCTGGATGGCTTAGATTCACAAATTAGCCCGGCAGATGGCGCTGCAGTCGGTACTTTCATACTTTGTTTAATATCCTAATCGCTTGAAATATCATGCAGGACAACGTCTGTCAGGTCCGCTAGTGTTTATATATAGTTTTATTTTTTTAAGCACTCTTTTTAAACAATTGGAGGTTGTATCTCCCAGGGAAGCGTGAATTCCACAGTTCGCTAGTTCGCAAAAAAAAATCCTAACGAAGCGGACCGTGGTAGACTTATATATAAACATATACTAAACTTAAGTCAATGGTCTTACAGTTAAATAAAAATATCGTATACTTTAAATAATTATTTAATAATTCATTAGCTAAGTACAATCTTAGTGAAAACGGATAAAGAAACAGTTCTATGGGCAAAATACGGTATCCTTAAACGGATATACAACTTATGAAATAAAATTAAATGTACAATGTTTAGCTTATTGCTATCAAAAATTTATGAAATTAAGGCAATGAGTGTTTACAGTCTTGTTTTGTGTTCGATTAGCAGATCATATTCCTTTAACTTATTGCTTAATCATTATTTCATACATTGAATTGTACATTATTTGAACACAGGAATCTCATTACTTATTGCAACCATTCAATATTTTTCTCATACGGATACAAGATGTGTATCGGTCATCGACCCCTTTGAACACGATAGTCAAAAATTTGACATTAACGCTATTTCTGACACAACTAGGCTAAATCACAAATGTAACAATCAATCCGCAGTCGATACAATACTTATTTTTAATCCTTTGTACAGACGAATAGCAAATTTTAAAACCGACAATTTAAAATACACTATACAAAACTCGTCTATATTAAATCTAGTCTATTCGGAACTAGCAGTACTAATTACTGGGAATTTTTATGCACACGAAGCAATTTTTTCATATTCGGAACTGATGTTTTGATTAGCAATCTTGTTGGTGATGAAAATTTAAAATCATTGCAAATTCTTGCTTTGATGGTTATATTCAAACTATCGTTTAGTAATTGCACTATCGACACTTAGGTGAGATAAGGAAACTAGACTGCGTGAACTATACTTCACGTAGTCAGACTGAGCGCCAAGTGTCATTTCGGAATCTTAACCAGCAGAAGTATGAAAACGAAAGTCGTATAATCTTTACTAGATTATTAACCATTTGGACCGCACACATGCTTATAATATTATGCAATCTATAGCCATATTACCTTACATTGACACATATTTACTACAAAGATTTTTTATACGAAAATTACTTAGAAGCATTCCATAGAGAAAACGCCCACAGAAAAAACAGTATAATCTGTGAATAAACCTGTTAAAAAAAACTAAAAGTTGTCTAGGCAATATTGTCTTTGTTTTCCGCGTTCTATATTTAAATAGATCTTTGAGGATACAAACGCAAGTTTCACCACGGTAGCTAAAAAGCAAATGAAACGTCAGTGTAAGTTATAAATTCATGTTAACGAATTTATACTAAAAAAAAAAATTAGTCTCTTAATTTGTACCGTATTTCTTACTAGATCTGTACCATCGGCGAAATTGATACCTTTTGCAACTAGTCCCGTAGTAAAGCATGCGTCAAATTTATGTCATTATAACAATCACAATTTTAGTGAGACATCTGCTTAGCTTACGCTTGGTGTCTTACATAATACTTACAAGTGGTTTTTTCTATAAAAAGAGGGACAGTCAATAAAATCGACGATTCGTAACAACTATGACTCGTATATAATATAGGAACAGAGCTTTAGATGGTATTAAAGGCGTTCTTAGCTAATATCGTCTAGAAAAACCAGAAATTCGCATTAGAACTGACGAAAATAGGACACATAAGATAGTAGATAGTCCATAGAATATTAACTGTGAAACTTTAATGCAATTTAATGAAAAATCTATCTCGAGCACAAAATAATAATTTTCTTAATACATTGACTTTACCAAACAGTCCATACCTTTGCAAATCCGTGAAAAATCTACCCCGATTTCATTCTACAGACAAGGCATATAGATATTTTTGTTTTGCGTTTGACTAAAGATGTGAAAATACTCTTAGTCTTGGACCAGTCTATTAAACCACAATATTAGAATAACACTTTTAACAGACTACAAATCCAGTTGTAACATTAGTTGATCTATCCTGCTAATTTGGGATTTTTATTTAAATTATTATATTATCGCTTAAGAGAATATGTCTTGAAATACGTTTATTAGCGAATCACCGTTTAAAACCTTCATCAACAGATATATCAGACTGATCGCTAAGCCACGCCCTATTCAGTCCTAGATTCTAACTTACTAATAAGGAAATTCAAGTTGATATTAATGAATTAAAAGTAATTTATTTGGTGTAAATAAATATTGGTGTTGGTCTATCCTTATGTCGCAAAACATTTTGTTTTTAATTCTCTCTTCTTTTAGGGTGAGGCCAAACGAGCGTAATTTTGTGAGTCGTGAGTCGCAGTATTTCGTTCGCAGAAATTCTGTTGGGATGCCAGACGAGCGCATTTTATTCAGTTACTATCGAACGTTTATAGCGATGTTTGTGTCGTGCAATGGAACCGTTGAAAATTTTGTGTATTTACGAAGCATATTTAGAAGACGAAGAAGTACCTAGATAATGCCAGAAAAAGATGCTGGGTAAATCCTGACTGACGCTTTGCCTGGCCCGCGCTGGCCCCCTCGCCCCCCGCAAACTCAATTCGGTCCGAATAATGCGTGTGAGTCGACAGACAACAGTCATTTTGCGTCGCCGTGTGAATGAAACAGGACTTTTGTATGAAACCGAAGCAGAAATTACGCGACCGAAATTCTACGACTCACGACTCACAAAATAACGCTCGTTTGTCCTCACCCTTAATAAGTATTAAAATTCATAGTCAGGTCATAGTATAAAAATAAAATTGTTCTTTTTACTATGAGTCGCCATCACTTCTATATATCGAGAGTGGGTCACATTTTTTGCCCCGTCAATTCCATATATAGTCAGTGATAAATGAAACCACTAGGCACCATGTTTTGACTGCGAGATCTACGATCGAAAATTTAGCAAACTATTGCTATCCATTTAATGGAATACTTATAACTAAATCGGGCGATTTCGTAAAATGAAATATAATGCAATCTCACCTACTCACCCAAACAAAATTTCCTAAACACAATATCACTGAATCGAAGCCTCAAAATTGAAGACCAGTCTTTGCTATACAGAACTTTTCCTTTCCGAGATCGACGAACGTTTCCGACTCTGAATACTTCCGGAAGACATTTTCCGCTTTTCCCCATTCGGGGCCGGACTGGCCGATTTAAAATTGGAACTAGTGCTCGCCATTCTATTTGCGTTTTGTAAATTCGAAGTCTTTCTCCTCACAGAGGGCGAAGCCTCCACGTTTAACTTGGCAGTGGTCGTTTGCGGCTTCGCCTCAATCACGACTGGTTGTTGGAACTTCCCGACCGTGTTCCAATGTTCCCTTTGCGCTTTGAGCGAATCACGCATCTTCTCTTTGGCTTCCGCGTTGTCTGCTAGCATTTGATTGAGCATCTGCACCGTTTGGTACAACGCCACGGAGGTAATTAACCCGAAATCGTGCAGTGAACACATGTGGAGTATGAAGTTTCTATAGAGATTCTTCTCTAATAGTTCCTTGCCCTTCATTTGGAGGAACATTTGGCAAGCGAGCGATATCTGGCAGTCTCCGACGTAATTGTACTTCATGACGTGAAGGTTCCACATCTTCATTAATTCTTTCTCGCCCTCGTTGACGTCAGTGAACTCGTCTATCATCATCATGGTCTTTTGTTGGAGCCAGAGAGGGTCGGTTTCACTTTCTGAGTCAATGTCTAGTTCGTTGGGGTAGACTGGGAGGCAGGTTATAGTGTGATGGTATAGCCTGAAAAATAATAATAGATCATATCCTGTTTATCCTAGTTATGATATTCGAGATTGGAGGGAACATTTGTAAAAAATAAAAACCATTAATAATTTCCTATTGTACCATAGTTTTGATCGATTATAATAATAAATAATAATAATAAAAACTTTATTTATGACAAAAGGGTTTGTGACAGAATTCATATATCGCTAGTCCCCACACTAGGGAGGCCCCGTGTTGTGGGTAACTAGAAAACAATTATTACGTGGTACATGTTTAAATTAGTTAAAAAAAATGATAGTAAAAATAATAATAATATTATTATTATTATTAGTTATAAATTTAGTGTTACAAATGAAGTGAATGAGTGAGAGTAGGTGTGTATGCGCATGTATTTGAGAGTGTAGTTGAAAGTTGATTCAATGTATTCGAAGCCCCAATATAATGTAATGAATGCTGCGGTTTCTGAAACCTGAAAACTGAACTGATTCTAATGAATTTTAACATAATATATTAGGTATTTTAATAATATAGCAGTGTTAGCCTAGTAGCTTCACCGTGAGACTCTCATCCCTGAGGTCGTAGGTTCGATCCCCGGTTGTGCACCAATGGACTTTCTTTCTATGTGCGCATTTAACATTCGCTCGAACGGTGAAGGAAAACATCGTGAGGAAACCGGCTGGCCTTAGACCCAAAAAGTCGACGGCGTGTGTCATTCACAGAAGGCCAAGTTTGCCTATTAGATCGACAAATGATCATGAAACAGATACAGAAATCTGAGGCTCAGACCTAAAAAGGTTGTAGCGTCACTGATTTATTTTTTTATTGTGATAATATAGGCTTTTTAGAAGTCAAAACATTAGCGGACGTAACAAGATTTAAAAACCATATAAATAATAATATTCAAGACCTTATTAGTAAAAGTTAACAAAACTTTAGACAAATTACCTATTATGTCCAGTAATGTATGGCCTCTGTGCATCTAGAACGTCATTATCATCCAACTCCAAGAACTCAGCTAAGCTATGCCTCTGAGCTCGTCTTCTGGCTCGTGGCCTCCAAATCAGGAGATGGGTAAGTGAGGCCCTACGGGTAGGACCCGCTCTGGGGCCACTGGCGGACGACCGCCCTTGGGACGCGATAAGGTCATGCGGTGAACCCGTGTATGACCCGTCGTATAGCTCATTTATTGATACGTCGATTCGGGCCCCGCCCGGTATTGGCTATAAAGTATTTTTATTTAATTTCCGATGTTTGATAAACCAGCTATATTATTTTGTCATAGTTTAGACAATTCGATAGAATAGTACGTAACAAAAACTAATTATTTTAACTAAAGTACTCTCTTTCATCTCATTTTGTCATACTGTATTGAAAAGAGACAATGCAATAACAGATTTATATTTAATCACTTAGGGGATTTAGATTATCTTTTACTAATATTATGTGGTTTTAATATAACAAAATATGTTGCTCCAGGCCCATCTCTATGACAAGAAGTATATAAAAACTCATCAAGCGTGAGTAACCCAAAAACACTTCGGAGTTCATTATTGATATTTACTAAAAAGTTGGCAAATTATACATTAAAATTACTTATCATTCGAAGATTATATTATTCACGAAAGCAAGTTTCAAAAAATTAAAACAAAAAAAAGAGTCTCTCCGGCGGGGAATCGAACCCCGGTCTCCCGCGTGACAGGCGGGGATACTTACCACTATACTACCGAAGACTTATATATTCAAATGAAATTAGTAAACATTAGTAATACTACTATTGTCTAAAGTATATAAAAGCAACGCGCATTTATAAACGATTTACGAAGAAAACTAATGAAATTATTTGAACTTTAACTATTATAGCTAGCTTATAAGATTTATAAAATTTTATTCACATAATTTAATCTTTTGGGAAAATATGTTAGGTTTCAACATTCATCTTCGCAAAGCTATACTTACAAAGTATGTAAAGTTAAATCGGGAATGGCATAGCTTCAAGTGTTTGAGCAATGAGTACAGAGTTCCACAGTCTAAAGAACACCATGGGCAGTGCAGGTCATCACAGCCTTCTGTTTGCTGTCTCGAGTTATTGTTGTATAGAAACTGGTATATTATTTGTTGTCTTTTTGATTCGCTATTGTTTTCTTTTTTATCATCTAAAAGGAAAAAGAAATGAGGATAAAAATAAGAATCAACTCATAGCTTATAAACCCAAACAATTCCAATGAAGAATACTTTTACAATATTGGGAACAATTTTTGTATATTTTTGGACGATTTCTTCTGGTATCCTTTCTAGCGAGTAGAGAAAAGGGTAGGTCCTTGAGAAGGTCATAGATAGAGGAATCATCGCAGCCAATACCACTTATGAGACTACTATTTAAATTTTAATGAGAAATCTACCAATTATAAGTAAGCTTACGGTAGAGGTAGGTAGAGAGGTAGTCATTTAGGAACAATTTAGTAATAATCTCTGTTTTATCTCCAAAAACAGCCATGGAATATCTAATAATAATGAATCAAAGTTGTAAAGCTTATTCATTACACCCATTTTAATAATATTATAAAAACACACCACATTAGAAAAAGTCAAAGAGTACTGCTACACTTACTATTCTTGTTTTCGCTATTTCCATTCCTCTGTGTTGACAGTCTATCCTTAATAATGGTAGAGTCTTTCTTAGTTCCGTTAGTCTCATTGGCTTGGTAGAGTTTTGGTCTATTTACAAGACCATTTGTTGGCTCTTGACTCCAACTAAGTTTAAGTTTTAAAAGTGGACGCACTTTAAATATATCAAAAGGATTTGTTTCTGTGTGTAAATCATTTTCCTGTAAAAGTATAGTTAAGAAGTTTAATATTTGTCTTTGTAATTTTATAAAAAATATATTTATTTTATTTGAGTTTTTTTATTATGTATATTATATGAATTTACTGATTTTAACTTAAAATAAAACACTTAATCTCACATTAGGTATAGTTTCCCACTGGGCCATCAAGGCTTTATGTGGAGATCTGGCTATTGTCGCACTTCTACCACCTGGTGTAGCATCATGTAGTACTAAGTCATATTCCCCATTTGTTAATAGACATCTATTATGTTTGTCATACACAATCAGTTCACTACCATAGAGTTTGCTCCACTTATTATCTGAATTAGTATTAACATCTGCAGGTTTTATGCGTTTTGTTAGAGGTTCTGTAAAGACATATTGTATTAATGAAATACAATTTTTTTTAAAATATAAGGTATGGTAAGATTCAGGGTTGAGACTCAGCCAAGCCATATGTTAAATCTAATGAGTAAAAATATAGCATTTATGAATAGCACTGTCTTACCCCTATGTTAATGAATCTAATTACCTCAAATATACCTAAATTAGGAAGAATTTATGTGTACTATACATAACAATTACTTAACATATATAATAAAACATTTACAACATCTATAACATTTCTATATTTAATACAGACCAAGTACTCTCACATCTCAAATATAATCAAAGCTTCTTATTTTAATTCAACTTTTGCATAGACATTTTCAAAAAGGAGATAATTATTATTTTGTTTATTACCATCATCAGATGAAGACCCATTTGTTATTTCAGCTGTAGTTGATCCATTTGTGTTGGAGCTCGGTATGGATTTAGTAACCGTCACTCTTAACATAAGCATGTAGGACTTCACATTAGGACCTTGTGATGGGCTAAATGTATCACTAGCTATACTAACAGCAGAGGCCATTGCAGGTGGCTCTGATGATGATGGGTTTAATGGTACAGAACAGCTTCCAACCTTAAAAACAATTATTGTGTTAAGAAAAATATAACAGAGATAAATCAATATTTATGATCTGTTTATTTTAAGCACACACAAAAGATACAATATTACCAATAACACAAAACTTAAAATATATTCTTCAGGTCGCATAGGTGATATTGGACAATCCAAAAGAAAACAATACAAAATATTACAATTAAAACCTTAACTTACTGAAACTTCCACTATGGCAGATGAGCTTTCCTTTCTTTTCTTGTGGCAAATTTTTAACAACAGAGTTTCTACTTTAACTTGATAGTCCCTAGAGTCACCTAGGCTTTTATCGTAAAATCCTAAGAATGTTAAGGTCATATAACCTCCTAGACTATTTGGTTGCAAATCGGTACTCTTCTTTTGAGTAATTCTCTCTAATAATGAATCTACACTAAAACCTATACGTGTTTTATTGCTTCTCGACATTCTCCTTTTCATATATGATAAAGTTCGATTCAGAAATATAGGCTGAAAGAAATCAGATACAAATTAGGTTTGCATTTCAAAAGACAATGATAAAAAATCCTTAAGTAACATCATACATACCGATAACATGTTACGGGTACGTAGGAATCTATAAATTTGAGTAGGTTCTGTAATAAAACGATCTCGGTTAACTACTGTTGGTGCAAATTAAGGGTACACTTTATCACAATAATATCATTTTAGGAACTTACTTTCGAATGCTTGCAAAAATAACTCATGGTCCGCTTGTAAATGATCTATTTTTGTACTCTTGTTTGTTTCATTATCTTTATCGCGCTTTTTTGGAGGCATTTTGGGGTTTTGCTGCTAAAATACTATTTAGAACCGCCAAGTTCAACAGTTCGTTGACTTCGCTTGACATTAGGAACACCCGGAGTCCGGACAGCGACGCTAAAAAGTATAGATAATATATTTCAATGTTGCATGACATGCATGACGTATAGCATCCAGTTCAAATGATATTGTCGACTTCAAAAACAATAAAGATTTAAAAAAAATCCTACCTTAGAGTTCCGACCTCTTCTAATGTACGATAGATAGTAGCGTATTATTCTAAAAATAAAACAATTATTTATCTTATATTATAAAATAATATCCAACTACTACAGACTAGACTACCGACTCCGTTAGCCTAGACACAAAGCTACTACTGAACTAATATGTAGGCTTATTGCACTTCAACTATCCAGTCTTTACATAGCTTTTTTTAGAAGACTTGAGAAAAACTAAGAATAATTTAATATCATTAATTAAGAACGCTCAAAATGCTGCTTGTTGTAGAAACAACTAAGACAAAACTGATGTGGTTTTCATAATTAATGTTGATAGACTATATTATGATGAATGTACATACCATATATTATACGTATGCAACCATTATATCATCTAATCGGTATTTAGTATTCTAAATAATATTAATATGTACTTATATAGGTTTTCGGCGTCATACATTTGCTGTTTTAACAATTCCTTTACTAGGCGTTTTCCTGACACAAGACGGCGATTTCCTAGGTGTAAGATATGCTTGTTTCCACACAGTCATCCATCACCTGTGTTACTTTCGCGCATAGAAACTTCTGTGACCTTCGCAACGGGTAATCATGTTCTCAGATAACCAGGCACATTTTTATATAATACATTTATTATGAATTGTGTGTGTAACAGTCCAGGGCAAAAATAAAACACAATTTGCAGGTACTTTTGTACGATTTATTTCAATAACACAGTCTTACAACAAATGGACATTAAATGTTGGTAACTTCATAACGTTTCTTATATTAAAAAAAACAATATTACTTTTATTTGATCATCACCAGCCATACACAAAATTTATCTGAGAATTTTATATTTTTGATTATTACAATTCAAAGTGATATGCAATTCAAAATAATGAGCGATACTTCAATGATATCAAAGTAACCATTTTCTAAATACTAATTATAATTAATTTTAAGTAATAACATTATTCAGCACCATTGGAAAAAAATCAAATAAATGCTATAAGTAAATGTACTTTAAATACAACATTTTTGGTTTGGTCTATTTCCACTGAATTTAAAAATAAAAAGGTTCATATTAATTATTAATTGATACCAACTGTCTTGATTAACATACTTTCAAGCCATTTGTAAATTAATATTTTGTCGTCTATTTTACATTAGCTACAGACAAAACATTAAATGGCTATTTGAGGTTCATAAATAAGAGAAGACTATATTAGGTATATGGCAACATTGATTTGCATTGTCTGTGTAATTTTACTTGAGATAGAAATAACCATAGATTCCTAAACATAAAGATTAGTCTGTGTAATGCTTTCTGTGGGAAAACAAGTGGTTGGCTGTTCAAATGTTTTATTAAGACTTAATATTATGGTCCAAAAGCCCATATACCCAGACATATTCGAAGTTCAAAATCAAACATTATGACCTTTAGTAAATATCTCGATAAGATCAACATCCTTATTAAAATAATGATTTAAAATTATGCATGATTTATGTATTCCCATATTCTGTTTTACATTTAGGAATATGGGCTTTAATCAAAGGGAGCTATTGGCGTTTGCTTGTCAACTGGTTAGATTTCAGTCTATTCTCTATGTCTATGGTTACTACAAGTCAGGTGTAACAGTTAATACTTTTGTCTGCAAATAAGCTTACTCAAAGATACCAGAACTGAAAAATAATGTATTCGTCATTTCGTTGTAGCATTCAGTCTTGTGCAAGAGTCTAAAACAAAAGAAACAATATATTAAATACCAATTTTAAATGCTAGCAAGCATTCTCTTCCAAGCAACCCCAAAGTATATTTGGACATGTAATTGTTTTATTATCATAGACATTAATAGAATGAAATGAAAGATTTTGATTGAAAGAATATGACGTAATTACAGCTATGATGTCATAAATTGGCATTTAGACTAAACAATGCCTTATTTAAATATGTGTAATATTCAGTACGAAATAAATATAGTAAACCATTATTGTTATGCAAATTTATGTGCAAACATTTTGAAACCGCATTGTTGTCTTGTAACTAAATAGGATCTGATATACATACACACAAATAATTTCAATTCCACTTAGAAGATTTGTAGTAGAACAATCTCTTTATAACGTTAAAAAACACGTAATCCTTCTTCAAGTTTTTAAAGTCTGCTAAAAAATAAAGTACACTTTTTAAGCTGTAAATACTAACCGATCAGTGGTAAGGCTGCAAGTAGGTGGTGGTGGAGGCCAGATCCCGACGCAGCCAAGCGGCATTCAAGCGCACGGTCTCGAGCGCTTGTTGCACGCTCCTCTCTGTTCCTGGTGAACGGTGGGTAGCGAAGAACTCCTCTATCTCGCGAGCGCTTGCCTCAGAGGCGAAGTTCTCTGTAGTGGATTTTACTAGGCGTGCTACTAGGAAACCACCCTGAAAGATAAAATGTATTTAGAGTCGCTACTTAGCGCCTTTCATAGTAGATAGGAATGAAAGTAAGATTTATTAAGATTGTTTATATAATGAGTGCCCTAAAAAGCGTTAAGTTATGTTGTAATTACGGTTAGGTTTTATAATATTTATTTATTTATTTCCATACATACATTACATATTACAAAACAAAACACTAAAAAATATACAAAGCCAAAACAGATTACATAGATAAACAATATAATATATGAAACAGAAAACATAAGTACATTAATAGACAAAAAGATTTTTTTAATGAAAAGTGGAATTTTTACAACAAACGACAATTAATACTTAAATTTCAAAGAAAAAAAAATTACCTATAGGAGGTAATTTGACAGTACGACAAATAAAATGTTATAAAGATTAATTTCGTCTGAGATTGGTTTTGATCCAATTAAAATGTGTTACATTTAGAATAACACTTTAAGAAATTGGCGTTTGTTTACGTGAATGTTTAATTTTAATTTAAACAGAATTATTCCAGTCTCTAATAAATAATATGAAATGATTTTCAAAATCTTGTCAAATAGCCTATTACATCCATGGCTAACAGGCAAACAGTCACAAAACTTTTAGGACTCCTAATTCAAATATATAACGAGCACATATATATATATATAATATATATATTTAATAATATGCATGCATGATTAAGGGAGCGTTCAAGTATTACGTAACGAATTTTTTTTTCCCAACTGTCAAAATAATGTCTATTAAAAATAAAAAAACAACCACGAAGTTTTTACTAAAAAAAATTCATAGAAATTTTTATGATTCATGCAAATATTTCTAAAAAGAAGCTACTGCTTTGTTTCAATATAAGATTTAATGATTTGATTCAATGAGTTAGGTTAGATTTCATTTCATCTCCTTAAATTTCATTTCATATCAATAAAAAATCGTACTGAAGACTTGGCTGTATGGGCATAGTTCCCTTTGCCTACCCAGAATGGGTGAAGAAAAAAATAATATCTGCTTATATTCTTTTACGGTTGGCGCCATTTTCCAAAAATGTTCTTTGCGCGTTTAGTTGTTTGTTATATTATATATTAAACATACATGAAAAATCATACGAAATAAATAATAGTTTGTCTCAAACAGTAAATAAATATGCAACCTAAAACTTCTCCAGTTAGTATAAAAAACTGTACCAATGTATATGTGAACAATAATTTGTATAAGAAATAAATGATTAGTGAGTTGAGTTTATTGTTTTTTTATTATTTTATTAAATTGCATAATTTTTTCGCAACTGTATTAAAAATAGTTGTTCAGTACACGTGCGGAACCGTCATTGCAACTTGTTGCGACTGTCAACCCTCACCTTCGGCTGCGCCTCGGCTCGGGTAGACATTTGTCGAAACTCTTTGCAATGACAGGCTTTCCGCACTTGTAATGAAATATACTATATTTTCTTTTATAAAACGTTTCGTTGCGGGGCGGGGATTGAATTACGCGTTACTGTTAATATTATTTTCGACTTTCCAGTGCTTTCACCACATAATGTTACTTGGGTACAGAAAAACGTTACGGCGCGAAACATGGAGGGGGGTGTCAATAATCTCCAAAAATTGCGTGACGTAATATTTGAACGGCCCCTAATATGGATTCTCAAAAATATCAATAAAGTAAATTATTTTATTGAACATATTATCTAAAAAGTCAAAAAAAGGAGTGTTGACCTTGCGTCTAAAAATGTATATATAATTCAGTTTGAATCGACTGTACCTGATATCTATCCATGAACTCTTGCCAGTGGTCCTTGAAGAACTGCCAAGCGAGATCCCGTCCGTTGCGGCTCACTGCCACCGACACTATCACGAACACTGTGTCTTGAGAACGAACCTCGTCCTAAAATCAATCAATTCTTAAGTACTTCTATTCGATTTTATAACAGATATTGATATGTTCTTTAATATTGTGGATTTTTTTTGATCTATCATCAATCGTATTCGCAGCGCATGCGGTGAAAGATATTTTATATACATTTTTTTACACCTTGGGTAACATTATTGTACTTTTAATAGGTATCCTTATTTATTTCTTGCAATTAAAATTAGCCTATATTAATCAGTGATAATGTAGCATTCAAATGGTGAAAGAATTTTTAAAATCGGTCCAGTACTTTTTGAGAAATTCGTTACAAACATACTTACATACAAATCTTTCCTCTTAATTAAAGATTATAAGGCTTTTATTAAATTTATGGACACTTGCAGAGGGACCACTGTATAAAATATGTTTATTTATTTTACCTATGACATTATTATGGAGAAATAATCATTTGGATGTGACATAATAATTTAATTTAAAAAATCATAGTTACTTACAGATATAGCAAAGTTCAACACTTTATTCAACAAGGCTGGGTCCTTAACAGCACCCAAAGCCCGGCTGATTCTATCCTTTTCCTCGTGCAGGTCAGCTGCTCTGTACAGGTGAAGGAATCGCTCAAAGGTAGCTTCATCCGCCTCGGCCAATACAGCTCGGTAGCACGCTGAACGAAGGTCCGCGGGTAACTGCATTTCGCCGGATAGATGTTTCTCGAACCTAGTAGCAAAAACACTTTTGATGTGAAACGGGACGTAAACCCGATTTCTGGCGTGGCGACGCATGCCGTGGGGACGCGTCGCCACGCTATATGATGGTTGTATATATATATATATATATACAGTCTATATGTAGTAGTGTGTACGGTGTGTGTATTTCGAAGTCACTGATTAAACGAATTAAGTAGTCACGATTTGAAATAAATTCGTAAATTTTTGTATTTAATGAAAATAAAAGTTTATTCAATAAATTTTATTTTATCATTATGACATATTTAGTTCCTATCACAATCTGTTCTTTTCAGCATATTACTTTTACAAAATAATGTCGATGTGTCACATCTGCCAGGCGTCCCGTGACAGCTAGAAACAAAACTAGAAATAAATCTACCTTATCTTCTAATATAACTTTTTAACTCACCGCCTCTTAGCCTCCTTAATAGTATCGGGATCTTCAAAACTGATCATCTTATTGAGCACCAAGCTCCGAAGTAGAGTGTCCAAGTGGCTTTCCTTCTCTTGGGCATCCCAACCGAGACGCTTGGTCACACTAGCGAAGAGTTTCCTGCCATAGTTCTTCAACGGTTTATCGAGGGCAGTGTGTGAGAATAAAACAGTCAGTTTTGATAAACAGTTCGCTAGAGATGACCAAACTGTGAAGTTGGACTCGTTGCTGAAGGCTTCCATTAGCTTCAGGGACTGAAAAAAAAACATTTTTAACAGATAAAAACGCGTTTGTGAGAATGACATGAGATGTTCGTTGAAAGGACAATGAGTATGATATTCGTCAAGGAAGTTTGTTTTAATTTTTTTTTTCAGAATAATACAACCTAAATCATGGTATATGACACTTTACAAGCACTGTAATTTGTATTCATGTAACAATAGCATTATTTTTAGGAGCGCGTATAATGCATATAAAAATAATTCTTTAACTTGTTTCTTATGTTAACGTTAAGCTATCTAATAACTGACCGGGTAGTCCATTTATTAGCCGCGGTTGCAAAAACCTCAACGTTCTCGTGCCATGTACGTTGTTTGCTCTCGAGGTATAGAGCCGAAATTGCGTTACAGCTCGGGTCTGTATGATTTTTTTTGTTATGATATGATAATGCCCATACAGTGTTTAATAATGCTGTTTGCTGTTTTGAGACATTGGGTTCATATACATGCCTGTGTACCTGGTGCCTCGAATCAACGTAGATATATGAATTAAATGTTTTCTTCTTTGTGTCTTTAATAATTTTGCTAAATTTAATTTTAATTTTACTAACATAGTTATAAGGATTACTTTACTAACAATATATGGATTTTTTAATGGTCTGAATTAAATGATTTTTTTTTTAAATAATTTCTTCATTTTTATATGCTTGCGTAGACGACTAAGGCATTATTAAGTACTCTATGTTACATTTTGAATATTATAAGCTACGATGTGTTGAAATCTTCCATATGAAACAAACCCTCAGATTCCGAAACCTAAAAACGATTTTTTGTTCTTCTCTCTAACATGTTTAAATTTTTATTGATAGGAAATTTTTGTGTAGAAGTGTGAATAAATAAAAATACCTCATTAGTATGAGCGTGTCCAGCTTGTACGAACGCGAAGCAGTCATCAAGCAAGCCAAGTCGGTCGAGTGGGGGCAAAGATCCGTCACGTACAGCTCCCACGAGACGTTCTAGAAGCACCGGTTCGTACCGAGTACGATAGTAACCAACCTGAAATGTTTACTATCATGAATTTCAAATAAATTTATATCGCAGGTCTCTTATGTGCTTAATTTTAAGTCTAACGAATAAAGAAAATCATTTATAAAAACCCAATATGAATTACTAAGTGATGTGATAATAGTGGTTGTAGCTTAAGAACCTAGGAATACAAACACCAATTAATAAATGTAAATTAATATTTGCTAACAACAAATAGAATTTTCTTAGACACTATAATATGTTAACGGTTAAAGTGAAGGGCCGCAAAAAAAGTAAAACCTTCTTGGAAACCATATTGTATTTGATTTTATTCTAAGGACTTTAACAAGTACTCTTACGTCATAAAATAATAATTTCCATACACTAAATAATCGTCGAACAAATTTCAACAATGCACATAATGTCGCCGACAGATCTAGTTTATAGACAGATTTGTTCAGAGGTTAGAAATACTCACAGTTCCAGGATTTACTTTAACCCAAGAGTCTTCCGAAACATTTTCTAATATGACTTCTTGCGTCTTTTTATCCAATACTGTAGACAAGGCGACCTGAAATGGACAATAAACACATTAAAACAGAGTAATAAAAACATATTTTCACTACATTTCTACTATGTCACAAGAAATATACAAAATATAAACGATACATATAAACGAGTAAATCTAAACTACCTTGTCCCTACAAACTATTATTTTATCAAAAAAAAATTTTGTTCACTATTTTAGAACTTCAATCAAAATTAAATCTACTGTCACGAGCTGTCAAACTTCATACGTAGAAACGGTTTACGGATATTTATTCATTTATTTATTTATTTCGTAATCCTACAGCGAACATAAACGATATATAATAACAAACAGTTACACTGAAAATATAGCCAGAGATGGAATAAATAATTCATTTAACTATAAAAAGGTTCAAAAGTTTACAAAAAGGAAAAAAAAAAATTAAATACATTTAAATAAGTGGTACCTAATTTGGCTGTGTGGTGTGATGGTGTAAAAGTGAGGGCAAGTATGTGAAGGTGTGTATGTGGGGTGATTTTGGGCTAAGAATATTTTTAATACTCCTTTGAACCATATTCCGCGATAGGTTAAACAAGTCAAGGCTTAGATATTGGTCGTTGTATGTCCGGGCTGCGCGTAATAAATAATACTGAGTTTTTTGCATAGTTAGTGGTGATGTGAGGAACATGAAACGAAGCACGATTACGAGTCTGGTAGGCAGGAACAAGGAAGGGCAATTTTTCTAGAAGGGAGCTGCAATTAATTTTATTTGAGATGATGTCATGGAGTAGCAATAAATTTGACAGCGCTCAAGACGAGATTGGGACTTAGAATATGGACATTAGTGTTGTTATTGGTTTGTTCCACACACAATAGATTCATATTAATTTTACAAAAGTTTTCAACGCTCAGCACACTGGTACATTGGTACATAAAGTGACAACAAAATTCAAGTTTTAATGTGACAAGCACTTATAGGCCAACATCACGAACAAAAAAAAACATGGATTCAAAAAACTAAAGAAAATTTTTAAAGTGTGAGAAGAACAACTATCGATATTCACACTAAGCTCGTTAATCAGAATACTATCAACATCAATCTAATATATTCATTCAAAGAAAATCGTTGTAATAAAAGCGATTGTTTTTGGTTTAACTAACTGATCTGTCTTTTTTCAGCACACCGATAACTGACGTTGACAGAAAGGGACAAATCACAACTTCAGTAAGCTTTTAATTTTTAATCGTTATTATGAACTATATCAGAATAAACATCGTAACATTAAATAATAAATTAAAAAGTTCTTGTGTCAAAATAGAAAACAATATTTTCATAACTAATTCAAAATGATTATAATATCTATACTAAATATTGAAACTACAAATAGAGAGAGAATTACATCGCTATCCTTGGTTAATTTTGATTCGAAATCGGGAAAGGTTGATGAGACTTTTGAAAGTATGGAAACGTCACAGTCGCACAATTTGTGTACAACAGATGATGTCGTCTATAAATGGAAATAAATTATGACTAACACAAGTTAAACTGGTAATATAACGGTAATATAACGAGGTCAGGGTATGTAATTACTATTGCTTAAAGCGGTAACTTTAAAAAAAACAACCGCAGGATATCTTATCTAATATATAAAATTCTCGTGTCACAATGTTCGTTCCCATACTCCACCGAAACAGCTCGACCGATTCTTATGATTTTTTTATGCATATTCAGCAAGTCTGAGAATCGGCTACTATCTATCTTTCAAACCCCTGAGTGATAAGGGGTATCCACCCCAAAAAAAATTTTTTTTTGATAATTTTTTTTATTAAGTGTTATTAAAAATACATACAACCCTTAATTTTCACCCGTCTACGATCAATCTCTATTTTTTATTATAGTAGAAAGTTATTTTTTTTGAACCAAAAAATGATTCCTAGAAATAATATACATGGCGAAACAATGTTTGCCGGGTCAGCTAGTTGTATATAATATTTCAAATAATTTTAAAGTAGCTGGGTGTTATTTAAAAACTCTATACTATATTTAATATACAATGTGTTGTGTCTCATAATCCGTGTATGGTTTAGTAAAACAATGTATTTTTCTGTTTGTTTAAAATTATAATTAAATCGGTTCAGTGGTTTTATTATTATAAACAAAAAAGTTCCGAAAATCAGATGATCTTCGGATAATGTATGCTATGCACACACAGCACAACCATGGTTCGAACCTACCACCTTAGGGATGAGAGTTGCACGCTGAAGCCATTAGGCCAACATGGATGGCTGTGAAAAGACGATCGTAGGAGCGCAGGGATAAAAGGCCTGTTACCTATGCCACCCAGTATGCGATATAGATTTGGCAACGAGTTTAGTTCGGGTGGATTTCCCCTTTAAAAAAAAGCCAACAATGCTGCTATCAGATAATACACACTTGAATTACTAGGCTTAAGATATAATAATTACCTTTGAAGGCTGTTCTTGAGTTGAGACTGTAATTGGTATCATCCATACACTGTCATCACCTTGGCTTCCATCAGCGCAGAACTTTTGCTGAGTCAACTTTAATACTCGGTGGGCTCCTTTCTGCTCTGAACTGACCTGCAGTTTCAAATATGGTCTAAGACAACTTATTAAAAAACAAAAATTAAATTAATTATTGCCATAATTGTTTTGTAATGGTACATAAGGCCTACTTGCTGAAAAATATCACCATAACAGAAGCAGAAATATGTCTGCCCGATAACTCCTTACAAGGTTACTACAGACACAAATAAAGATTATGACCGTTATCGCTTATTGTAATGTAAATATGACAATGTGATAATAACTGGGACAGTAAAATTCTCGTTTACGTATAATGATAATAAAACAAATGTAATATTGTATGTGTTATCACAATATTTTAGTAAAAGTGCAAACTGTTCTTAAACATTACTGCTGTAGACACAATTTTGCTTATATTTAAACCATCAATATATGTATAAGCTATATAAGATTCAAATCAAGGTGCGCTAAATGATGGAGGCAGCTTCTAAAATGCAATATATCACCTGTCTGGTAGAGATTGCACATAATAGATAAGGCTATTAGCCTTTAGATTTATTACTGAGTGTTGTTTGTTAAACTCTTGTATGAAAACAAGCGTAAATACATTGTACAATTACCTATGTAATTTTTATTAATAATTATGAAATTACAAGATGTTATAATTAAATGTGACGTAATATTCATAAATACAATAATATAAGTACAGCAATTCAGATAGTATAAAATATGATCAAAGAAGTTGACCACTATATCACTTTACCTGCACCATCGGGAATCCCATTTGCTTGGTCCATGTAGACATTACAGCACCCACAGGTTTATTTGAAGCCTCTTCTAGGGCTGCCCACAAATCTTCAGTAAAAGTGTTCTTGTACTGTAAATAAGATATTTAATTAATCCTCATGGCACATAAGTTCAGCGGCTACTACTGGAAATTAAAAATATAGTATCAGAGGTGTATCAGGACATTAGGATTGATTTAATAGCCTGCTGATATCTTTATATTGACAATCTTGAATTAATTTCATAAAATAATAAAAATTATTTACAAAACGCATACTAAGAGAAAAATATGTATAATTTGAAATAATATTTCTTATTACTGATCACAATACCATCATGAGAATAGTTGCTTACCTGATGCCTTGTAAGGTAGATGTTCATTCCTTTGCGGAAGTCATCATCACCTATGTATCGATGCAGCATTCTTATAACAGAAGCACCCTTATTGTATGATATGTCATCAAATATTTCATCTATTTCTGATGGGTGACCGACAGGCACCTCAATGGGATGTGAATTCTTCAAACAATCTAACTCTAGAGCTCTGAAATTTTTTTTATATTTAAAGTCTAATAAATCTACAACTATGGCTAGTATGATGAAGTCTATAAAATAAACTGACATTATACACTGATTAACATATTATATTTTCATGATTTGCTTGAGGGTGTACAAAAACTGATATGTTTAGAATATATATACAGAACTATGCAATTTTTTTTTGCCTGTGTTATTATGTGCTAATTGCTTTAGCAAATAATCTTTGTTTACTATTCAACAATCTAGTACAACTATTTTGACAAACATTTGAAAGATATTATTTACAATAAGTCAAATTAGCTTATAACATCAAAAATGGTTCAAAACGGTTAACATAAAATAACCACATCAACCTTAACTACTAATAATTTTAAAATCCTTTTTATAGCATAACCTCAGTATGTAAACAATGACATTTACAATTGTAAATATTCAAAGTTAGATAAAATAAAATGAGATGGAAGCAAAATTTAGAATAGATAACTGAACAGATACCTAAATTGTGACTAAAATAAACTAATGAAATCAATAATAAAAACAACACAGTAATCTAGATTATATTACTTAAAATATTCCAAGAATACTCTCCCTATCCAGAAGCTTTATAATCTAATCTATAAAAATAGCTATTTTCCTTACCTAATGTATGTTTCAGTCACAAACTGAGTCCATATGTCATACTCTGGGAACAAGTGATTTACACAAAGGAACTCCACAAATGATGCATAGCCTTCATTTAACCATAAATGGGTCCACCATTCCATAGTAACCAAGTTTCCGAACCATTGATGAGCCAGTTCATGGCCAACTACTAAAGCTATCCATTGCCTTCTTACAGCTGATGTATGCTCTTCGTCCACTAGCAGACATGTTTCTCTGTATGTGACCAGACCCCAATTCTCCATAGCACCAGCTGAGAAATCAGCAATAGCAATCAAGTCTATTTTCGGTAATGGATAAGCAATGTCAAAGTATTGCTTATAGTAAGGTAGCACTTTAGCTGCTACCTCCAGGGCAAACATTCCTTGCTTACTTTTTCCTACTGGAGTATATACACGCACTAGAACACCATCGTTAGATGTTTTCTCCACATAGTCATATTCACCAACCACCACTGCCACCAAATATGTGGACATTATAGGTGTTCTATCAAACTGCATTATTTTTTTGTCACCAGTTATTTTCTGTTCTTTTACTGGCATGTTAGATAATGCAACACGGTCAGTAGGTACTTCCAGTGTTATATCAAATGTTGCTTTAATAGCAGGTTCATCCCAGCATGGGAAGCACCGTCTGGCATCTGTTGCCTCGAATTGAGTGACGGCTGCGTATCGTTCTTCTCCACTTGGAGTTAAGTATTTACTTCTGTATAATCCTTTCATTTTGTCGTTGATCTCGCCAACGAATTCGCAATATAACGTTGCTGTTCCTTCTGGCAAAGGTTTTTCGAACACAATAGTCGCCGTTTCGTCACCGGCGTCAATTCTAACATCCACCGGATTGAGCGTGGTATCAGACTCACCTTCACCATACTGCAGTTTAACATTTTTGAATTCCAAATCTAAGCTATTGAGCACGATTTCTTTGGTAGAGGTAGCAATCTGAAACCGAACGCGTCGCTATAAGTACGTCACTTAAAAACTAGATATTAAACAATTAAGTACAGTGATGAAACTCTTACCGATACTTTCACCCTGGTCGAGCCCGTAAATGTAAATTTTTCCAAATTTGGAACTAAATGCAATTCGTAATGTTCAGGTACAACATTTTTAGGAAGTCGTTGAAACGGTTTGTTTTCTGGCATTGTCACTTTTTCTTTCACTATAGTAAATGTGGGCTGCACGCAAGAGAAATACCGTAATGACCGAGTGACAGAGTGAACTCGCACTCCGATTGCACCCGCACAGCCAATACGCGGCCCCCTCGCACGTCCAACTCCCCGTCCTCCCCGACCCCACTCGAAATAATAACGGTAACTACGTAACGATTTGCAATGACTACTCAAATTATGATGATTATAGTTGTGAACTATAGCAAATGAACGCACTACACGTAAAATTTGCAGACTCATGGATGTTCGGTAATGTCAACAATGAACGTAAAATTTTGCTAAAATTTATGAAAATAACCTCTCTGCAAAAGTAAACATATTTTCTTATTTTCCGCCTTTTTTCTGTAAGATATATAATCTGTGACACTGCCATGTAATGTGTCATTCACTAATGTGCCATACCGAACTCCGAAGTAGATGCCACGTATATAAACTACGTGACTCGATGGCTTGCGTCATTTTATTGGTTAACAGGGGAACCTTAAGTTGGCGGGGGGAAATTAATTTTTTGCACTTTTTTTTGGCTCTATCAACTGTTCGTTAACTGTTCTTCATTGTTCTATCAAAAATTTTTTTTGTTCGTTCTTATTTTTTTTTTTTAATTATAAAAAAATTTACCCTCAATTTGGCACGAACTATAGATATTTTGATATTTTTTTGTTTTTTCTAATAGTTTAGAACTATTCAATAACTGTTCGTTCAAAATAAACAACTGTTCGGCTTTCATTATCCTGTAATTTAATAATAATTAACTTTTTTTTATAAATCTTAATTAAATGTTATTGCGCATGCGCAGTATTAATGCGCATAGTTCTCATAAATTATGCGCGGCCTATTTGAATTCGATTCAAAGAGACAACACAACAATAACAGCAACAACAACAAAATCATCATCATCACCCGGTTTTTACTTTCATTTATATTTTGTTATTTTATACAAACAAAATGAACTCTTTCTTAACATCTAAAGTCGTATTTCTTGTACTTATCCATTCTTTTAACATTCCTGATTAAATATATTGATTGAGAAAAATAGAAAAGGATTAGTCCCATGCAAACTATAGGTCTACCAGAATCTGATGGCAAAAAAAAAGTTTAAAACAGCGATTTGCATGTGGCAACAAAAAAAAATTTCATCTGTCATCTGAAATTTCGAGGAATTGTTTTTGGTTTGGCTTCAAATTTACTTTAAAAAGTGGTGAAAATGTCGAAAAAACCTCTTCGATCGCAAGCAAGAAATATTGTTTTCAATGTTTATCAAAGAATACTTGATCAACAAGTTGCAGAACATACACAATCATCGATATTGAGCCCATGTCACTTGCACATTGAGTGGTTAGTAGGAATGACACGTCTTGATACTTTGGTTTATTGGATTTTCGTGTGTATTATATTATGTACTTATATAAACTTTGGTTTATTTCAGGGGTTTCTAATACTACCTTAAGATGAATTGTTGCCGAAGGCTGATCTAATAAGGGCGTATTTAGTACGCCCGGTAAAAACAGGAAAGGTGGCAAAAAAAATAAACTTGGATAGATTTGATTTCGAATTGAAAAAAAAAACTAAATATCAGATAGATGAGATTTTTAAATCACACGGCCACGAAGTTTTGAGGCTCCCACCATAACATTGTACGTTAAACCCCATAGAATTAATCTGGGGACTAATGAAACAAAAACTTGCGGGTAAAAACGTCAATAGACCTGCAAGTGATATAAAACTATTAACAGAGAAATGATTTAAGAAGCTTACTCTCAAGTAGGGATCGATGAATGGCGAAAATCTTGTGAACATGTAATAAAAATTGAAAATCAGTTCATAGAACAAGATCAGTTAATTGAGATGCAGGAGGATAGGTTTATATTAAATACTGCGTCTTCTCCTTCATATAAAGACTTTTTTATGGATGTGCAGAATTTGGAACCATTTCTAGTTCAGTTCTAATAGCCTATAATTAATGAATAAACTCATAAACGGAGTAATTGGAGTTTTCATCTAAATTTCAAACCCCACATTCGCCACAGTAAAATTTTCAAATATTATCCTTGATCATTGGATAAATTTTTATATTTGCATGTATCACACACAATCGGCCGATATAATGGAAATAAAGTATCAAAACGTTTTACTCCAATTTCCCCGGTATTGCTAGCGTCAATTTCTTTTTTCCCTTTTTGCCATCAGATCCTGGTAGACCTATATATATTTATATATTGATACAATATATTCTAGAACCAATTTCTTTTTCATTCTCAGTCAATATTTTTAATTATTAATTATTATTATGACAGCAAGTCAATTTGACAGACCTAGCGAACAGGCTCGCTAGGTCTGTCAAGTTTTTGGAGGCAGATAATGTGGCTGGCTTTTTTACATTAAGTATTTAAATTTGAGAAAATATACCTTTATTGATATTTTGCGTTTTAATTATTATCTAGCTATCAAACGATTTCTAAGAATTTTGTTCAAGGTTTCTAATTAGTAACTTATCCTCCTGGTACTAATAGATGATGATGATGATGATGATTTTGTTGTTGTTGCTGTTATTGTTGTGTTGTCTCTTTGAATCGAATTCAAATAGGCCGCGCATAATTTATGAGAACTATGCGCATTGATACTGCGCATAGTTCTCATAACATTTAATTAAGATTTATAAAAAAAAGTTAATTATTATTAAATTACAGGATAATGAAAGCCGAACAGTTGTTTATTTTGAACGAACAGTTATTGAATAGTTCTAAACTATTAGAAAAAACAAAAAAATATCAAAATATCTATAGTTCGTGCCAAATTGAGGGTAAATTTTTTTATAATTAAAAAAAAAAATAAGAACGAACAAAAAAAATTTTTGATAGAACAATGAAGAACAGTTAACGAACAGTTGATAGAGCCAAAAAAAAGTGCAAAAAATTAATTTCCCCCCGCCAACTTAAGGTTCCCGGTTAACAGCGCTAACATTTCATACTTTCTTAAATGTATCTATGATTTACTATATGCTATATATATATATATATATATATATCTTTAACGCCTACTATTTATATCTGTGAGGAAAGCGTATCTTTAGTAATTCTGTGGTCGATAGTAATATTTCATCGTCGTTGAAAGTTGACAGTTGACTGCTGACATCAAATGTCTAGCGATAATTTATATTTTATAGTACATAGTTATAGATATTTAAAAATTTTATTCGTAGACTTTAATACAAATTAAAATTATTGAAATTGGTCGGCATGAAATTCTTGTCTTTGGCTAGGGTTGAAATTTAAATAACCTTAAGTGAATATGATCAGTTACTCATTGATATTTCATTAGTTATAATTTTTATTGATGTTCTGAAATAGCTAAATTACATAGTCTAGTTTTTAATTTTACCGATAACATAAAAAATGTATTTAAATAGAATATTATGTTGTTTTCTCATTGGTAAGCATTTTTAAATTATGTTTACTGCGGAAGTCATGAATGTCGATTTATTAGTGTAATAATATTTTAGGTCTGAACGCTGCTCTTTCATCGAAAGTTTTAGAATTAAGTGATAAGTTTATTGATATCAGTAAGGATGGAATATGGTTTGTGAAGTTCTATGCACCTTGGTGTGCCTACTGCAGCAGATTAGAGCCAGTTTGGGCACATGTGGCACAGGGTTTATTTAATACTCCTATAAAAGTGGCTAAAGTTGACTGCACCCGTTTTTCTGCTGTCGCTAGTCATTTTCAAATTCGAGCTTACCCAACAATAATGTTGTAAGTATATTTTTTTTTGTCTTCGCTTTTTCACTTTTTAATCAATTATTTATGACACTGGTTTTTTAGCATTCAAGGCTCAACAACACATGTGTATAATGGGGAAAGAATCAAAGAAGATATGGTTAACTATGCATTAAGAATGGCCCAACCACCAGTTCAGAAGGTATCCTATGCAGATAGCATTGAAAATTTGAAAGATACACATGATATCTTTTTTGGTTATATTGGAGATCACCAAGATACTCTGTGGGTTAGTATTCAACAGATAGAATACCTATAAATAGTTTACTATATTATGAATGAATATTAATCTTTTCAGGAAGTGTACACAATTCAAGCTATTAAATATCAACCACATAATTGGTTTTATTCAATGACTTATGAAACTGTTAAAAAGGATCTAAAACCACCAAATAGTACCTGTGTTTTTGTTTTTAAGGATGATGATATATATTACTTTGGAGGTCAGTTTTTCATTGTTTTTAGAAACAGATGTATAAAAATATTTCATATTTTTACTTTTATATTTTGCTGTTGTTATATCTCTTTCACAATAGCAATGTTTTCTTAATGACAATTGAAACAACCTAATATTGATCAAAAGAAAATACTCATGTTACTTCCTTATTAAATTTATATAATTAATGTACATTTAAATTTACAATATTATATACAGGGTGTCCCAAAAGTCGACGTCAAGTCGAAATTTTCTCATAGGTAATGCCACACCAGTTATCAGAAAAATTAAAAAAAAAAAAAGTCATGTATTTTTGAAGTTATGGATATTTTTTTGTAATTCCAGAAAATGCACACCATGTGACAGTTTTTTCATTCCTGTTGTTACAAATATTTACTTTTTGCCAATTTTTTTCTCATACGTCATCCCGAATAGTGTTTTATGTAACCTATGATCCTAAACTCTGTGCTGATCACTCCAACTTTTAGGAAAATGTCATTTTATACCGTACCAAGTTTTCAAAATTAATTTTCGCACTACTTCAACTGATCGTCCTGAAAAAAAAATGTATTACTCCAGTTTGGCAAGTAGCTTTAAAAGTTAGCGCATTTAATAAGGATTCTACAGTGGTATAACACTGAGTCCATTATTTCTTAGATCGGCCATAAAAAAAAAATTTTGTTAAACAAAGTCTGTTTTTTAAAAATTTCTCTGGAATTACAAAAAACTATTCTAGTGTACCCAAAGCGTTCCTAATAACCACAGCGTCGTTTAAATAAGATGGCGTAAAGTGTGAGCGAGACAGATAGTGACGCTACTTATTGCTATTGAGTATTGACACACGCACTACAACAGGTCAGTACGCAACGCTCCTTCGTTTACTACGCATCTTTTCGTATTCGCTGGTGTTATTTTGTGTTCTAACTACTTTGGCTTCGTTTACGGACTTGTTTGCTTGTGATTTGGATTTTACATTTGTGATCTACGACATCCTTTACTTTTCCCTGGACTTACGTGTTATTGTGTATTTGTACCATATCATGGCTACGTACACTACACAGAAATATGCTAACATGCACCTCATTTATGGGGAATGTTTATGTAATGCCAGTGAAGCCGCTAGACGGTATCGCGAGAGATACCCTAATGCAGATCGCTATCCGGATCACAGAGTTTTTACCAATGTGCACCGTCTACTGTTCTCTGAGGGCCGACTGCCAAACCAAGTGCACGGTGAAGGTAGAATTTCACTACCCTATGAGGCGAAAAGATGCGTAGTAAACGAAGGAGCGTTGCGTACTGACCTGTAGTGCGTGTGTCAATAGCAATAAGTAGCGTTACTATCTGTCTCGCTCACACTTTACGCCATCTTATTTAAACCACGCTGTGGTTATTAGGAACGCTTTGGGTACACTAGAATCGTTTTTTGTAATTCCAGAGAAATATTTAAAAAACAGACTTTGTTTAACAAAAATATTTTTTATGGCCGATCTAAGAAATAATGAAGTAAGTATTATACCACGTTAGAATCCTTATTAAATGCGCAAACTTTTAAAGCTGCTTAATAGCAATAAGTAGCATCACTATCTGTCTCTCTAACACTTTACGCCATCTTATTTAAACCACGCTGTGGTTATTAGGAACGCTTTGGGTACACTAGAATCGTTTTTTGTAATTCCAGAGAAATATTTAAAAAACAGACTTTGTTTAACAAAAATTTTTTTATGGCCGATCTAAGAAATAATGAAGTAAGTATTATACCACGTTAGAATCCTTATTAAATGCGCAAACTTTTAAAGCTGCTTGCCAAACTGGAGTAGTACATTTTTTTTTCAGGACGATCAGTTTAACTAGTGCGAAAAATTAATTTTGAAAACTTGGTACGGTATAAAATGACATTTTCCTACAAATTGGAGTGATCGGCACAGGGTTTAGGATCTTAGGTTACATAAAGCACTATTCGGGATGACGTAAGAGAAAAAAAATTGGCAAAAAGTAAATATTTGTAACAACAGGAATGAAAAAACTGTCACATGGTGTACATTTTCTGGAATAAAAGGAAAATTTCCATAACTTCGAAAATACATGACTTAATTTTTTTTTTTAATTTTTCTGATAACTGGTGTGGCATTACCTATGAGAAAATTTCGACTTGACGTCGACTTTTGGGACACCCTGTATATCTTTAACTAAGACATTCATATGTTTTTATTAGAATTAATAGCCTTAGCCTTTTCCTTTAACTTGGTAAAATAAATCCTTGGAGTATATTGTTATTTAATTATTGTTTTTATGTATTTTATTATATGGTTTGGATTTTTGATAAATAAATAATTGTATTTTATAAATTAACATTTAAATAATAAATATTGATGGATGATGGAACATAAATAATGTGCTAAGTTTTTTATTTGGTTAGTATATTTTATGTGCGTATTTTGACAAATTTTGAAAATTTTACAGCAACACCAGAATTAATACAAGATAAGGAAACATTGAATACAACTTTGGATAAATGGGTACATTCTGAGAGATTTGGTTTCTACCCTAAAATCACAAGGTCAAATTTCAATGAACTACTGGACATAGAAAAGTACTTGGTCATTACAGTAGTTTCAGAAAACAAATTAAATGAAATATCACAAACAGAAAAAGACTTCAAGGATATGATTGAAAGTATAATAAGGTGATTTTTTTTAACATAGTTACTTATCTGTGAGCTTTAATTTAATAATTCTCTCAGTAGGTAACAATATGCTTTGTTAATTCTATATATAGGGTTATGTGTATTTTTGAAATATTTTTCTCAATACATATTGTGGTACACTTATTTTCTTAATTTGTAGATTAGGCAGTGCATTATAGCCTATTTCATATTTAAAGCCTACTTTCCAGCACGGGAATATTATAATTATTGTTTGTGTATTATTGTTATATAATTCCTTTTTTTTTTTCAGAAAAAGAAAACATGAACTTCACCATAAATTCCAGTTTGGTTGGATAGGTTCCCCAGATCTGGCAAACTCAATTGTTATGTATGACTTATCAGTTCCTCATATAATAGTCCTAAATTCAACAACCCATCACCATCATTTGCCCGATGATGACCCTATTTTAATGACGCCTGAGGCTGTATCAATGTTTCTTGATGAAATACATAATGAAATTGCACCAGTAAGTTGTCTTTCTTTATCTATTTTCTACTAGAATTCTATTATAACTTTTTCTTGAAAAGAAATTGAAAATAAATAAAAATCTACAATAGTGTGTGTGCCTAAAATAATATGGCATGCATCTGGTATTAAATCAATTTTGTTTTGGTATTATTATATGATAATTCTTACTATACTAAAATAATACTGATGCTTCCTTATTTGATTGTATATTTCTACATAAAGTTAAAGTCACAAACAACAGTACCCTATATACATAATCATCATACTAAGAAATTTAATTAAAAGAATATTTACTTTCTCCAAGTTAACATACAATAGAAATAATGCTTTATTAGAAGGTCATGTATGGTTAATCTCTATAATGTCATTACAAGCGTTTAGTAATTGGATTACCTGACACACTGCAGATTTATATATATCCCATTAATTTGGTTGGATTATCCACACGGATATATTTTAGACTGAATTGATTCATACATATATAAGAAAATAGTTAACATCTTATATTGTATCAACAGAAATGCAATCCAAGGCTATTGAGATTAATGTTTAATGTTATATGTATATTATATACAGTGGTAAATATGACCCTGACTTATCTTACAAAAAACCCAATAAAAAGTTATGACAAAAAAAACAAGTCGAATTTTAAAACCTTTGAAGTCGCACGTTTAAAAACACTTTTACATGATTGATATACGGTTGCGCCGGCGATCCCGTGTCGTATGATTTACATTTTACAACAGTCAAAATCCTAAGGGTGTGTCCACATATTCTGGCGAATGTGCAGCTCGCGACCCGTTTGGTGCGCCTCTTAAGCGCAACTCATGCAAGGCTCGTATAAGGAGTGCGCGCACTCAATTCTCGCGCTTAAAGTTTCGTTTACGGGCTCAGTACTTAGGAAGACGCGTGCCGCTAGCGCGCTGCCCGCGCGCTGATCGCGTACGGCGCTTAGGTTGCGAGCGAACTGCGCGCGGCCGGCGCAGGAGCGGCGCACGAACAAGAATGCACGGGCGCAGCTCGCAAACGCCTCGCGAGCTACACTTTCGCGGCATATTCGCCAGATGTGGACGCACCCTTAAATTGTCATTATTATACGCGTTTAAAAGTATATTCTTAAAATTAGACGTAATAATATTATTTTATATATAATAGGCATATGGAGGAAAAAGTTTCATTGTAAGGCTGTACAGAGGATTTTACGAAGCCAGAGCTACTGTAAGCAGTATGTGGCGTGGAAATCCCATTTTAACCGCATTGGTATTCGGCCTCCCCCTTGGCTTTCTCTCACTACTCTGTTATTCTATATGCTGTGCGGACATTTTGGATGCTGATGAGGAAGAATATCCTGGTATGTTTTATATTTATAAAAATTTTAGCTTTTAATAAAAATAATAACCTCCACAAACTTCTGTTTGTGCAGACTGCCAAAAGTTCATTAATAATTCTAACTTTCTTGTTTAGGTAAATATTTTTAAAAATCATTTTTCACATTATTTTGTTTTGCTATTATACTTTTTTATGGAATTTTTTAATATCTGTATTCTGTAACGTTAATGAAGAAGTATTTTTTAATAAACAACCTTTTTGTTAAATATATTGACGATTGATATTATATACTAGACCTATTAATTAAACTTTTTTTTTCAGATCAACACGAGAAGAAGGATTAGTGATGGGGTAGAAATAAGTTAAAATTTATCTTAATTATGTGCAATTTTAAATATTGTCACTTAAATCTAGCTTAAGGGTGGATTTTATTATGCTAGTCTTATTTAAACGTACCATAACCGCTGGAGAAAAAAAATGTAATCGTAATTCCTTACGACGTAACATAATGGATGGCTTTTCACCAGGGTTGCCAGTCGCGTCAACCTATTCTTATTATACACATGAGTAATTTTTACCATTATGACATATTAAAAATAAATTATTATACTATAATAATAATAAGTTAAAACTTGACTAGTTCACATGACGTCTATTATACAAGGCATACAGGTTACATAAACACTTCATTTAATATACGGCAGCCCTACTTTTCACTTCGTTCTTATTTTCGTCCATCAGTTTTAAATACCAGTCAATTGCTGGAGAGATGCAGTCTTATCTTGTGCGCTTCTTCTCTTAAGGCCCCAGTGGACTCGAGAAGTTGTATACAAACTTCGTAATAAATTATAATTTTTATTACCATAGACATCCAAACAAAATGACAATATTTTTTTTTAATAATTATGTCCTTGGTTTTTTGATGAAACCAATGCCTGATATCATGACAAGTAACTTAACATTACCTAAGAATCATAATCTCTAGGATTATGCCTTTAGCATATTTGTATAGGAAATAAAAGAATTTGTTTATTAGACAAAGATAAGCATTTAAGTGATTAATATAAATATGAAATAGTATTTATTCTAGTCTTGAAGTGTCGTGGATCATTTAAATAAAGTAGAAATAAAGGTACAATTACATTGTTTTATTTAATGATTCTTTGATTTCAAAAATCAAAAAGATTACATATTTTTATTTACTCATTTCTTCTATATACAATAGAGTTTCGATTTGATTCATTCTTAATTTTAGTTGAAGGAACCATCTATTATATTCTTCTTCTTTACATTTATATTTACTTTTATCAGCTGCTGAGGATACCTTTGAAGAATTGATAGAAGTTTTTCTGTTGTTCTTAATATTATTACTGTTTCTTAAGTCCTCATGTGTAGATGGTATATTTTTTTCATCAGGAATATATGCTTCATCTCTATATTCAGTATTGTCAAACGAGACTAGATTATGTCTAGTATTAGCAGGAGCATTTGCTTTTTTATGCTTCTTTCTAGCAATTTTCTTTGTACCATTGAATTTGCTTTCATGAAATGCTTTCGGCAACTCTAATTCAAAGTCATGTTCATTTCTTTGTGGATTACTATGATTGTGTGGTCCTTCCAAATAAGTTTCATTACAAATATCTAAACTGCTATTAATTTTATTACTAACAAGGTTTCCATTTTGTGGTGTTATTTCATCTTTAAACCCATTCTTGGTTTCAGGGATACTATTAGATGGTTCAGACTTTCCTTTTAACTTCTTTATTGCATCAAAACCATCTTTATAATTAAAATTTATAAATTCCAACTGTCTATATTTTGAGGATTCACACTCTTTGTGTAAGATATCATCAGTTTGAATGAAATCATCAAGTAACTCTGAAAATGATTCCAATCTAGAATTATCAGTAATGGTGCTATATGAATTGCAAAGTTGACTAAAACTTTCAATATTCTGTGTAGCTGTATCACTTACTAAAGATGTCCAGAAATTGTCACCAGAATCACTATTCCTCGCTGATATTTCATTATGATTGGAATTAATTATTTCACTCTCTACAAAAGTTTCATTCCTATTTGATGTTATACTATTACTACTGCTTAATGTCTCACCATTCCAAAAATGTTTTACATCTACTGTATGTGTTATTGGTGCAAGAAGTTTAAAAAAAGTAACCGACTCCTCTCCTTCACATAAAATTGATATTGCCATGCCAATAGATCCATATCTGCCTGATCGTCCAATCCTATGCAAATATGTTTCACATGTATCAGGTGGTTCAAAATTTATAACTAAATCAACATTTTTTGAATCAATGCCTCTTGATAATAGATCTGTAGATATAATTATCCTACATTTGTATTCCTGTAATGTTTTTAAAGCTTCCAATCTTGTTGTTTGTTCTTGTTTTCCATAAACAAGCTCTACAGGCCATTTAGCTTTGCTTAGCAGCTTGTGCAATTGTGATACTCTCGCTTGATATTTGCAAAATATGACACATTGTTTAAACTCTGTCTCTGATAGAATTTTCGTTAACTCATTAAATCTTATCTCAGTTTGGCGTACACTGTTGCTATTATATTTTACAAAAGCAACTCTATGGCTTACACCAAGGAGAACATTACTGGTGTCAGGACATACATGATGTGGGTTTTTAATTATCTTATTAACCACTTTAGCTATACTTTCAGGATATGTAGCACTACTTAAAATTATTTGCTTTTCTCTTGGCAAAGCAGAATGTATATATAGAATATCATCTTCAAAGCTATTTTCCATTAATTTATCAGCCTCATCCAGAACTAGTAGATTAATTTCGTTTGTTACAATATGCTTCTCTTTCATTAAATGTATTATTCTTCCTGGGGTTCCAACTAGTATATGTACATTATTTTTTAACTTTTCTAAGTCCTCCTTAAAAGACAGACCACCTATGACCATTTCCACGTTTAGTCCTAAAAGGAATTAGTTAATTTTAGACCATTTTATAATAAATCAATAGTAAAAATTACCTAAAAGCTAAAAAAATATATTATAACCTTCTTATCAATATGAAATTAACTTACTTGTACAATGGCACCCAATCTGTTTCAAAACATCACATATTTGTGCAGCTATTTCTCGAGTTGGGGTTACAATGATAATTTGCAATCCTCTGTCAAGATTAAGTTTTTGTAAGGCAATAGTGGTAAAAACTACAGTCTTCCCAGTTCCTGATTTGGCTTCTAAAATAAGATCTGAAAAAATATAACATATTAATTTCATACAAAATGGAAAATGGCAAGGAATATTTAAAATTTATTCAAACTTACCAAAACCCAATTTTCCTAATGGAATGCCCAACAGTTGTATAGGGGAAGGTTTGTAAAATCCACAACTTGTTAAACCATCTAATACATTTTTTGAGAGCATCAATGTTCCAAATGTTGCTTCGTTATTTATTTTAATATCTTCAGTTCTCTTAATACTTTGAACATTATGAGCCAACACCATAGTGATTTAAATATTAAAAATAATTAAATAATTTTGAATTTTATGTACTTTACTACTTTAATTTAATTTTATGTGCCAGACGCCAGTTTGAAACTGTTTATAGTAGTGTACAATATTCCTAAACTTTTTCTTACTATTAAAAAACGAAAGATTAAACGAAAAGTTGTGAATTTCATATAAAAATTAATAAAAAGATGTATATATTTTAAGATTTAAGAAACTGAAGCTGATGGTTCCGGTGGCCACAGATTACATGTACCGGTTCCCACAGCCCACTTCCCGGCGGGATTCGAGCTCCGGCTTACCATAGACTAGTGGTCAAAATTCAAATAAACTATCAGCTGGAAGGATCTCGTTCTCGAATGCATGCGCATTTGATACAATCGTAAGGTTCAATAAAAATAAATCGATGGAGAATAATAATAAACACTTTGTTTGCATCATAAAAACAGATATTAATTTTTCTTCCAGACAAGAAATACAACTTTTAAATATTGTAACAATAATTTCAAGCTAAATAGCTAATGAAAAATAGCATTGTATTACAAACATTGTATAAATATTACGGGGAAAAAGTGACCGATTATAATCGTAGCTTAAATTTAAGGTGCATGACGCGCAGTGCGCGCAGCGCGTGTTTAAGGCTTGCGAGTGTTGCGCGTGTTTAAAGTTCACATGTAACGCGCGTTAACGCAGGACAACGCGCGATCTAGTATATACTGCTCAAAACAATTAGCGGAACAAGATTTTTCTCCTTTCTATTGCTTAAACTAAAATTAGATTTAAATTAACTTGTACGCTATTTTTTACCTTGTTAATTTGTTAATTACTACAATTAATATAAAAATTCAATTTGTATTTTTTTTATTAAAAAAAAATTTAAATGTGCATTGTAGAAGAAAAAAAAGTGACGTCTTTGAATTTTCATTACTTTCTAATCACAGAAAACACATTTTAAGTAGTTTTTTTTCAATCTTTTGAGTATTAATAGAAATTGAAGTGAGCCTTTTGAGTATTGTTATTCATTGAAGCGAGTGAGTTTAGGTCATAATGCCAGATCTGACTGAATTGCATGTCTCCCGTTCTATCGCTTTGCTTGAAGTGGGTCGAACTATGCGTTATGTAGGAAATGATCTAGGAGTAGCCCCTTCTGTTATCTACAGACTTTGGAAGCGATACCGTGAGATGGGAGAATACTCACGAAGGCGTGGTCAAGGTCGAAAGAGAAAAACTACACGTTTGCAAGATCGCTACATCGTCAACTGTGCTTTACGTAACCGCACCACAACTGCAAGAGATCTACAAAATACACTAAAGACGGCTACTGGTGTAGAAATTCCCGACCAGACGGTAAGAAATAGGTTGTTGGAAGCCAATTTGAGATCACGCCGACCAGTTCGGGCTGTGCGTCTAAAAATTCAACATAGACAAGCTCGCCGACAGTTCGCGCAAAATCACGCTAATTGGCAACTTCGACATTGGAGGCCAGTGCTTTTTACTGACGAATCACGATTCCGTCTAACACGTTGCGATGGTCGTCTCCGTGTTTACAGACGCCCAGGCGAGCGATACAGTGCAGCAGCAGTCCAGGAATATGACAAATTTGGATGTGGCTCTGTGATGGTTTGGGGCGGAGTTAGTTTGGACGAGCGCACAGATCTCGTCGTTGTTCCCGGGCGCTTGTGTGCTCAAACTTACATTGAAAATGTGCTCGAAGATCATGTTTGGCCCGCAGCATATGGTATGGGCCCAGATTTTCTTTTAATGCAAGATAATGCCAGGCCGCATACTGCAGCCATCACGTCAGATTACTTACGACAGCAGGAAATCCGTGTAATGGAGTGGCCTTCCATGAGCCTTGACCTAAATCCAATTGAACACATTTGGGACTTGCTTGACAGGCGCATCCGGAAGCGTCCGATTGCACCTCAAACACTGCAGCAGCTCACTGAAGCGTTGATTGAAGAATGGGAGCGAATTCCACAAGAAGATATTCGGAGGATCATACGAAGCATGCCGCGTCGTTGTCAAGCCGTGATTAGGGCTCATGGAGGCCAAACACGTTACTGAAAGTCACTAAAGACGAATATTCAAACGATATAAGAATATTTCTTTGATGGACCTTTTTTATCACCAATTAGTTTTTCGTCTACAATGCACATTTTAATTTTTTTTAATAAAAAAAATACAAATTGATTTTTTTTATTGATTGTAGTAATTAACAAATTAACAAGGTAAAAAATAGCGTACAAGTTAATTTAAATCTAATTTTAGTTTAAGCAATAGAAAGGAGAAAAATCTTGTTCCGCTAATTGTTTTGAGCAGTATATAAAGAATTCAGAAGACATGCGCTAACGCGCGTTGCGAATTGTGAGGGCTCATCAGTCTGTTTCGATATAGCTTAAAGAACGGACGTGAAAAAAGCTATTATTTTGTGGTTTTATTACAAAAAAGTCTTCTTGAGAGTCGGTATCATTACAGAAAATTAAAACAAATTCTTCCCAAGCACGTCATTTTAAAATTTTATTTTTATAGGATTCTGAAGAAATATCCAAAATCGCTGGCCTTTTCCGGACTTCATCAATTAGTAAATCGATTTCAATATCTTGAGATTCACTCATTTTGAACTGAATACGAAAGCAAGTCACAAAAAACAACGTACAATCGCGATGAAAGCGCGCGCTCAACTGAACAGTATACGGACGTTACACACATGACAAAGCGCGCGACAACGCGTGATCACCTGCGTCTAGAGACTTTTTCTCTGAGCACCGCGTTAACGCTATCTGACGCGCGTTAACGCGCGCTCATGTGTACAGTTGTATGAAAATATCATGAGTGTCTGAAAACGCGCGTCAAATTTTTGCCATCTGATCATGGCCTTACTATATTCCCAGTGACAAATTAATAAAATAAATAAAAACAAAATCTTTTTAAATGGAGTTTATATTGGAATTATCATTATTTACTAAAACTGAAACTGGCTACTGATTTGCTATTGACGACGTTACACACGACTCGCTAATGGTTGAGAAATCGAATGTTGATGTAACGTACTTTAATTTGAAATTTAGTCATGCATTTGTTTTCAACTGAGCATAAATTAGTTTCTTCGACAAATATTTATCAGCATTATTAAAATAATATACGTACATCCATTCATTAGATATATTTAGATAAATGCTGTTAGTTTTTTTATTCCTATTATTATATATATAAATTCCTATCCTATTATTACAATATAGATCATTTCATCATGGAAAATAATGATCACAAAGTACTTTGCTTATTTTTGCCCCTTTTCACTAAAATTAGATGACAGATTACATTCAGAAAAATAAGTCACATGTTCTTTCCGTCATGTTTCCAATATGAAAAAAGTGTGTGTATTTGTTTCTGGATTTCTCAAAAATAAGAAAACGAATGACCAACAAAGGGTTTGCTAAGGAAACAATAATTATAAATAAATAATATTTGGACACTTTTGGCCAAACAGTCTTAAACTTTTTTTGCATTGAAGCTAGGCTGTATATTTATATAATATGTTTTTGTTTTCCTTAATCTATATTAGTCCGACTAACACAATATATTAACCCTGCATAGACTATAAATCGACATCCAAACGTTTGATTTCTACACAGCCTCTTTTTTACAACACATGTTTTTGTTCAATTTAATTAGTAAAAAAACTCGAAACAAATCAATCTTATTTTGTTTTTTTCTCATAAATTATAATGTGCTGTATTTAATTATATATATAATATATTATAGTTCTATCGATTAGCAATAGGTTTTGTCTATGAATGATTACTACAGAAATTATAAATGATATTACACAGAATATTAAGTCATATAAAATTGTGAGTTGTGAATTGTGATTTCTGAATAGAGTAAACAGTTAATAAATTATCTGTGTTTTTAATTTTCATTTTGAGAAATAAGAAATGGCGAAATAGTTTGCTATCGAAATATAGGTTTAAGTTATCTTTTTGCATTCGGAGTTCAGCTAGTAAAAATTTAAAACAAATGCAATGATATATAATTTTCGTAATGCATTTATTACTTACTGTGGTGTTAAATTGAAACTACGTTTACAGTTTTCAAACATAAGCTCTGCGTTTATTTCAATGTAAATGATCTATGAATAGTTTTTAAAATATATATTTATCACGTAAGTAGTCAATAGTCATATTTGAAAGACTTATCTGAAATTATTATACACTGCGTTAATCAATATTTATTTTATCATTTCAACCAACCTCTTTCGAAAGAGACAATTATTTATCAGTGTTATTTTTGTAAACAAAAAAGATGTAACTAATTCATCTTAGATACTCATTTTCTGTATTACAGCAAACAACTAAATATGAATAACACTGGAGGTATTGTTGGTGGAGTTGGTTCTTACGATGCCAAAATTGCTGGATTATATGACTTGCTGGATACTCTAGGATCTGGTCATTTTGCTGTGGTGAAGTTAGCCAGACACGTATTCACTGGGGAGAAAGTGGCTGTAAAAGTTATAGATAAGAGCAAGTTGGATGAAGTTTCAAAATCACATTTATTTCAGGAGGTGAGCTATCACATTATTATGATTATGATGATTGACAACTTGACAATTGAATCAAATATATATAATTGGGGCTGAATTTTGGTCCATAACAGTTTATGTCAATCTTAGATGCTAAATAAACCTTGAATTACAGGTTCGATGTATGAAATTAGTACAGCATCCAAATGTTGTAAGGCTCTACGAAGTAATAGACACACAAACCAAGCTTTATTTGATATTAGAGCTAGGTGACGGAGGAGATTTATATGACTATATCATGAGGCATGAATCTGGTTTATCAGAATCTCTTGCTCGTGACTACTTTCGCCAAATTGTTCGTGCAATCTCATATTGCCATAGGTAAGACATAAAACTGTTTACTTAAATTTTTGTTTTGTAATTGTACATTAATTATATTATTATTTTCAGATTACATGTTGTGCATCGGGATTTGAAACCTGAGAATGTAGTGTTTTTTGAAAAGTTAGGTGTAGTGAAATTGACTGATTTTGGTTTTAGTAATAAGTTTTGTCCAGGACAAAAACTAGAAACTTCCTGTGGTTCTTTAGCTTATTCAGCACCAGAAATACTGCTTGGAGATTCTTATGATGCACCTGCAGTAGACGTGTGGTCACTTGGTGTTATTCTTTACATGTTGGTATGTGGTCAAGCACCATTCCAAGAAGCTAACGATAGTGAAACTTTGACTATGATAATGGACTGTAAATATACTATACCACCGAATATCTCAAACTCATGTAAAAGGTAATTTAATGCTGTAAGATAATGTCTAATTAGGCATAATGCTTTCATATAGCTGTAGGCTGATCGCTACCTTGCCTTTAAAGTTAATAATGAAATAGATACATAAATGTGCCTTCACTACCTTTACTATACTTTTGTACTTAATGTATTATAGAGTTCTGGAATTGTGCCCCATTGGGGTATTGAATAACTCAGCTTGTATAATGGATGGAGCTCCTAGCTTTTCTCAGTGAAACAATATTTGTTTTTGACTCATCATTATTATGGAAGTAACTTACTTAACTTGATACAACTAAGAAGTTTAAATAATAAATAATGTTAGACTAGAACAGTTAACAGCTTAAGCACAATAACAGAATAAGTGAAACAAAAAAAAATACATTTTTAATTTTAGGTTAATAGGAAGAATGTTAGTTAGAGAGCCAGAAAAACGAGCTACCTTATCAGAAATTGCCGCTGATCCCTGGGTAACCGCTGGGGAAGGAGTGACAGTAGAAGACTTTGATGCTCCTTTAGTTACAAAACAGGATTTAACTGAAGAAGATCGTCAATCCATCATTCAAATAATGGTAGATGGAGATATAGCATCAAAGGAAGGAATTATAGAGGAATTAGAAAAAAATGAATACAATCACATAACTGCTACATATTACCTGCTTGCCGAGAGACAACTTAGATCGAAAAGGTAATTTTGTGATAGTTAAAAAAACGTTTATTGGATTACACTTTGAGAACTAATTTTATATACAGTCAAACCTGGGTAAGTGAGAAAACTGGATAAGTGAGAAAACTCTATAAGTGAGAGTAATAGCCGGGACCCGTCATTTTAAGCTCCCAAAACCTCTATTAGCGAGAAACATGAACCTCTGTAAGAGAGAGTCGTTTTTCCCTCATGGACCTCCGTAAGTGAGACTGCTACTTATCTATACCTCTATAAGCGACAGTCGAGCTTTATTTAAAAGATACACACATACAGTAACAAATTACAAATTTGACATTTTCATTCATTCAGGTTTCTTTAACGTGTAAATAAGTTCTAAATAAAATAAAATACATGTACATAATAATGTTGAGCACATTATGCACATAATTTTATCATATTACATTTTTACTACATTCGTACTTGCTGTGACTTGTTATTGCTGCGTACCTCTACAAGAGAGAAATGCTACCCATGTACCTTACATTATCGAGAAACTCGTGTTAGTGAGAAACCTCTATAAGCGAGAATGAGATTATGCTCCCTTGAACTCTCGCTTATCCAGGTTTGACTGTATATACTAGCAGACTCGGGCAAGCGTTGCTGTGGCTAAGGTTTTTGCTATATTACATAGTAGTAAACTATTCAAGGGAAACGGTAGGAGAACTTATGTGAAAGGTAGATAGCTTATGTGAAACGTTGGTACTTTTAACACAGCGTCATCTGTTAGAATTGTATCAAATAATAAACAAATAATTTGCAATAAAATAATATTTCGGGTATAAATTAAGATATAAGCTATCCTATCTTTTAAGTTAGATCAAACTGCACACGGTGTGCAAATTTGATTGAAATCGGTTAAATAGTTTAGGAGTCCATAGCGGACAAACAACGTGACGCGTAATTTTATATATTAAGATATTTAAAAAAAAAATGCTAATTTATATAATATACAGTGTACACTCTTTATAACGCCATCGTTCTTTCGAAATTGCCACTCTTTATAACGCAACAGCCATTTTCTATTACGAAGAAATATTTCCATATTTAGACATGAACAACATACTTAAGTGTAAATGTTTTTATAATCAGCTTACAAAACTAACCTTTTAAGGTGCCAAAATTTCTAAGAAAGACACCTGAGATCATAAATAGCCGTCTCTTTGTTAATTGCATTATTAACACGTGTGCTATTATTCTTAGATTACATGTCATAGCAAAACACGTCAGGCAAAGTTAACAGTATACAGGGTGTCCCAAAAGTCGACGTCAAGTCGAAATTTTCTCATAGGTAATGCCACACCAGTTATCAGAAAAATTAAAAAAAAAAATTAAGTCATGTATTTTTGAAATTATGGAAATTTTCCTTTTATTACAGAAAATGTACACCATGTGACAGTTTTTTCATTCCTGTTGTTACAAATATTTACTTTTTGCCAAATTTTTTTTCTCTTACGTCATCCCGAATAGTGCTTTATGTAACCTATGATCCTAAACCCTGTGCGGATCACTCCAACTTCTAGGAAAATGTCATTTTACACCGTACCAAGTTTTCAAAATTAATTTTTCGCACTAGTTAAACTGATCGTCCTGAAAAAAAAATGTACTACTCCAGTTTGGAAAGCAGCTTTAAAAGTTCGCGCATTTAATAAGGATTCTAACGTGGTATAATACTTACTTCATTATTTCTTAGATCGGCCATAAAAAAATGTTTTGTTAAACAAAGTCTGTTTTTTAAAAATTTCACTGGAATTACAAAAAACGATTCTAGTGTACCCAAAGCGTTCCTAATAACCACAGCGTGGTTTAAATAAGATGGCGTAAAGTGTGAGCGAGACAGATAGTGACGCTACTTTTGGGACACCCTGTATATATGTTTAGAATAATAATAATAAAGCCTTTTTTATTTCCTGTTTTACAAAAGTTGGTAGTTGTTATATTAAAGTTACCAAAAATATTGATTTGTTAGTAGGTTAGCTTAAATTATGTTAGTAATATATATTTATAGGATTTATTTAACAGGAACCCCGGTTTGGGTAAAGGCCTCCTCCAAAGATGCCCATTGTTGTCGGTCCTGTGCTATGGAGTGCCAGTTTTTGCCAGCTGATCTTTTCAGATCATCTTCCCAGCGGTCTAAGGGTCTCCCCTTCCGCCTCTTGCCTGGTGGTCCTTTCCATTGGGTAACTCGTTTGGTCCACTTTCTGCTAGACATTCTTGCCACATGGCCAGCCCAATTCCATTTCAGTTTTCGGGCAAAAGTTAAAGCGTTTGTAACTTTAGTGACGGCTCTTATCTTTGTATGTCTTATTTTGTCCATTCTCTTTATATTCAACATGCTTCGCTCTAAACCTCTTTGACATACATTGATTTTATTCACAGCTTGTGTAGAGAATTTCCAGGTCTGGCTTCCATAAGTTAAGCTGGGTAGTAGACATGAGTTCATAACTTTAGCTTTGAGAGTTATTGGTAGGTTACTCTTAAATATTTCTTTTAGGCTCCAATATTTATTCCAGGTTTGTTGGACCCTTCTCTCTATTTCTATAATGTTACTGTTTTCCTCGAAACTTATTCTTTTTCCCAGGTAAGTATAATTTTCTACATACTCTAAAGGGTTACCATTGATAGTTATAGGTCTTTTTCGTGTATTACTCATTATCTTTGTCTTCGTTAGATTCATCTCCAAACCAACTTCCGCACTCACCTGTTGTAGAGATTCTATCATGAATTGCATCTCGTTGACTGTATATATGTTTAGAATAATTTACCTATTGATTGTAATAACATTAGAAATTATTTTAATTGGTTAAATTTGGTTATATCTCTCCGTATAACATATACTCTCTATAACGAAAAAACTCCCTTGAAATTCGTTATAAAGAGTTTACAACGAATTAGGTTTAAAAATTGCAATATTCATTGAATATTTAGAGCAGAATTGGCCTAGTGGCTTCAACGTGCGACTCTCATCCCTGAGGTTGTAGGTTCGAACTCCGGGAGTGCGCCTATGGACTTTCTTTCTCTGAGCGCCTGCTCGAACGGTGAAGAAAAACATCGTGAGGAATCGGCTTGCCTCAGACGTAAAAAGTCGTGTATCGGGCACAGAAGGTTGATCACCTACTTGCCTAGTAGATTGATCATGAAACACCTCATCTGAGGCCCAGACTTAAAAAAAGGTTGTAGCGTCACTGATTTTATTAAATCAAACATTAATTTATAATTTATGTTATTGTTCAAGTTTACTAATTCTCTAATACAAAACTAGTTGTTGTTTAATTAGATGTTAATTGTTTGAAATAAATCCGTTATAGGCAAGAAGCGAGGCAAAATGTCCGGCGACCTGAAGCACTGGGCGTGTCTCGTGGGCGTGGCCTACTCGCCCCACCTCAATTGCCTTCTGCGCCGCGGACGCCACAGGATGCTCCAGCGGTGTGTATTAATCAACCCATGGTCCATTCAGCTGCGTAGATTTATGACTTCTGACAGTTTACTTTTTGTCAAAATGATATTTTCTAAACAAAATCTCGATTATTTAAATTCCTAAAATTCCGTTTGTGTCATCTTATTTACTAAACTTGACAAGAAAATCGTCAATCAATCATTCGAATAAAAGCAAGAATAACTAATTCCTTTTTAACAAAATAACCTCAAATTGTTTTGATTGACGATTCCATTAAACGCACGGGACGCCTGCATCTAGTGTCTAAACAAAAACTTTATAGTGTTAATTTATTTATATGAAAGTGGTATATAATTTATTTATATCCAATTAGGCGATTGTTTGGAAGAAATTTAAATAAATATTTTTTTTCATACGGTGGTGTTTAATAAAAAGTGATAATCCTATCCTAAAAGTGATAGCCGTGAGTTCTGAATTTGGTATTAGCATCAATGCGAAAAGTCTAAATATATGACAATAAGCCGAACACCAGAGCTTTTCACGCAACATATATACCTCAACAATCAGACCTTGGAACGTGTCTCGAAAATACGATATCTAGGCACAGTGATTGATGAAAAGGGTGACCACAGCATCGAAATCCGCTACAGAATTGAACGCCTTTTCAAAACTAAAAAAAGTACTTTGTGACAAGCGCCTAAATTTACAGCTTAGAACTCGCATTGCGCGATGTTACGTCTTCTCTGTGCTGCTCTACGGCGTAGAATCTTGGACGCTGGCAGAGACTATGTCCAAAAAACTGGAAGCGTTTGAGATCTGGGTTTATCGACGTATGCTTAAAATATCTTGGACAGACCGCATACGAAATACAACCGTGCTGGACAGAATGCAGAAGAACAAAGAAGTGCTTATGACGGTTAAGAAAAGGAAACTTGAGAATTTCGGACACGTTTTACGTAACTCCAAAAAATATGAGCTCCTTTAACTAATCTTGCAAGGCAAAGTGGCAGGTAGAAGGAGACCTGGCCGCAGACGCACGTCCTGGTTGAAAAACTTGAGACAATGGTTTGGTCAAAGCACCAAGTCATTGTTTAGAAGCGCGGCATCCAAAATTAAAATAGCCATGATGATCGCCAACCTTCGCAAGGAGATGGCACTATAAGAAAGAAAAAAAGATAATCCTATATATTCTCCTTAGAAAGAAAGAAAATAAATGCTGACAGGCATAGCCCAGACGTTAGATGTCGAATATATAAAATTCTCGTGTCATAATGTACCCTCCGAAACGGCTCGACTGATTATTATGAATTTTTTAATGCATATTCAGTAAATCTGAGAATCGGCTACTATCTATCTTTCAAACCCCCTATAAGTGATTAGGGGTGTCCACCCCAAAATTTTATTATTAATTTTTTAGACAATTTTTTTTTGTTTTTATTGTTTTATTATACACATATATACTGCTCAAAACAATTACGGGAACAAAACTTTAAAGTAGAACTAAACTTTTTTACTTAAGGTTTTAATTATTACTGGCCACTAGATAATGTTAAGGCATTGTCGAAGAAAATAAAAAACAAAAGAGCATCGGCGTTTTGGTTAGTAGTCCTATAATAAAGTGGCAGTGTGTCTAGAAACACCTAAAAACAAAGTGACGTCTTTGAATTTTCATTACTTTCTAATCACAGAAAACACATTTTAAGTAGTTTTTTTCAATCTTTTGAGTATTAATAGAAATTGAAGTGAGCCTTTTGAGTATTGTTATTCATTGAAGCGAGTGAGTTTAGGTCATAATGCCAGATCTGACTAAATTGCATGTCTCCCGAGCTATCGCTTTGCTTGAAGAGGGTCGAACTATGCGTTATGTAGGAAATGATCTAGGAGTAGCCCCTTCTGTTATCTACAGACTTTGGAAGCGATACCGTGAGACAGGAGAATACTCACGAAGGCGTGGTCAAGGTCGAAAGAGAAAAACTACACGTTTGCAAGATCGCTACATCGTCAACTGTGCTTTACGTAACCGCACCACAACTGCAAGAGATCTACAAAATACACTAAGGACGGCTACTGGTGTAGAAATTTCCGACCAAACGGTAAGAAATAGGTTGTTGGAAGCCAATTTGAGATCACGCCGACCAGTTCGGGCTGTGCGTCTAACAATTCAACATAGACAAGCTCGCCGACAGTTCGCGCAAATTGGCAACTTCGACATTGGAGGCCAGTGCTTTTTACTGACGAATCACGATTCCGTCTAACACGTTGCGATGGTCGTCTCCGTGTTTACAGACGCCCAGGCGAGCGATACAGTGCAGCAGCAGTCCAGGATTATGACAAATTTGGATGTGGCTCTGTGATGGTTTGGGGCGGAGTTAGTTTGGACAAGCGCACAGATCTCGTGGTAACAGTTTTGAATACCATCGCACTTTTTTGGCGATACTAATTATTTAGGAGTCTCGGAGGACCTTCATTGGAACACCTCCAAGTGAGTTTTGCTCCGGAAACGTTTTTTTTTTTTTTTCACCTGGGGAAACCCGATTACGGGCCCCCGCGCCTGGGCAAGTGTGATTGACGCGGGGAGTGTGGGGATCAAGGTCGTAAAATGCGATGGCCCCCATACCCACTAAAACCACCAGGGCCCAATACATAGCCATAGCACGTGTAGAGCAGTAAACAAAAGCAAAATAAGCAATATAGCAAAACAAAAATCGGTCAGTCAGTGTTTAATTTATAGACATATTTGACAGCTTTAATTAGCTCCAAAAATGGGTCTTTTTTATGTTTTATATTGTTTCGCCGCCACAAATATTCATAGACATGATCTGAAAAATTTTCAGTGTTATTATAATTATCCTTTTTAAAAAATCTTTTTACTGCCCTCCACTGTGACTCAATCCTTTGAGTATGGGTTCCATCTTCAGCCACAAACGGGTTTTCAGGGTCTGAATGATTCACTTTTTGATGTATGTACCCATGGTCTGCCAGACAATCATATGCTTTCCAGAAGTCAGTATGAATGATAGTACCAACTTCAACATGTTTTTGAATCAGAGGAAGTAATATATCAGCTGATCGAATATTATTTGGGCACACTTCCAATCTTAGGTCTTCAGATTTGTCTTCGATCATACCAAGGACCCAATAGCCCTCAATATGTCGTCCTACAACAATTAAAGAATTAGTTAATAAGCTTAATGAGTTAAATAAATTTTGTAGATGTGATAATAATAGGGTTATTGGACAGCTCTGGTTTTTAAATTACACTCTAGGAGTAAAACAGACTAATAACACATATAGTAAATATTAATTAATAGTGCTATAAAATAATTACCTCGATTATATTTTCTTTTCCCAAATTTAGATTCATCAATCTGGACTATCTTCCCTGGGCCACCAATCTTTCCTACCGCTTGAGTTTTATCCATTTGATATATAACTATAGTTTCCCTACAATAACTATACCAATCACATATAGTGACTCGGCTTAAGGATTTAAGTCTATCATCTTTATATGGATCTTCACGCATGGTTGTAAGATAGCTCCAATTTTGCGAAAACGCATATAATAAATAGAAAACATGAACTAATTCTATTTTAATATTTTCGAAAAATGTTCCTTTATTTCTAGGAACTTTAGTTTTTGATCTGCAATTTCCTTTCGTGCAACACCATGAACCAAATGTTTTATTCGTCGATTTAGCAATTTTCATGGGTTTACGATGTGTACTACATTGCTTTTGAGAATGCACTAAACCATTTTCTTCAGCGAATGCCACACACTGCTCATTGGTACCTAATTTTTTATATATTCTAATCAGATTCCACAATGTGATCACTTCCTCACTATTCAAGTCACGATTCACAACGGACCCATCGTCCTCAAAATCATTTTCACGAGTAAAACTTGTAGACGCCATCACTATAAATCTGAAAATGATCGCGAGAAATCAGTGTTGATTATGTATGTAAAGCCAAGTTTCAAAAAATGCAAATAAAATAACGCACTTTCACGTGAAAATAAAAAAGAAACGGATTTATAAAGTAAACTTTGCACTGTAAAACTAATTACCGCTAGTCTAGCATAAACCACATTCAAAATGGCCGATTAAGTTTATAAAATTAATAGGGATGTGAAAAATAATCGATTTTTTTTAAAGTGAAAATCTATTTTTGTATTCGATTTTAATATTAAAAATAATTGAAAATTCGGCGACCAAATATTCATATACTAACTCTAACCTAACCAATCTAAATTATATTTGTTTTTTCGGACAGCTCCGATCTAAATAGTAATTGTTTATTCAAGCCTCGGCTTCTCGGCGTCCTGGTCGCCTTCGGCGACCAAATATTCATATACTAACTCTAACCTAACCAATCTAAATAATATTTTTTTTTGTGGACAGCTCCGATCTAAATAGTAATTGTTTATTCAAGCCTCGGCTTCTCGGCGTCCTGGTCGCCTTCGGCGACCAAATATTCATATACTAACTCTAACCTAACCAATCTAAATAATATTTTTTTTTGTGGACAGCTCCGATCTAAATAGTAATTGTTTATTCAAGCCTCGGCTTCTCGGCGTCCTGGTCGCCTTCGGCGACCAAATATTCATATACTAACTCTAACCTAACCAATCTAAATAATATTTTTTTTTGTGGACAGCTCTGATCTAAATAGTAATTGTTTATTCAAGCCTCGGCTTCTCGGCGACCAAATATTCATATACTAACTCTAACCTAACCAATCTAAATAATATTTTTTTTTTGTGGACAGCTCCGATCTAAATAGTAATTGTTTATTCAAGCCTCGGCTTCTCGGCGACCAAATATTCATATACTAACTCTAACCTAACCAATCTAAATAATATTTGTTTTTGTGGACAGCTCCGGCGCTACGGGAAATGCAGCCCCTCCACCCTTGCGTACCAAAGCACAGGCATTTTATTCATATTTATGCCTGTGCTTTGTTACAGCGGGTGGGGGCTGCTCTTCCTCCGCGCCTCCGATTATTTATATACACTCTAGGGGTAAGACAGACAAGACCACGTGGATAGTGGGGTGCTCTGATTCGGTTTTGGGTACTTTTTGGATATTAAAGTAAACACTTTATTCTAGTAAAAATTAAATAATATAGAAAGTTGCAAACAATGAAATACAAGTACTAATTAGAAAATACAGACGAGTAGGTATCGATAATTTCAAAAAATTTCGGAACCCTATAATCTATCAACACGAAATTAGGTTAATTTCAATGTTGATTATTCTATAACTTTAAATTTCAAAAATGAGGAAATAATCGATAAATAAATAAAACGATTATTAACAATCGATAAATTAAAAACACGATTTTTTTAAGTGAACGTCACATCACTTATAACCAATAGAAAAGTAGAAAATGGCGGATTGTTTACAAATTTTAATACATTACACAAAACTTTAAATTTTTTATAAAAATATTTAGACGCGTTTCCGGAGCAAAACTCACTTGGAGGTGTTCCAATGAAGGTCCCCCGGACACTCCTAGATAATTAGTATCGTCAAAAAAGTGCGGTGGTATTTAACACCCAACCCCCGCAGCATATGGTATGGGCCCAGATTTTCTTTTAATGCAAGATAATGCCAGGCCGCATACTGCAGCCATCACGTCAGATTACTTACGACAGCAGGAAATCCGTGTTTAACAAATTAACAAGGTAAAAAATAGCGTACAAGTTAATTTAAATCTAATTTTAGTATAAGCAATAGAAAGGAGAAAAATCTTGTTCCGCTAATTGTTTTGAGCAGTATATATTACACATATTTATACACATTACAAATTTATCTTTTGATTAGATTTAATTGTGAAAACATGAAACTATCTGATAATAAACATACCAGCTAGTTAAGTACCAGATTTTCATCGTTTTTTATTTTTTTATATTTCCATTATACATTACTTTTATTATGAAAAATTGTGATATTTCCTCGTAATTGGGAATGTTGTTAGTTTCAATTTTCATGCTTCTATTAATCGTTGCCTCCTCCATTTGTGCCATATACCCAGAATATCTCGCAAAAACAAACAAAAAAAAATCGAACCAGCGGATCTAGTAGAGATTTTCTTTTCTCATCTGAATACGTATACTTATGGTGTATTTTAATAATAAATGGTTTATGTTACAGAGGTCCCGCAAGTGCAGTATAGTCCGCGAAGAGGATGACGATGAAGAGACATCGGTGTGCGGACCGGCGCGTGCGCAGGACTCACGACGCGGCTCTCGCTCTGAAGGACGTCTGCAGTTAGCTAGACCTGCGCAGCTTGCTGATAATCTTACTAAGGTAATACTGATTATTATGGATTTTTAAAATCTTATAATCTTTATTACAATTAAAAATAGATTACATATTTAGTCTATGACTATCGGGGTTATGCAGTTAAGCGAAAAAGTAAATAAAAAAATCTCACCAATTTTAATCATATTTATTCACTTTTCATGCATTTAAATATATAAATGATTATAACAGCATTAACATAATTTAATGGTAAAATAAAGTTTAATATATTGAAATTCTTCCGTCACCACTTCCTATTTCATTACACTGTTTATTGTACGTAAAACGCTGAATATTTATTGATAGGCCAAAATAGAAGAAATTGGCCATTTTAAGAACATGTGAATAAATACGTTACCTACTTTTAGGTGAATCTAGACGACGGTGTGAAAACCGCTCGTCTTAGTATAGCACAAGATACGGTGTCAGTGGTGGAAAGTGCCGCCAGGGCTCCACCGGCACCTCCTCCCGCAAGAAGGCAACGCATTGAATGTCGCCGAAGACGACCTCGAACAGGCTCCTGTTCATCGTCAGACCTCTCTGATGACGACTCGGAGAAGAAGAAGAGGGCTCCAGAGCACGTGGAACCATTGGTGGAGCGCCCGCGACGGGACTCCCATGACGACTCTAGTGATAGTCAGGAGAGAGGGGCGCGGCCAGCAAGGACGCATAGCGCACATGCTAGTGAGCAAATTTATTTTCTCTATATGGGAGTAGTGCTCTCAACTGTGAGGTGTGTCATGCACAGAAGGCTGATCACCTATTCATATTTATTTATTTACTTACCATGCATGGCCAAACTCAGACTAAAAACAACATAAAACCACAAAAAAAATACAATTAAGTTATTTACAAAATTTACAGTAAATGCCTCTTATCCCCTCCAAGTATACTCTCAAATCACAGTATACTACCCCCATACGCTTCTCAAATACCACATATGTTAGACGTTTCATGACAGAATATCTAAACAAATAGGTACTAGACCCCAAGTAGATTTTATCGTTACATACTTAAGACCACTCAACACAACACAAATTCCCTAAAGAACTTTCTCCCAAACCGAGTAGTGGCCGACTGGAAAGCTTTCCGGAAAGTGTGTTCAGTGCCATCTGTGAACACCTTTAAAAATAGATTTGATAAGTTTCTCCAAATCTCATAATACACGCGCATCAGCTTATTAAAAGCTGCCAGTGTTGTAAGTAAATAATAATAATACCTTTCTAAAACTACATCCGTAATAACATTTCAGGCAATACATGATTTGTTGATAGAATGCAATGCGAAAAGAATTAAATTATTAACTTTATTTATTTAGCAGGCGGCAGCAGCGTAGAACGTAGCGGGTCAACTAGCGGCGGGGGTGGAAGTGGTGGCAGCGGAGGTGGGGGTGACGCGCGGGGGGGAGGCAACTCGGCCGGTAGACGGCGACGAGCCGCCAGGAAGGAAAGTCGCCTACGAGAGTCGCGGTCTCTTAACCGGATTGCTGAGGTAATATATAATAGTACGGGAGGTAGCAACGTTTGAAAAGAAAGAATTTTAGGTCAGCTGATTTTGTGATATGTCTTCCTTCTTGCACTTCCGGTTAGAGTCTGGGCAGTCTGGCTGGCGGTAGCGGTTGCGTTCATTAGTGCGCATCCTATCTGTCCAGGTAATAATCCTGGATTTTAAAAGCATTTTAAGAAGCGTAATTTTTGATTTTTCCTTTTTAAATACGTCTACCTGACATACTTTTTTTATTGCCAGACATTTTTCACGTTGCTAACTATGTGCCAGACGCGATTTTAAGTTTTATTTTTATAAAAATTTCAAAGCATTTTAGAATGTCTGTAATTTTAATATTATGTTATTTAAATATAAGAAAAACTGAAAATGAATTTGCCAGACATTAATTCGATTGTTAAGTCTTGAATTAAAATGATAAAGTATTGCAGTATGATGAAGCATTGCATTTTAAGAAGCGTAATTTTTGATTTTTCCTTTTTAAATACGTCTACCTGACATACTTTTTTTATTTCCAGACATTTTGCACGTTGCTAACTATGTGCCAGGCGCGATTTTAAGTTTTATTTTTATAAAAATTTCAAAGCATTTTAGAATGTCTGTAATTTTAATATTATGTTATTTAAATATAAGAAAAACTGAAAATGAATTTGCCAGACATCAATTCGATTGTAAAGCCTTGAATTAAAATGATAAAGTATTGCAGTATGATGAAGCATTGCATTTTAAGAAGCGTAATTTTTGATTTTTCCTTTTTAAATACGTCTACCTGACATACTTTATTTTATTGCCAGACATTTTTCACGTTGCTAACTATGTGCCAGACGCGATTTTAAGTTTTATTTTTATAAAAATTTCAAAGCATTTTAGAATGTCTGTAATTTTAATATTATGTTATTTAAATATAAGAAAAACTGAAAATGAATTTGCCAGACATTAATTCGATTGTTAAGTCTTGAATTAAAATGATAAAGTATTGCAGTATGATGAAGCATTGCATTTTAAGAAGCGTAATTTTTGATTTTTCCTTTTTAAATACGTCTACCTGACATACTTTTTTTATTGCCAGACATTTTTCACGTTGCTAACTATGTGCCAGACGCGATTTTAAGTTTTATTTTTATAAAAATTTCAAAGCATTTTAGAATGTCTGTAATTTTAATATTATGTTATTTAAATATAAGAAAAACTGAAAATGAATTTGCCAGACATTAATTCGATTGTTAAGTCTTGAATTAAAATGATAAAGTATTGCAGTATGATGAAGCATTGCATTTTAAGAAGCGTAATTTTTGATTTTTCCTTTTTAAATACGTCTACCTGACATACTTTTTTATTGCCAGACATTTTTCACGTTGCTAACTATGTGCCAGGCGCGATTTTAAGTTTTATTTTTATAAATATTTCAAAGCATTTTAGAATGTCTGTAATTTTAATATTATGTTATTTAAATATAAGAAAAACTGAAAATGAATTTGCCAGACATTAATTCGATTGTTAAGTCTTGAATTAAAATGATAAAGTATTGCAGTATGATGAAGCATTGCATTTTAAGAAGCGTAATTTTTGATTTTTCCTTTTTAAATACGTCTACCTGACATACTTTTTTTATTGCCAGACATTTTTCACGTTGCTAACTATGTGCCAGACGCGATTTTAAGTTTTATTTTTATAAAAATTTCAAAGCATTTTAGAATGTCTGTAATTTTAATATTATGTTATTTAAATATAAGAAAAACTGAAAATGAATTTGCCAGACATTAATTCGATTGTTAAGTCTTGAATTAAAATGATAAAGTATTGCAGTATGATGAAGCATTGCATTTTAAGAAGCGTAATTTTTGATTTTTCCTTTTTAAATACGTCTACCTGACATACTTTTTTTATTGCCAGACATTTTTCACGTTGCTAACTATGTGCCAGGCGCGATTTTAAGTTTTATTTTTATAAATATTTCAAAGCATTTTAGAATGTCTGTAATTTTAATATTATGTTATTTAAATATAAGAAAAACTGAAAATGAATTTGCCAGACATTAATTCGATTGTTAAGTCTTGAATTAAAATGATAAAGTATTGCAGTATGATGAAGCATTGCATTTTAAGAAGCGTAATTTTTGATTTTTCCTTTTTAAATACGTCTACCTGACATACTTTTTTTATTGCCAGACATTTTTCACGTTGCTAACTATGTGCCAGGCGCGATTTTAAGTTTTATTTTTATAAATATTTCAAAGCATTTTAGAATGTCTGTAATTTTAATATTATGTTATTTAAATATAAGAAAAACTGAAAATGAATTTGCCAGACATTAATTCGATTGTTAAGTCTTGAATTAAAATGATAAAGTATTGCAGTATGATGAAGCATTGCATTTTAAGAAGCGTAATTTTTGATTTTTCCTTTTTAAATACGTCTACCTGACATACTTTTTTTATTGCCAGACATTTTTCACGTTGCTAACTATGTGCCAGACGCGATTTTAAGTTTTATTTTTATAAAAATTTCAAAGCATTTTAGAATGTCTGTAATTTTAATATTATGTTATTTAAATATAAGAAAAACTGAAAATGAATTTGCCAGACATTAATTCGATTGTTAAGTCTTGAATTAAAATGATAAAGTATTGCAGTATGATGAAGCATTGCATTTTAAGAAGCGTAATTTTTGATTTTTCCTTTTTAAATACGTCTACCTGACATACTTTTTTTATTGCCAGACATTTTTCACGTTGCTAACTATGTGCCAGGCGCGATTTTAAGTTTTATTTTTATAAATATTTCAAAGCATTTTAGAATGTCTGTAATTTTAATATTATGTTATTTAAATATAAGAAAAACTGAAAATGAATTTGCCAGACATTAATTCGATTGTTAAGTCTTGAATTAAAATGATAAAGTATTGCAGTATGATGAAGCATTGCATTTTAAGGAGCGTAATTTTTGATTTTTCCTTTTTAAATACGTCTACCTGACATACTTTTTTTATTGCCAGACATTTTTCACGTTGCTAACTATGTGCCAGACGCGATTTTAAGTTTTATTTTTATAAAAATTTCAAAGCATTTTAGAATGTCTGTAATTTTAATATTATGTTATTTAAATATAAGAAAAACTGAAAATGAATTTGCCAGACATTAATTCGATTGTTAAGTCTTGAATTAAAATGATAAAGTATTGCAGTATGATGAAGCATTGCATTTTAAGAAGCGTAATTTTTGATTTTTCCTTTTTAAATACGTCTACCTGACATACTTTTTTTATTGCCAGACATTTTTCACGTTGCTAACTATGTGCCAGGCGCGATTTTAAGTTTTATTTTTATAAAAATTTCAAAGCATTTTAGAATGTCTGTAATTTTAATATTATGTTATTTAAATATAAGAAAAACTGAAAATGAATTTGCCAGACATTAATTCGATTGTTAAGCCTTGAATTAAAATGATAAAGTATTGCAGTATGATGAAGCATTGCATTTTAAGAAGCGTAATTTTTGATTTTTCCTTTTTAAATACGTCTACCTGACATACTTTTTTTATTGCCAGACATTTTTCACGTTGCTAACTATGTGCCAGACGCGATTTTAAGTTTTATTTTTATAAAAATTTCAAAGCATTTTAGAATGTCTGTAATTTTAATATTATGTTATTTAAATATAAGAAAAACTGAAAATGAATTTGCCAGACATTAATTCGATTGTTAAGTCTTGAATTAAAATGATAAAGTATTGCAGTATGATGAAGCATTGCATTTTAAGGAGCGTAATTTTTGATTTTTCCTTTTTAAATACGTCTACCTGACATACTTTTTTTATTGCCAGACATTTTTCACGTTGCTAACTATGTGCCAGACGCGATTTTAAGTTTTATTTTTATAAAAATTTCAAAGCATTTTAGAATGTCTGTAATTTTAATATTATGTTATTTAAATATAAGAAAAACTGAAAATGAATTTGCCAGACATTAATTCGATTGTTAAGCCTTGAATTAAAATGATAAAGTATTGCAGTATGATGAAGCATTGCATTTTAAGAAGCGTAATTTTTGATTTTTCCTTTTTAAATACGTCTACCTGACATACTTTTTTTATTTCCAGACATTTTGCACGTTGCTAACTATGTGCCAGGCGCGATTTTAAGTTTTATTTTTATAAAAATTTCAAAGCATTTTAGAATGTCTGTAATTTTAATATTATGTTATTTAATTATAAGAAACTGAAAATGAATTTGCCAGACATTAATTCGATTGTTAAGCCTTGAATTAAAATGATAAAGTATTGCAGTATGATGAAGCATTGCATTTTAAGAAGCGTAATTTTTGATTTTTCCTTTTTAAATACGTCTACCTGACATACTTTATTTTATTGCCAGACATTTTTCACGTTGCTAACTATGTGCCAGACGCGATTTTAAGTTTTATTTTTATAAAAATTTCAAAGCATTTTAGAATGTCTGTAATTTTAATATTATGTTATTTAAATATAAGAAAAACTGAAAATGAATTTGCCAGACATTAATTCGATTGTTAAGTCTTGAATTAAAATGATAAAGTATTGCAGTATGATGAAGCATTGCATTTTAAGAAGCGTAATTTTTGATTTTTCCTTTTTAAATACGTCTACCTGACATACTTTGACATACTTCATTGATGTTTATGTAACGCTGATGATTTCCAACACCCATATTTATCCAAATTTTCAAAGATTTTTTCAGGTGATCCATATTTCCCAGAAGTATAATTAAAATATCAGAATCAGAACAGCGTATAACAACTTCTGCGTCAAAATCGATTTGGCAAATATGAAAAATTATCCTAGAATCAGCTTCTTCGTGTTCTTCACACGATAATGATTCTTCAATAGTTTTTATTCAAGACTTAACAATCGAATTAATGTCTGGCAAATTCATTTTCAGTTTTTCTTATATTTAAATAACATAATATTAAAATTACAGACATTCTAAAATGCTTTGAAATTTTTATAAAAATAAAACTTAAAATCGCGTCTGGCACATAGTTAGCAACGTGAAAAATGTCTGGCAATAAAATAAAGTATGTCAGGTAGACGTATTTAAAAAGGAAAAATCAAAAATTACGCTTCTTAAAATGCAATGCTTCATCATACTGCAATACTTTATCATTTTAATTCAAGGCTTAACAATCGAATTAATGTCTGGCAAATTCATTTTCAGTTTTTCTTATAATTAAATAACATAATATTAAAATTACAGACATTCTAAAATGCTTTGAAATTTTTATAAAAATAAAACTTAAAATCGCGCCTGGCACATAGTTAGCAACGTGCAAAATGTCTGGAAATAAAAAAAGTATGTCAGGTAGACGTATTTAAAAAGGAAAAATCAAAAATTACGCTTCTTAAAATGCAATGCTTCATCATACTGCAATACTTTATCATTTTAATTCAAGACTTAACAATCGAATTAATGTCTGGCAAATTCATTTTCAGTTTTTCTTATATTTAAATAACATAATATTAAAATTACAGACATTCTAAAATGCTTTGAAATTTTTATAAAAATAAAACTTAAAATCGCGTCTGGCACATAGTTAGCAACGTGAAAAATGTCTGGCAATAAAAAAGTATGTCAGGTAGACGTATTTAAAAAGGAAAAATCAAAAATTACGCTTCTTAAAATGCTTTTAAAATCCAGGATTATTACCTGGACAGATAGGATGCGCACTAATGAACGCAACCGCTACCGCCAGCCAGACTGCCCAGACTCTAACCGGAAGTGCAAGAAGGAAGACATATCACAAAATCAGCTGACCTGGAATTCTTTCTCGAAAACGTTGCTACCTCCCGTACTATAAACTTTGATAAATAAATATGATATATATATTTTGATAATAGAGCAGTGTTGGCCTAGTGGTTTCAGCGGGCGACTCTCATACCTGAGGTCGTAGGTTCGATCCCCGGCTGTGCACCAATGGACTTTCTTTCTATGTGCGCATTTAACATTCGCTCGAACGGTGAAGGAAAACGTCGTGAGGAAACCGACATGTCTTAGACCCAAAAAGTCGACGGCGTGTGTCAGGCACTGGAGGCTGATCACCTACTTGCCTATTAGATTTAAAAATGATCATAAAACAGATTCAGAAATCTGAGGCCAAACCTAAAGAGGTTGTAGCGCTACTGATTTTTTTTTTAAATAAAGTAGATTGTGATATAAATTGTATGAGTGTCAAAAAACATAATACATGTGTTATAAAATGTTTTGGTTAAGAAGGCTTATTCATTGGGAATCAAGAAACATTTAAAAAATATTCTTTTCCCGCTGGAAACCAAGTGTGAAATATAAACATAAATTTATTCTAATTGATAAAATTTAAATGGTACAATTTTACACTAAGTTATCCGTAATCATCCAATTATAAATAGGTGGAGGAAGCAAGCGGGGCCAGATGGGGCGGGGTGGGATTGGTAGCACTCTGTGGAAGGCCCTTTCTTAGACTTCTTGCAGCAGCAAGGCCTTCCCCGGCCGCTAGACGTCTCCATGCCCTCTGCTAGCGTACAAGTATTCATATAGCACATTACACACAACACGCCATACTATTCTACACATACTTAAATGTTGAATTGCTCTACCATAGACAACTATACTAAATTCTTAATGTTCCTTTGATTTTAAAGGAAGATTCAGAGTCGAGATTTATCGTTAAGTATGACTTACGTATGTCAAAAATATATTTGACAAACTGTAATATAGTATTGTCTTTTATTGACATAACCTTTACACATTTAAAGAAAACACTTTTTTACCGGATTGAAGTTATGTATTATTAAATTTAAAATAATTGTAAATTTATAATAATACATAACTTCAATCCGGTAAAAAAGTGTTTTCTTTAAACTGTAAAATCTCCAATTCCTGAAGGTTATCTTCGAAATATCTCCTTGTCCAATCAAACAATTGTCCCACTGACTTTACCCCCATCCACTTTCGAATGTCCCCTTGCCAAGATTTAGCGATAATTCTCGATTCTATAATATATTACCATCGGTAGTTCATTTTTTAACACACTTAAACACACACGATTTACATCTGACATCATTAGAAATCTTTAAAAAAAAATCTAGCCTAATCATTGATTCATACCCATCTATTTATTATTTATCATACACAAACCCACCGTTTAGTTAGTTCTTGGTTCCATTAATTCATTGTTAAATTATCAATCACAAAGTCTTTTAATATTAAATTATAGTCTTTAATATATACCCAACACATTCTACGCAAATTATTCGGCTAATTTGATCAGATGACCGAATTTTAACCATTTTTTTACACTAAAATAAATGAATTTCTAAGAGCCATATTTTTATTCGATGTTCAGCTATGAAAGTAAAAAAATATCATTTTTCGTGTACCATTACGTCGATTCTTAAGGTAAGATTCAGATACTCAATGACTCCCGATATTCAAAATCGGAACGTTTTTTGACGTATGGGAATCACACTTAGCGAAAAATTTCATTTCTAAATATCACCATAATAAAAAGCTTTGATTTTCAATCGTTATGGATTTATGTCTTAGAGTTTATTGCTTATGTCTTCAATATAACAGTTATTTGTAATAGAATCTCTGGTTTGCAAAAAGATTGTAAACCATATTTTGTAACTTTTGTAACATTTTGTAAGTGCTTTGCTTCTTATCATAGAACTCCCGGTATATTCATCTACATAGTATTGTCAACCTAAAACTGTCTCTTTCGTTTCAATAAAAGTATTTGTGAGATATTATACTGTTATTAAGATTTTGAATTGTTTAATGTACGCAATTTAGAACAAGATATAATAAAGAAAATTTGTTAATGCACAATATAATTTCGAGATTTTTCTATAAATTTTTATTGTTTAAATACATAATATTATATTCGTAATATACGTAAATTTCATAATAACGTTTATTCGTGTAGTTAGAGTTATATAAATGTTAAATGTAATAGATTTTTTATCACCACAGGTGATGATTGAATAGTAGGAAATTAGTGTAGATACATTAAATTCGCTCTGCCCCATCGATAATTTGTCAGATATTCCCTCAATACACAACTGTTTAAAAATAGCTTCGGTAATATGCGGGCTCGAAGTTTCTACTAACAGTTAAACTACGAACCTCGACCCGACTCGAAAAACACCGACGTGAAAATAGAATAGAAATATGTAGAGGAGCGAAACAAGAAAACGTTGTACTATGTACGCACTCGATCTCTGCGGGTTTTGTCAAGCATAAAGTCACCCAGTATATTCACCATACGGAAGAAACTAGTAACCCATAACTTTTTGTGTATTGAGAGAAGTCATGAATAAAGTAATTAATTTTTAATAACTAAGGTGTTTGTATATTGGTAGGAGTAGATGCGTGCTATTAGGTAGTTTAAGTGGTATCAGAAATGAATTCGCCCTTAAACACGTTTCCTTATTTCTATTTAGAAGGTTTAATCCGATATTACACGTTTGTATGTTAACACATATATGACATTTTTAAACAATTATTTTCGGTTTTGTTTTCACCAAAAAATAAATAAAATATGAATTCTTATGTAGCGTGCCATCGTTGTACCATCTTTATCATTGATAGGAACTGAAAACAGCATACTTATCTCTTCGTGAAAGAAAGAAGACAGAATCTGAAAGACTGTTAGCAGACTTCCGAGTTTGAAATACTAAATTTTTAATTACTCTACACGTAGCTTACATTTTAGAAATATTTATAGTCTGTGCGGACGCGCTGGTTCCGAATTCAATTACAAAACTTTTTAATATTTTTTTAATGGGGCCATTATTGTCACACCATAGTATACATACATAGCTATGTGAATTATCAAAAAATTGTCTGTGGTCAAAGACAAGTTTCGTATTTTGTTACGTACATTGAGCTTAAAAGGAAATTATTAATTTATATAGATGTGTAACTTATTTAAGGCCTCTTGAATTAACGATAAATATTTATAATCGAAGTTCCGATGAGATTTTTTAATGCAATAAACAAAAAACCATACTAGGTCCACAGGGTGTTTTGAAAATTGCGTTTACTATGATCTATGCAATGTTGTTAAAATAACCAAGATTTTCGTGTTAGCATTTCTGGCAAAGCGGTAATAATCAGTTCGTATTAAAATAATGATACAGTGTATATGTCACCGTAAAATTGTAAATACCGTTAGATTGTAATCTATCTCGCGAGATTGTAAACTGTCGAAAGATTGTGAACTCAACGTACTGCTTACAATTCAACGTATTATTATTCGGTAGATTGTAATCTATCGAAGTGAAACCGTCAAATTTTGAAACGGATCGCACCTCGCGCGCTGATTGGTTGAACGGAATATGCCCCGCGCCACCATATGTTTTTGTTAATTTGTTTGTTGTCGAATGTAAATTGATTGTTTTGATGAGTGTAAATTGATGTCGTGTTGAAAGTAACGCACAGCTTTAGAATTAGTTATATGAAATTGTTGGGAAGTAAAATTAATCTGTGATTGACCTTAGAAGTTTGAATGATAACTAAGTACGTGTTGGTAATGAAATTAAAGAAAATTTCATTACTTTTTCAAGTTTAATTTATGTTTGAGGAGAAGATATTGTTACGTCTCTGATTTTTTTATTTTGATACAATTTTTTTTACCATGTGATGTCAGAATTATTGATTATCTACTAAGTAATGAATAAATACTTGATGTCACAATTCTTGAAGTGCATTCAGTTTATTTGACTGATACCCGTGTTTCATTCCTAACTCTATGGACATAGAACGGTCTACTATAAAGCCAACCAATCAGGGACAGCCTTCGGACAGTTAACAATTTGAAAATTTTAAGATTGTAATTTGACGGTTTCACTCCGATAGATTAGAATCTACCGAATAATAATACGTTAAATTGTAAGCAGTTCGATGAAGTTTACAATCTTTCGACAGTTTACAATTTCGCGAGATAGATTACAATCTAACGGTGTTTACAATTTTACGGTGACATATACAAGAAATATAAATTATAATCCGGTACGAGTATATCCCGTAATTCAAAATGTATCCCAATATATCTCGTCTGTTTTGATTTTTGAAAAAATGATCATTTTTGTTGTTTTCATGCTGCGTTCATAAGCTTTTTATGATATTAATTCTACATATTATAGTTTTGGCGCGTTTTTTCTATTTTATGTCTACTAAATAGACATAGCAAATTTGTTTAACGGAACTCACATTTTTACGCATTTCTCAGATTATTTAATCGTTTTTTAAACGCTGCGTAGTTTAAAAATAGTGATTATACAATTTTCGTCCTTGTACTGTGTATGAAGTATCCTGACCCTTTGTTAATTTTGTAGAATATCATTATTAATGTTAAACGTTGTATTTGAATATATATGTACATATTTTTTAAATTGTTGTAAATAAATAGTCTATTAAAAATTTTATATTATTAAGCTTTATTTTGTCAGTGTGTATTTTCGTTCGGTCTGGATTGATATTTTATTTTATGGTGCGATGTTTTTTCTGTCGTCAGTAATAATAAGACCAAAGAATAAATAGTGTATGGAGAATAATATTACCTACATTATGTGCCAATGTATTTTTTTCTACGAAATTGATTCATCTTTTTATCAAATATATAGATTATATGTATGGTTCTATCATTTACATAAAAGCACATGTATAACATAGTATTTACTTTTCTATTAAAAATTAATGTTAGATATGTGGGGAAATATCTCAGCAATAGGGTTATGATGTAAGTAACTTAGTTTTAATCAAAATAATCTTCGTACGTAGTATCGATTTATTGTATGTAACGCCATCCTAGCGTAATTTGACATTCTCACATAATATATAGAATTGCATTCTATGTATATGTAGCTGGTGAGACATGTTTTTATATATTTATGTAATTGAATAAAGCATACCTACACCTAAAACGCCGTGCAACGTTTTAATCGGGGTGTTTTTGCTAAATTATTAAGTGCATTGTTTTTCATCTGCATATAACATTAAAGCAATAATAAGCATACTTATGCTAACATTGTACCTGAATGTGCCTATACGATGTGATTACCTTATACGTATTGAAGAATATGGTCGAACGTTGCTTTTGTTTTGCATATTTTTAAACAAATAACGCTGACTGATTTAACTGTAGATTATTTTTACATCAAGGCAAATGTATGGACATTTAAATCCAATAACCTATCAAAACTACATGAAAAAACTTTGAAAGCATTTATTTTGTACTGTCTTACTGTTTTGATTGAAGTACCAAGTCTTAAATACAGATTTTGTTGGACTGAGGGTTTAACGATAATCTGAAATGACAAGTTAACAGATTTCTGATTACGCTGCAACTGTACGCCTTCTCAATACTCCTACGTAGTCCTAGATCTACTTAAATACTATAGAACACTATTGATAAGTGTCGATATTTAGTATTAACTTATGCAATCTTCTGTATGTAAAATTAATATCCTAATAAATTTTGTACTATTTAGTTACAATTATAAATTTGTTTTTGTATGGTGTATTAAGCAAATAAATATTATGTTCAATAGTCAATGTATTTTTATTGCGTTTAGATTTAGATTTGAGATCGATTCCCGAATACTTCAGTTGACGTATTTTTTTTTTCAAAAATTGCCTAGATTAGCGATTTTTTTGTACTACTTCGCAACTAACATTCGTTAATTTTTGCTTTTACTGTTAATGCTGTAATGAAAAGAGGTAAGACAGGATTTCCTCCAGATGTACTATTTTACTTAGAACAAAGTTTTACTATGATAAAATGGTATTTTAGTTATAAAAAATAATCACAATGACAGTATTATTTGATTTATTTACCTTTGCTAGTTATACATTGGTAAAAACATTAATGCTATGAAACAATTTGACTTAGCATTTGGTTTTAAAACAATAAATTCACGCACAGGGTACTCGGAGACTACCACACTTTGAAAATACAAAGCTCAATACAAAGTGCAGTTACAGCTGTATAACTGCATTATTTGCATTGTTATAAATTTAAATTGCAAATAGATATGCAAGCCTTATATTGAATCAATATTACTATTTACCTTATGTGCCTAAGGAATAAAAATTTCCTAAAATATTTTACACTTGAAAATAATATGACATTTTAATATTTAATAACCCTCCATTGTTTTGTTATCCAAGTTTATGACTATCTTAAAATATGTGTGAAACATTGAGAATTTAGGAAGGATGCAGTTCATAAATACGAGCATTTTAAAAGAATCACCATTTGGTTACAACTCTTAATATACAAAAGCAAGTTTGACTTTCAAAGGCCACAGTAACAATAATTTGTGTAATGTAAGATTCAATAGGTATGATACCCTCTAAAATGATTGCAGTTGCTTAAGTGTTCTTACAAATAAACGACCCAATCTACATTAATAAATTAATGATTTATTTTTCTCATTAAATGCATTATGGAAGTAAGATGCTGGAATTAAAAATAAATGACAAAGATTAAACTTAGGCTTAATAGAATAAGATCAAAAATTATGCAATTATTTAAGAAATACATCTGAGGTTATAAGATATAGTAAGACTATATAGTAGATTGGGCAACATAATGAGGGAATCTTTAAAAAGTGCTGCCCTCTGGTGGCTGTGAAAGCTTCATGTTTTCCTTAAGAGTCATGAGACGTCTCAGTTCTTGGAGCACTGTCTTGATAGTATAATCACGCTGCCATCTTGCAAGGATTGGAACTTGCCTATTATCCACCTGATACAAGAAAAATTGTTAAAAATATAATATATTTATCTCATATTTGTTAAAAAAAACCACTTACAAGTCCAGTCTGACTGTTGACACAATTCATGTTGATCCTAGAAATAAAACGAGCCGTAGGTGGCTCATCAGGATATCTAGTTCCACATTCAACCTTTAAGGAATACATTCTGTTCTCATAGGGGGTCTGAAATTAATAAAATAAACAATAAGATGTGTCTATAGTTAAGTTAACTAGCAAAAAGCAATAAAGTGTGGTCCTAAAATTATATATTGCTTTTACCCTGGGTGGCCCAATTATCATGCCAGTCCAATGAGTCAAGGTCATATCGTCATCGCTCTCCAGACCCCAAGATATTGTGCCATCGCCCACTCCCTTCTGACCTTGCTCAAGTTCTTCTAGAAGACGGAAATTTCTCGGCACAACTAGGAAACAAAAAAAGTCGAAAATAATTAATAACGCAATATCGGAACAACAAGCTTTATCAATAGAAGCCTCTTTAACCTAGTCATTAAGGTGAATACAATGTTTAAAACTCACCAACGCCTGATGACGGATTCGCCATGATCAGTTTAACACCGGCGCTCACTAACTACTGTAAAGTAATTAACTGAACTATTAATTATTTACACAATAATATATTTTTCATTAGAAAATTAGTTTTGCATAATTTATACCAAAAAAGCCGAGAATAATTTCATTTAACGGGCTGCTCGATGTCGATGAGGGTTAGCGATTTTTATTTTTTATAAATTGACTTTGACTTACTACAAATGTCAATAAAATTTTGTGAATTAATATCAACAGACGATTGAATACTTTGTTTACGTTGTAATCACAGATATCCAATATGTAACTATTAAAGAAGACAATTAAAATATATTACTTTAATTATCTTTATAGCAGACAAAACTTAGAAGAAATAAGTCCATAATAACAAATATAGTTTTTTTTCGGGTCAAGTGACACAAAACGGTTATTCTACTCGATGTTAAAAACTTGACGATAAAGCTTAGTCTTATGATAATAGAATTCTAATACAATCTATTGTATTTGTATAATTTCTCTTTTATAGAGCTCGAACGAATCGATTTTTCAAATAGTTTGTATAGCTTACTTAATGTATTCTACTCAATTAATGCATATTCTTCCTAATTTCTTTAATTGAAAATTTATGCTTATACTTATTAAAATTGTGATCCGCAGAAGTCCTACAGCTATACTCAGAAATTTAGTTAATTTTGACGAGTTTGCGTGTCTAGTGCTCAAGGTCTTTTTGCAATTTTAGTAATATTAGGCATTAAATGTTAAAATAAGGGATCAATCCAAATTTTTACAAAAATAAATATGTTGCTTGTAAATGAATAATACATGATTTTAATAATATGTAAGTTTTTATTACACATTATTTTGAATTGAATTTTATACAATGCGAGCGAAGTCGTAGCGAACTGCTAGTAGTAAACATAATATTAATAGTATTTATTCAAACTTGAACTAAATTTAAAGTCTGTGGGTATAACCCTTACTGTATTCTGTGAAGCGGTGCGTTTTTCCTTTTCCGTGTTGAATGTGATTGTGATTTCTTGAATCGTGATATGATTTGTGAAATGACTATTTTAGAACAACTCACATGCGTGTTGAAATAGTTTTTCAGTTTTAATGTATTCGAGACAAAATTATTGGACTAGTAAGAATAGCAGAAGCTATGTGTCAAATCGAAATTTGATTGTAATTTAAAGGTAAAGTGAATTTTGGAGGTAAAATGCCCGCTTCCATTTGTGACCCTGTATCAAACGCATTGCGTTTGTCTCTTACGGCTGATGAATCACAAACTTCAACATTATTGGATAGCAGATTATATTCATCAGCCAAAAATGTGCTTCTGTCGAAGATAGAATTTGAAGAATCTGGTGATTATCAAAGCAACGTTCTTGATGGACTTAAATCAAAATACGTGGTTATTCGACCTAAAAAACCTGTCTTGGAGTCAAAAATCTTTAAAAAGGATGTCACTACAAGCGGACAGAGTAATGGTAAGCAATTTAATTGTCACATTGATAGCTATATAATTATACATTCAATATTAATCTCTGATAACGAATCATTAGAGGTTATCTTTTCTACCTTTTGTCAATATTTACACGTACATTATGAGCATGGATACAGAATGGTGCTCATATTAGTAAAATTTGCTGCAAATTTAATTTTAAGTGGAAATGCATTAAATGTATTGTAAACAGGCAATGTTGGTAACTATAAAGTGTAATTTATAGATCACACGAAAAATGGAGATGATGGGCTACCAAGACCCAAGAAGATTTTGTTTCCTGTGGAAAAAGTGCAATTAGGCTGGCAAGGACCTTGGTCTGCAGGGTCAGGAATGCAAAATGTTGGCAACACATGTTACCTTAACTCTACCCTTCAAGCACTCTTTCATGTACCTGCTTTTGCCAACTGGCTAGTATCAGAATTATCTCATTCTGAAAAATGTAATCAACAAGGTATGTGAATTTGTTTTATCATGTCCTTATTTACTCATTTGAGATACTTGGTGTGTTATGGAGTTGAATCAAAAATATTAGTAGTGTAAGAAAACTTTCATGAAGCATCTGACTTAAAATTACCACTCTTTACAATTGTTTATTAAATCCTTTATAGAGGCATGTGTCATATGTGGCATGAGAGCAACATTGATGGCAACTCAAAAGAACGGTGGCTCTCCAATTAAACCATGGCAAGTCTACTCGAAGTTGAGACTCATTTGTAGACACCTAACACCAGGACGGCAAGAAGATGCCCATGAGTTTTTAAGGTAATTCACAAATACTTTTAATAATTCTAAAGTCTAAACAAGTGATCCATAGGAAAAATAGTTTGCAAGTCATCATTGTAGTCATAGGATTTTTTATATTAGAAATACTTTTTTTTAATTAGGATTTACTATCATGTAAATTAACTGAAATGTACTTTGAATATATAAGCAAAAATTCTAAAATGTGTTTCTCTACTTGTAGATACCTTGTTGAAGCAATGGAAAAGTGTTATATATCCAATTTTATAAATTCAGACAAGTTGGATCAATATAGTAAAGAGACTACTCCATTAAATCAAATCCTCGGAGGGTATTTGAGATCAACTGTACGTTGTCTTGCTTGCCACCACTTATCTACTACATACCAGCATTTTCAGGTGACTATTATTATATATATGGCGGTATGTGTCATCTAGTAATTCAGTCTCTATAGCCAGCTTGTAGATATCTAATTATCAGCAATTTTTGAGGTTTATTTAGGGTAACATAAAATCTTTCATCTGGAAAAACTTCATTCAAAGGAAACAGAATGTGTTTGTTATAAAATATGCATGGTCTATGATTAATTCAATAGGTAATTGTATATTATATACTTAGGGTCTGTTTCATAATGTATGGATAAAGTACCAAATAGCTATGCAACACATAAATTATTTAGAAGATAAATTGTGCTATTTGATACTTCATCGAACTCATAACTTATGATGGACTTTATGTGATGAATAGAGCTATCTGACAGTCGTGAAACACAACAATAGTGTTTACCCTACCAATAAGTAATAAATAGCTAATTTGGAACTTATGTAGAACTTGTCCGTACATTGTGAAACAGACCCTTATTATGTCAGTTGTATAGATGTCTTATTCTTCAAAATTAACAAATTAAACTGTCTGTCAAAATGATATTTTTTCCTGTTTAAGTATTTAACTCCTTTATAATTCTAAGGCAGAAAACTCAGAATCAAGAAAATAAAGAACATATTCTTGTTTCTTCAGGATCTTCTAGTGGATATCAGGAAACATTCAACATTAGATGAAGCATTGGATTCATTCTTCTCAAGAGAAAGATTGGAAGATCTGGGTTATAAATGTGAAGCATGTAATAAAAAGGTAATTATTATTTGTTTTATTCTGAATTATTAATAAATTTTAATGTCATAAAATAAGAAAAAAATATATTGAATTGTAGAAAAGTAAACTGGTCACTATGACTTTTCATATTCAAATAAGGTTTTTCTATTTTAAATGAACTAGTATATTAAGTGTGAAACCCTTGCAAACATACAGTGTAGATCAGAGTTCCCCAAACTTTTTTGTGTTGTAGACCCCTTGCCATGTTTTTCCGTGTTGGGTAGACCCCCTACTTACCTGATATTAATTTTCATGTAAATTTCTAACTGTAGTGAAGTTTAGTGTTAAAAACTTAAAGTAAAAACACATGTTAATTTATACATTTATTAATTGAATTTAAAATAAATTAAAACTACTCAAACTAAAATTTTGTATCTGTTTGTTTGTAATGTATATGTTTTGATATTATAAGATAGTATGATGTAAGTAAATAGGTACTATCAGTGTATGTGTTGAGATCCACTATTGTGGACCCTCATTTTCATTTCATGGACCCCCAAATTTTTTTTCGCTGACGTAGACCCCTTGCAGGTTGTCATATGATATAGACCACTTTGGGAATCACTGGTGTAGATTTACAATATTGGTTTTGAGATAGTTAAATCTTGCAGGTATCAGCAACAAAACAATTCTTTGTTGAAAGAGCTCCAATGGTTCTATGTATTGCATTGAAACGGTTCTCACTCGCTGGAGGGAAGTTATCTAAACATGTCCAATTTAGAAAGAAAATTACACTTTCCAAGTATATGTTTAACAAAAACACACAACAACCATTGGTGAGTCTATTTATATTGCTTTTTCTTATTTTGCTCAGATTACAATGCAATTTACATTTTGTTATTGGTTTTTCTTTGTTAAAATATTATTTTGGTGGTTTCATTTGGTTTTAACAAAACACAGTTCTTTAATGAGTATGGATAGATAGTTGTTCCCATAGTAATTATAGTTGTATTATATAAGAAAAAAATATATTGTCCTCCTATTCTCAATGATTATTGAAAGTTGGAACTCTCGAAGAATTTCTTATAATGTCCATTAATAAGTACTAAATTTTTGTCCAATTTCACATTAAAATTGGAGTCTTAAGGAACAATAACTTTTTTACAGTCATACAAGTTGGTAAGTCTCGTCACACATTTGGGACCATCCCAAAATTGCGGCCATTACACAGCCATCGGGCAAGCTCCAAACAGTAATTACTATCAATTTGATGACAGTTGTGTTCGGTCCCTGCCATTATCTGCAGTGCTCGGCACTAATGCCTATATTATGTTCTTTGAAAAAGACAACTCAATAGAAGACTTTAACGGACCTTCAACATCAACCAATTCCTTTTACGGAAGCCAAGCTTCGGATAATATTCTGAATAGAGAAAAAAGTCCACTTAAATTGACCTTTTATAATAGAAATGATGAACGAAAACTAATACCTACAAACAGTACAAACAATAATTCGAAACCTGATGTCAAACCTATAATATTAAATTCAACACTTAGTCAAGCGACAGATGCCAGCAGCTCAAACTCTGAGCCGTGGGTTGTCAAACAAAACGGTGAAGTGGAAAAAGTGACTGCGCCTAAAATTCTCAATGGAATTGAAAAAACAAATTTCAAAGTTGACGATAAAAAAATCAGTTTCATTTTAAAGAAGCCAGAAGATGTTCCTAAGTCTAAACTTGTCAAGACTGAGCCAGAGAGTGCATTTATCGGTCCGAAGCTGCCGGAGAAAGTTTTAAATAAATTTGTAAGGCAAAAGTCACCGTTAGAGAAGTTAGAAGAGCAGATGAATAAAGGCAGCACATCCGGTTATGTACAGAGGAATGGCACCGGGTCAAAGTTAGTGCCGTACGATTCAGAATCCAGTAGTGATGAAAGGAGTGAGAAGTTGACTGATGAGAAGAAAAAAGATGAAAGAAAACCTAAGCCTAGTAGATGTCAGTCACCGCAGCACGTCATAGTGACCACAAAAGGCATGCATCACGCTTGGACGGTGTCAAATGAAAATAGTGCACCCTTACTCAGTCCCAGCCTCAACGGAGACACAAACAAAAAGTGAGTGATCCTTTATATTTATATAATTTTGATCTTTTTTCTATTAAGCTTTTATTATATTTTCGTCTATGAAACCTGAAGGTTATCCTCAGAGGTAAAGAAAATATCTAATTAAATAATTTATGAGACAAAGAATTATATGTATAATTGGCTGGAATATAGTAAGTATTTTTATCCATGATCCAAAATGTGTGGGTGATTTGGAGACAAGCTTAAGTATGACTCCGGTATGTCTCAAACGTATTCGATTTTGACGTAAGGCATAGTTCGAGTTAAATAGCTTGGCCTAAGTCTCTGAATCTTAGCTTTACAGAACAAAAAAAAAATATTAAGTTGAAAAAGGCACGAATAAAAAGTTTCTTTCCTATTCTTTTAACCAGCTCTCGACATGTAAAAAAGCTTTGAAGTATTTCCGTAGAAAATGTAGTTTAATATTAACGTAAAAAAATTGTTAGGCTTAAAGACAAAGAAGACCGAGTGGGTGAAACACAAGAGAGTCCTAACACCAGTGTTAGCAGTATGTCTCCTCTCAGCGAGCGAGAGCCTTCGCCCCCGCGAGCTGCCCCGGCGCCCGCTGCGCCTCAGCACTCGGGCTCTGCCCTCGAGACGGCCAGGCATTTGCAGGGCCTTTCCCACAGGGGCTATGGGGCACCCGTTTCTTCCTGGAATGGCACTCATAGTCATTTATCGAGACAGGTATGTTTTTGTGCAAATCAAAAAAAAATTAATCACTTAAAAAGCTATATTTTTCAAGTTTTAATTTAAGATTAAATTTAATTTTGTCTTACATTTCATTTGAGTATAAGACAGCTCATCAGTACAAATATGTATAAGAACACATACTTGGGTGTATTCGATTTTGTGTCTGTATTTTTAATATAGATATTGGGTGAAACAGTAAACACAGCTGATAAAAAAATCGGTCAAGGGTCCTTATCTATTTTATATTTGCCATAATTATGAATATTTTTTTAAAATAAAACTTTAATCTAAACAATAAATCTATATCGATTCATAATATCTGTCAACATGATGTGACAGTCTCGATGACCACAACTGATAAAAAGCACTCGTAACGTCGCGATATATTAATCATGGGGAATCGGGTTCCACCTTCCAGTGTCTATCCTGGGAGATATGACCTCCTTATTAAAAAAAAGAGAATATTCCTCCCTAAAAGTCTCTAATATTGGTGTAATAGGTAGCTGCCTTCTTTAGCTGTTTCTTAAGCTCGTTTGCTTTGTAAGGCTTCCTAATATTAAAACAAATTAAGAATTACTTAAAATGGTTTTACTCGCGTAAAGACAAATTTAGCAGGAATCATTACTTAGTGTAAATATTATTTACAGGTATTCGAAGAAAGGCGTGATGAAAGAAAGCGGGCTCTCAACGCCTCGGACGAAATGGATTGCGGTCGTTCCAAAAAAGTGAAAAAGTTCCATCATTACAACCGATTCCATAACCGGCACGATTATAATCCATTCCAGGTAAGTTATCGGTATTTCGGTTATAAATCGGTAATACGTTAGTAAACTGACTTTAAAAAACTAAGATTTTAAATTTTGCTATCCCGTAACTGTCAAATAATTTTAATGAACCTTAACGAAAGTCCCAGTTTTTGTTGTTGTCTTATAGATCAAAGTCATGCCGAAATGGGAGAAAGTAGTGGTTAACTCCAGAAAATCAATATTTTTTAAATTATTAGAGTAGGTGATCAGCCTCCGGTGCCTGACACACGCCGTCGACTTTTTGGGTCTAAGACATGTCGGTTTCCTCACGATGTTTTCGTTTCGATGTGTCCGTTCGAGCAAATGTTAAATGCGCACATAGAAAGAAAGTCCATTGGTGCACAGCCGGGGATCGAACCTACGACCTCAGGTATGAGAGTCGCTCGCTGAAGCCACTAGGCCAACACTGCTCTGCTTTTTAGTTTTAAGTATTATTTTTTTTGTATTATTTTAGATTAATGGTGGTTATACATACTATAATTTTTTTTATAAGATTTGGTTATGCACCTTGCCCATCATATTTCATTTTTCATTACTAGGGTTGCCTGGAAAAGATCGCTTGTTAGCGATAAGGCCGTCCGTTGCATCCCTTATATTTTTATACATTATGTTATTTGTTTTTCTATAAATGTAACGAAGTGTGTAAATGTGTGCATATTTAAAAAATCATGAATTTTATGCACCCTGTGATGTTGTTTCTATTATTAAACTAAATAATAATAATAAAATAAGAAATATGAATAGTTTCTGATATATTATTTATTGACACAATCACGTGGTAATGTAAATAGACGACTGCAACTGTAAGAATGGAGCAGCGACAGTGGATTAATACTGAAAAGATTCCTAAATGTATTTAAGCAAAGGAAAGGGTAACCCGTCAATATAAGGGGTTTACGCTCCACCGTTTTGATCTAGATATTTATTCAGACCATTATTATAGGAAAGCCATTCGCACTTTAAGGGCTTATGCCCACCAGACGGTTTTAACACGGATTTTTTGCCGGTGCCGGGTTGAAACCGTCCGAGCTTGCACACAAGACGGTTTGTACACGACCCGGCGAAAAACCGTCTCGTGGGCGTGAGCCGTAACTCTTTAATTTATGCTTGTATTTTTTCGTAATACATATTTTTGTAATTTTTTCATTTTAATAAATTCCATAGAATAAGCATTATGATGGTGAATGCCGTTCACACGTCTTATTATCGAGGCCACTCGTTCTAGTTTGCGTAACTTGTTTTTTATATTATGTGCGGCCTTGTTGATACAAATAAACAAACAAGGTTTCTAAAGCTATGTTAATTTATTTATTTATACGTTCTAAAACAACGTGTATGCCTAAAAAAATACAAGAAAATATGACATCACAAAATTATACACATCAATAATTAGAACATAAGTTATCTATCAAAGGAAAAAATTAAAACAAACAAACACAAGAATAAAAACTATAAAGATTATGTTGAATGAATTGAAAATGAAATGAAGAATAAAGATTGGCCATGTCGTTCTCCTTTCTTATTTTTTTTTATAAAACAATTTATTTATTTATACTTTATTACCTTAATCAAAAACGTAAACATAACAAAAATAAAATAAAAACAAACATAATAACAATGAAGTTTTATCAGTGCCGGATTAGCCACATAGCAAGAGTAGCAAATGCTACGGGCCCCGCGAACTTATGGGCCCCGCTCTCCAACGCCTGTCTGACCGTAATAAAAAAAATATTAATTTAGATAGTAGCGTAAAATATCTTGCATACCTTTAACGCGCAGCACTTTGTCTATGCTTCACTTCCCAATAAAAATAAACTCGACTTCGTCAAGTTTAATCGTAATAATAAGTACGTATTAACTTTAACGTTAATTTTCAAATTTTAATTATAATCGATATACATAATTAGACTAGCAAGTTATTTGTACCCTTCAGATTTTTATTTTTATATAGGTATACATTTATTTTGCAAGTTTACGTAGCCGAGATTGTATTTTTCTAATCGATTTTAATATAATATCGATTATAAGTATTTCGAGGAAACAGGCGAACTATTTAAATCCTAAAGCCTAACCAAGGGCCCCTAGGCAGAATTTGCTACAGGCCCCGCGCTGGCTTTATCCGGTACTGGGTTTTATACTAATCTAAATATTCCCTTTATATTTATTGAGGATAATGAATGTTTTCTTAGCTATTTCATCCATATATGATATCTAGATACTACGTGGTAAGTTTCTTTACTTCCAGGATAAACAAAACAAGATGCAGTGGGGCCACAATTTCAAATACCGCAGTGAGCGACGGCCCGGACAACACTACAACAAACATCATAACAAGTATAAGAGATTCAATAGGTGGGTACCCTCTTTTTATATTTTTTCAACAAAGTTTTGTACGTAAATGTTAGTATTATGAACGTAATTTTTTTATCTAAATACTACTAGTACTATTTCTCAAATCAATACCGTTGTAGGGTGTAATCTATTTAGAATGGATGCGCTATTATATACGGCTCAAAACAATTAGCGGACCAAGATTTTTCTCCTTTCTATTGCTTAAACTAAAATTAGATTTAAATTAACTTGTACGCTATTTTTTACCTTGTTAATTTGTTAATTACTACAATTAATAAAAAAATTCAATTTGTATTTTTTTTATTAAAAAAATATTAAAATGTGCATTGTAGACGAAAAACTAATTGGCGATAAAAAAGGTCCATCAAAGAAATATTCTTATATCGTTTGAATATTCGTCTTTAGTGACTTTCAGTAACGTGTGTGGCCTCCATGAGCCCTAATCACGGCTTGACAACGACGCGGCATGCTTCGTATGATCCTCCGAATATCTTCTTGTGGAATTCGCTCCCATTCTTCAATCAACGCTTCAGTGAGCTGCTGCAGTGTTTGAGGTGCAATCGGACGCTTCCGGATGCGCCTGTCAAGCAAGTCCCAAATGTGTTCAATTGGATTTAGGTCAGGGCTCACTCCATTACACGGATTTCCTGCTGCCGTAAGTAATCTGACGTGATGGCTGCAGTATGCGGCCTGGCATTATCTTGCATTAAAAGAAAATCTGGGCCCATACCATATGCTGCGGGCCAAACATGATCTTCGAGCACATTTTCAATGTAAGTTTGAGCACACAAGCGCCCGGGAACAACGACGAGATCTGTGCGCTCGTCCAAACTAACTCCGCCCCAAACCATCTCAGAGCCACATCCAAATTTGTCATATTCGTGGACTTCTGCTGCACCGTATCGCTCGCCTGGGCGTCTGTAAACACGTAGACGACCATCGCAACGTGTTAGACGGAATCGTGATTCGTCAGTAAAAAGCACTGGCCTCCAATGTCGAAGTTGCCAATTAGCGTTATTTTGCGCGAACTGTCGGCGAGCTTGTCTATGTTGAATTGTTAGACGCACAGCCCGAACTGGTCGGCGTGATCTCAAATTGGCTTCCAACAACCTATTTCTTACCGTCTGGTCGGAAATTTCTACACCAGTAGCGTCCTTAGTGTATTTTGTAGATCTCTTGCAGTTGTGGTGCGGTTACGTAAAGCACAGTTGACGATGTAGCTATCTTGCAAACGTGTAGTTTTTCTCTTTCGACCTTGACCACGCCTACGTGAGTATTCTCCCGTCTCACGGTATCGCTTCCAAAGTCTGTAGATAACAGAAGGGGCTACTCCTAGATCATTTCCTACATAACGCATAGTTCGACCCTCTTCAAGCAAAGCGATAGCTCGGGAGACATGCAATTCAGTCAGATCTGGCATTATGACCTAAACTCACTCGCTTCAATGAAAAACAATACTCAAAAGGCTCACTTCAATTTCTATTAATACTCAAAAGATTGAAAAAAACTACTCAAAATGTTTTTTCTGTGATTAAAAAGTAATGAAAATTCAAAGACGTCACTTTGTTTTTAGGTGTTTCTAGACACACTGCCACTTTATTATAGGACTACTAACCAAAACGCCGATGCTCTTTTGTTTTTTATTTTCTTCGACAATGCCTTAACATTATCTAGTGGCCAGTAATAATTAAAACCTTAAGTAAAAAGTTTAGTTCTACTTTAAAGTTTTGTTCCCGTAATTGTTTTGAGCAGTATATATAATCATCAAGTTCTTTGCAAGGATTATTAATAAACTAAGAGTATATTAAGGAGTTCAACCTCGCTGCCACAAATTCCTTTACTTAGAACTTAAAACGAAACGAAAACTTTAAACAAACACAGAGAAAAAACATTTTTTTTGCCATATACATGTAATATCTTAAATTTATGGAATCAAGGAAACACCCCAGATTGTCCAAAAAATATAATTTAAGGGTACCCTTGCAACTTTCAGGTGTTATTTTGAGATTTATGGGTAAACAAATAACATTTAATTTTGATTTTATTAATAAAAACTTGGTTGCGAAAGAAATAACACTGAACAGACTGTTTCCGCTTCACTGATATTTTTTAAAGGATGTACATAGTGCCATAATTATGGGTTGCCTGAAAGTTCTTTGTGACTGTTAGTTGGAAAAGGATTTTCCCCGTCCCTCGTCTCGTTAATCCTGATAAAGGTTTATTTTTTTTCGGTATTTTGTCTGTTTGTATTACTTATTTAAATACATACTTTAATTTTTTCTTTACTTGCTGTTATAAAGTAGTCGTTTTTTTTTAATATTATGGAAATAGTTTTAACTTTATGCCAGTTTCAAGTAAAAAGTAGTCGTTTATAAAGCTCCAAAACAAGTTGCCTGGAAGAGACCTTACCTATAAACCTACCATTCATACAATGAAATTGTTTTTTCAGTAGTCTTCGAAACTGTTTTATAGTAATTCGAAAAGTAAATATACGATGCAAAAATTACGCAATTTAAACATTAATAAATAAAAATAATTAATAATGCTTCTATTTATAAATTTTCTGGGTATAAGAGCTTCCAAGGAATTCCAGAACTTTTGCTGTATCCGGCGGTCTTTCTTATATTATTACCGAGATGCGAAATACATGTTGAAATATTGTTTATTTTCAGATTCAGCAATGGCGCCCATTACAGACGCCATTGACCCTGGTCGGTCAACAGTTTGACACTGTACATAGTTGAATGGACTTTATGAGTAAGTTAATTAAGTGCGAACTTACCGCTTGACATAGTGAAATTTAGTGACGTCATAACTGCCTTGCGCAGCCTTATTTTTTGTAAAATACGCCGGAAAAGGTCTCATAAACGTACTTTACGCCTCAATGTTTTGTCATGTCCTCATATTTGAGGATGATAAAGACAAAATATTCGGTTTGAGGCCCAAAGTACGTTTATACGCCTTATTGTGATTAAATACGCCTCATTAGTTAGTGGTTAATGGTACATCGTCAAAAGATGCTCATTTGTTGTCTTTGTGAGAGAGACAGCTATATTTTTAAGTGTTCGCTTGAGTTCAATAGACAATTGATAATGGTTAGTGTTGAAAGATATAGTCTCTTTCCAGCATTACTTGAGAGAAAGAGATGGATTGTAATCCTTGGTCTATCTTGCCTTTACTATAAACGAGACAAAAATAAAATTGCATGCAAACTATTGTGATTAAAAGAAAAATAGTATTTAATAACGCTTTAAATAATAAAATGCATATATAATGATCATGTAATGTATTCTTTGATTTTTTTTCTTTTAAAGAGAACTGATATAAACGCGTTTATTACATTTACACTCGAAACCTCTAGTTACGTAATAAATAGCCGTAAAATCTTATTTAAATGTATAGCTAACATTTTGTTTCGTTTGTTTGAACGTGAAGACCATTTCATTTTAAAAAAATATTCCTTAACAGATAGTATTAAAGGCGCTATTACTAGCATTCAGCAGTATATTGCTGCTTCGAAACACAAGTCAATATTATTATGAGTAAATTAACCGCCACGTGATCTTCTGTTTCTTTGCTTAGTGATAGACAGACAGATTGACAGACATAATTTTTACTATTATGATGAATATTTTATTCTACTTGTTTAACAAGTGTTAAGTAATGTTTTTAAATCTTCAGAATTTGAGGGAACTCTACCGTCATACGATCGGATGGTATTTGAAAATATTTTTTCCGATAAATTCAGTTGGAATATATAACTGTCATTAAGTAAATGAAGTAATGGATTAGTTGTGTTTTTAAGTTTAAGTTAGGTAAAATAAGTTCTGTCTTAGTTTTGTATAGAAGTAGGTTAACTAATATTTTTTGTAAATAGTTTTCAAGTATTTCCTTTTACTTGGATTTTGTAAATAAACAATCCGCCAAACTTCGTTATCGCTGTGAATAGTAATGCTAATAGTTGATACTCATTGTTTTAATAAAAATTAGTATCAACTATTAGTTAGTTACTTAAATAACTCTATAAATTTGATCTAATAAAAACAATATCGAAATGGTCCAATCTTGATCAACTTGGCAATAATAATAAATATATCTACGCAACATTCTAATTAGCGAATTTACTACCTTTATTATTAGAATAAAAAATTTATAAAAAATACAGTAATGTAAAAATACACTAAATATGTTGTTTTTTTTATTTTACTTCACACCAGTTATGAAGTTTGGCGAAGCGCCTAATAACAGTTGTCATTTTTTTAAATTCAGAATTGTCTATTCTAATCAATTCTTTATTCAAATAAAGAGTTAACAATAAAATGACAATTTGCTATTAGTTTAGATTTGTTTTATTTATAATCCATGTAAATGTCTTGTCGGAGCATTTTTAATTTCTGCATTTTAATTTAAGAAGACTTAAAACTGTTTTAAGAAGAAGCATATACCTTGTTGCGGCTTTCAATTGTAAGAGTTATACCCAGTGCTATGTTGGAAAAGAAATTATTCTCTTTACACTAAAGGGTTTAGTTTTCGTTATCAATAGAATGACTATTTTTTGTAAGTGTGGATTGAATTGTATAAGTATTACAGTATCATGGGTTATAAAATTTATAATAGTTTAATTTTTGACTTTTAAGTATGGATGTATGTATGTCCATTAAAATGCATAAAGCAATCTTACTACCTAATTTGAAGTTTTATTGATGATGATCCAGCAGGCAAGTTGACCAGTTTATTGTGGTGGGGAAGAATAGTCTTGTAAGAAGTATAAATTTTGGACTTGGAATCGTGGATAATGGCCACTATACAATAAAAAAAACTTGTCAGAATCATTTTTTTTTATTCAAGTGTTATATGAGTAATGTTTAATAAATTGTGCATGATGCTATTGTTTATGCACATAGAGTTTATTAAAATGACCTAAGATCAGTGCTAAGCATGGAGGAGTCAATAGGATCATGAAATAAAAAAGTTCATTCTCAAATTACAATTTTTATTTTATGCGCAAATAAACTTGGTCATCACAGAACGCACTAAAATGTATTACTGCATCTACAATGGACCGGTTTTCAACTCTTTTATCTTCATCTTTTTTTATTAACGAAAATGTTATAGTTTATGAGGACTCATTATAATTAAACTTTTTACAATATTAGTAGTCTAGCTTATTATAAAACGTGGTCTAAATATAATAGCACATTACCATAGTTACGATTTCTTAATCATAAAGAAACAAACACCATCTGAAGTCTAATTTTTAAATGCTAATATTTAGGAGCAATTTTATATCGTACAAAAAAATTAAGGTCTATAATTTTAACGACGGTAATTTAAAATCAAATCATGCATGCAAGCATGTACACATTCTGTTTAGTGAAGATTCAAATAGTTACGCAAAGACTTCTATACCATTAAAAAAAATCAACACAAAACAGGAAAAAACAACTATATTTACTACAACGTACTAAACCCACTTTAAGCTTCAAATTACTGTCAATAAACGTGAAAATATTATCAAACTGTGGCTTGCAGCGGTTTAATATTCCCAAAATATTTTACACTGATCAATATATTTACAAAAACCTTTCTACACGTCGTGTAAGATTATAAAAATAATATTGTATTGTAGAACAAAATTCAATTCAATTCTCATGTCCCATACAAAAGAGCATTATAAATTCAGGTTATACATATAATATTTCTTTGGTCACGTAAAAAGTTTTATATAGTCTGTTAATTTCAACATTTCGTATTTTTAATTAGAGATACAAATAAATATTTTACAAAACATCTTCATGTTTTTCCATGTCAACTAATTTTTTTAAACGTAGAGATTCTATGTATAATTTTTGACAAAATTAACCATAGATGAAAATCTCAGCAAGTTCAAATTCCGAAGATTTATAGTTATTTGAATATGGAATTTGATCTCCGAAATAAGTCAAACAAAAAAGTATAACGTACGTGACCTGGAAAATAAAATCAATTCGCTTCAAACCCACTAAAGTACCTATAATTAATAAGGGGAAATAACGTACGTATTACTTCTGCATTACTTTACAAACTATGTCTGCAATAAGGAATATTATCAACTATCATTAGTAAGTAATGCTTTTCACGATAATATGGAGTTCATAGACTAAATTCTCGAGAATGGCGTTTCGGTGTAATAATAATGCACAAATATGTTTGTTGTTGGCGTGCTCTAATTCTGTAGAGTGTCGGCTACGAATAGCATAGAATAGAATAGGGAACATAATATTGGGGAAAGTGGGCAGCAGCGTTTTTTCCCATTTAGCCTAAACATAAATTGCACTGGCCACACTGATTGCGTGGCGAGTATTGGCGACTTACTTCCCCAATATAAATAGTACCACAAAACAAAGGTTATGTGTAAAAGAACAGAGACTTCCGGACTTTATGGAGAAAGAGAATCTTTATATGATGAAGTCTTTTTTTTTTTCAAAACCCTCATAAAAATGGACATGGTTTAGCCCGGATGAAACGACGAAAAAGAGATCGATCTGATAATGTCAACTAAAAGGCAAATATTAATTGGTTTTAATTAATAAAAGACCCTAAGAGGACGGTAAGAAGAATTCAGAATACCAAGATTGATGCTCCGTCTGTCTCAATCCAAAGAAGACATCCTACTTGATCTCTAAAATAGTTTGTCTTGTCTGAAGGGTGATGTCTCTATGGATAATCTTAATAATTGATTTATTATAGCATTTTTCGATCAGCTCGAACGGTTGGCTCCACTACGTAATACGTACGTTAAAGAAGAACTGTTCTTACCCGCTCTACGCCCTTGACTTGCGAACTGGGAGTAAATGTAAATTTACAATTTAACTTGACAATTCATAAGTGTACTTGTTTACCTACATGAATAAAGATATTTTGAGTTTGAGTAAAACCTTACCATAAGAAAACGCACAGAAACTCTTCAACTACCTTCAAACTTATGGTAAAAATACGTGTCCTACCGCTTCAAAACCTTAGCTTAAAAAAGAAATATCTAACATCCTTGCGGCACGATATGTGCTCCTATAATACAAAGTTTCTCGAGAGACGATTCAGCAAAACAAATGCCCAAAATTTTTGGTCAAGAAATGGATCTATTGGGCAAAGCCAGATATATCTTGCGACTTTAAAGGGAATCACGATATGATCACTTTTCCTTTTAAAGTTGTAATTAATCAAAGGTTTTAATGAAATAAAGTACGATTATTATTATTTTTTTATCTTATAATATAGCAGAGAGGATTATGAAAAGTCTTATTAAGGAAAATTATTTTCCTCGTAAATGTTTGAGTATATCTTCATCAGATTCAGTACTTGTGGGTGCTCGGCACATTCTGTTCGGTAGTATTTTATATAAGTGTCTCCGTTGAGAGTCTTCTACTAATGTTCGCCATTGGTCGTTTCTCTGTAAAAGAATTTCATCAATCATCGTTATAGGCATTTAAGTGCGTGGAGATCTCAAAAAATACTGAACTGAAGCTGAAACTTGGAGTGTTCCCTAATCTGGAATATACGTGATTCAAATCAAAGGACGTACTTTCGGAGAAAATTTGAAACAAACATACACACTAAAGAAATGTAGCACACGTCCTTGAAAAAAGAAATAGATCATCATACTTAATCCATAGCAACGAATTGATTTGAGTTCTATATTCAAATAACCATTTATGGTTGTAACGAATAAACTAAACTAATAGAGGAACTATTGCCATAAAAAAAACTAATGGAGGGATTTTAAAAATTCCTTGAACTTTAGAAGCAGCGATTTTCAGATCTACGACATGCGGTTTTCTCAGGTTTACCTTAACTCACACACTACAGTAGATATAATTTTTCGATAATTTTAGGATGGCATTCAAAACCTTGAATACATTTACATACAAATCGCATTATAAAAAGTTCATTGGTATTGTATATTACCATTATTTATACTATTACTAGCAGACCGGCCAAGCGTTACTGTGGCTAAGGTTTTTGTTATATTACATAGTAGCAAACTATTCAAGGGAGAGAGAACACCAGTCATGGGGACCACCATGCTTTTTTGGTGGTTATGCCATTAAATTGTAGCTGAAACGTTGGTACTTTCAACACAGCGCCATCTGTTAGAATTGTGACTATCAAATAATAAACAAATATTTTGCAATAAAATAATATTGCGGGTATAAATTGAGATGTAAGCTATCCTATCTTTTAAGTTGGATCAAACTACACACGGTGTGCAAATTTGATTGATATCGGTTCGGTAGTTTAGGAGTCCATTGAGGACAAACAACGTGACACGTAATTTATATATATTAAGATTATATTACGCATTCATTGACTGGATCCGTGTCTGTGCTGCAACAGTTGCATTGTAGCCTAACCGCAATCTCGTTGTAAAAAAATGGGAATAATATCGTAACCATGGAAACAGACCCAGTACGTACCTAAACACATACGTTTGATTTTAATACGTATATCCTTTTTTAATAAGGCCGAGAAACGTTTAGCCGGCTTTAAAACTCACCATAACAGCGTGTGGATTGAGGCACACGATGAGGGCGTGCCTAGCACGTGTCAGCATCACGTTCATTCGTCCAGCATCCGTGAGAAAGCCAAGTCCGTGACTTCGAGCCAACGAGACGATAACGACATCTCGCTCTTGTCCTTGGAAACTGTCCACTGTGTTCACTTCTATTAGATTATCCGATCTGTAAAATCACAGAATAATAATATAAAAGGTTTTTTTTAATATGAAAAATATTAAAGATATATAGTATGTAAATGAACAGGTCGTTAATATTGTGAGCTTCAAATCTGAAAATAAGTGACTAACCCTTCATGCTTTAAATATTTCCTAATGAGATCCCTGTGGGCCACGTAAGGAGTGATGACCGCAAAGGAAAGCCCCTTCGGCCTCGTCATTTGGGCCAGGGCGGCTGCCAAACGAGACACACCGCACGCTTCTAAATCATTTGCACCCGATGACCCTGAAAAAGTATATTATTTGTATACTGCCATAGAGAAAGATCGAATGCCTAGAAGAGATCTACGAGCGACAAGAAACAGACATCAACAGAAAGATTGAAAGCGTCTACATAGGGGCCGTTCAAGTATTACGTAAGCACTATAGTCTTTGATTTTCTTATTTTTCATAATATTTAATTACATCAACAGTAATTATTTACTTTTTGAAGTTATACTTCTTTGGGCGCGTTATGAAAAATTGATGAGAGTGAAATTTTGCGATGCGCGCGCACCGTGACACGAAATTAACAGAATGAAGTTGCCCACTAACGAATCCTTTTTAAACCAGCCGGGCGCCGAGCGTGCGAGATGGGAATAAGACAATCTACAAGTAAAAAGAAATAGAATATGCGTGAAGTTAGCAGCTATTCCAAGAATTTTGAATGACCATAATAACCTTTGTAGTACCTTTTAAACAAATAAAGGAGTTTTAATTATTTTTTCAAAGAAATTTAGCAATGCTTTTTTACAAAGACCTATTGTTACTTAGTTATGAAACATACCTAGTTATTAAATTGAATGAATAATATAGTAAAAAATACAGTAAATCTGCTTACACCCTAAAATCAGTAGCGATATCGGAACAACGGTGGTGGGGACTAGGGTGCTCTCCACCACTTCTCCGATATTGCCTCTGATTTTAGGGCCGTGTGTAGACGCTTAAAGACAAATTTTATACAACAATACATCTATGTCAGGGAATGTTATGATCGTGTCAATTGACCGTTGATTTTTGTTGCTGTCTCGTTAATCATTGACATTCCTATTATTACTTTTTTGACTCGATTTGTTTTATTATTTAATTGTTTTATAGTTTGGATTCATTACTTTACGAATATAAGTACAAATATTGTTACGTCCAATCAGAGCAGAGCATATGCATCGAGTGGGGTCGAAGCGCCATTTTGACTTTGGAATTTTGGACAGTGTGTCACATGACAACCACGTAACTCGCTAATGACGATGTCAATATCCATAGAGTGACGACATTTCTCCGACATATACAAAACTAGAGAATGTAAAAATGTTTTTTTATTAACAACATTTTGTGAGTCAACATCGCATTATCATACCTTGTCCTTTATCCCCACTATGTATACCCAGTATTGTATAGGGTGGAATGTCCAGATCTACAGGTGGGCGTGGCACTGTCCGTATCTGATCTGCGTAGAAGGCTCTGTTGGGATAATCAGCGATGCTGTGATGCATCCGATATTGCTGATTCAGGAGTAGAACTGGACTTTGAGGCCAGAGTTCAGTACACGAGGTCAGACGGGCGAACAGACTCTCCCCCAGGCCGTGCTTTTTAGCTCGCTGTTAATAAATGCAGAGGTTAATTCAATTGTTTGAGTACACAAACACAAGAACCTGCAAAATCTTACAAAAGTTATGACGTGAGCGCCTTTTTTTATAATTTACTAGTGGACCCCACAGTCGTTGTCCTGCATGATATTTAAAGCGATTAGGATATTAAGCAAAGTATGAAAGTACCGACTGCAGTGCCATCTGCCGGGCTGATTTGTGAATCTAAACCATTCCCAGATCCCCTTGAACACACACAAAAAATTTCATCAAAATCGGTCCAGTCGTTTGAGAGGAGTTCAGTCACATACACACGCACAGAAGAAATATATATATTAAGATGTAATTATTAACACTAACATCATTCGAATATAACTATAAACAAGATTTCAGTTGAGTCTACTTAAAAAAAATTAATACCTAACCTAACTAAAATTAACTCAAATGTGATATTCCAAAAAAATCTAGTATCCTAATCCCAACAAATGGCTGTATCAGCAATCCTTTTTTTTGTCTCAAAATTAGTCCTATCCTATTTCTTCTAGTTAAATGAATGCAAAAACGACTAATAAAATAACCGATTAGCTCTAGTTCTAGAAATACAAGCTACTTTTTTTATTTTTAAATTCTTCTTTTTCAAATCTACGCAAAATTGTTTTTCGACATTGGCAACATTGCTAATTGTCAAAATGCACATTATTAATCTATCTCTTATATACGAGCGGGCCCGAAAGAGATTCGAATGACCTCTATCTTTAGGAGTCATAAATTCACTGTTTAACAAGGAGAGTTCAAGTAGTATAGAAGTATCGTAAAGAACATACCTGAGAGCATATATACCCGGGCAGTTGTTGTGGGTCGCCGACCAATGTTAGTTTGGTGACGTCCAAGGTCAGAGGAACTAAGGTCTCAGGTTCAATGGCCTGTCCCGCTTCGTCCACTATACATAGCGCTATGCGACCTTTCACACTGTAACACACCGGTGTCATTATTACCTACTAAAGTACATAAGTAAAAATATATTATTACTACTCAGTTCACAAGAGTTACTTGTTTTATTATGAATTGTATTTTTAATTCTCGATTTAGGTGTAGGGTTTATTGTGTATTGCATTAGAAATATGTATCTGTAAAGATACAATAGCAGAAAAATATACAAAACGTAGCCATAATGATTGGTATTTTTATTTAAAACGTGGTCGTTATCAAATATTGTAGGGTCTTGTCTAGTGACACACAACTACTAAATCCTTCTTTAGTCATTTTGATAGATTTTATCCATTCTATACTCTGATTTTTAATTCCGTAGAATTCTGACATTTCATAGGTAAGTGTTGCTACTAAAAAAGTTCTCCACCGAAAAAGCGACAAATTTGACTTATTTGAAAAAAATGCTACGTATTGTATATGTTTTACCTACAAAAAGGTAAATCTAAATATTTACTTACTCAAATGACCTAATACAAAAATAACAAATATTTCAATATTAACGAACAATATATATCGAATTAACATTAATTACTTTATTTTATTCTTAAGCTGGCATCACTGCCTACTAATTCCAGGTTCAAAAAAAAATGTTATCTTTATTTGTGCATTTTTTACTGTTTGTGATGAAAAGGAACGTAATTACCACTCGCCGTTTAACCACTTTTAATGTGGAGCACCGCACTTAATAAAATGGGTACATTAACTAACAATAAAATTTATACGTATAGACTCAGATGTTCGGACTCGTACTGAAATTAAAAAAATATGCCTGGCCAAAAAGGTTTGCCATCACTGACATGTCAAAAAATGATAGCTGTCAGAATTCTACGGAGTTAAAAATCATAGTATACCTTTGATATGAAGAGGAAATACTTGTTGTTTATTAATGATGCTACTGAATAAACTAGGCGAAAAGCAGTTTCAACTAGACATCGGACATACTTAAAAATGGCCATAAATTGAATCGTAACTTTTGGTTAAGGCTCCTAGAATTTCTTTAACTGGAGATGAATAATATTTGCGTCGAAAGATACGGTAAACAGATTTTTTTTAATACAAGCAGTATTGACAGATAGAAAGTATAAAAAAGACAATTCTTCAGATTATATTTGTTTGTTTATGTGCTTTGCATGCAACATATTTAACCGACTTAAAAAAAGGTGGAGAAGGAGGTTTGAATTCGACGATATTTTTTTTCTGTATGTTCAAGAATAGCTCTGCCATCCGTGGACCGATCTGGATGATGGAGATGTCAAATGATACGGATTCACAGCGAATAAGATCCCATAGACAGATTGTTTTTTAGTTTGCAAGATTCTGAAATGTTTCCTTAATATCCTGAACTCGCAACGTATGATTAGGCCCTTATATATTGATGGTTTTAAAATATGGTTTAAAAAAGGGGTTTAGATTCTGGTGAATATAAAACCGACTTTCAAAAGTATTTGCCGTATTAAAATGTTATTATATTTAACTATCGTTTAGCATATTAGAATTCTCTTGGACAGGACTAATAAATATATAAGAAATATTCTAATTTTATACTTTTTAGTGCATTTTAAAATCGATTAAATTTTAAAACTAATTTTAAAATATGATGTGCAGTGCATTTTAAAGTCGATTAAATTTTAAAACAAATTTGATAATATTATGTCTCTGAAAACGAGAAATGTTACAATAGTTTGTTATAATTACTTACCCTTTCATTTTATTATTCTGTGCGCTTGCGAGCGTAGTAGCGATGATGTCTGCGCAGTCAATGATTCTCTTTTCAGCCGCCATTAGACGTTCAGGTCTAACGTCTTCACCACCACCACCGTGGCGTAACTTATAAACAAAATTGTTTAAATAAAAAATCATGTTAGTTGTTCTTTTATGCACCTGATATAATAAATTAAATTCTCGGAAATCTAAAGTTTTAGATTTGTGTAAATATGATCACGACTTAAAAATTGGATTGCCAAAGAAGTTTCACTTCTGAAATGGGTACTGTGTGCGCACGCACTTTTTTATTTCATATTTTTATTATTTATTATATTATTATATTCAGCAGAAGAAAGTTAACAGTAGCAATAGTTTAAATTAATTTTTAATAGCATAAATATCGAAATACCATATTTATTCGCTCATTGAGTTGGGTGATGCGTCCCTGACAGTAGGCGATTCTCACGGGATCCTTGGCTTCACTCATTGCCGTCTTCCACATGTTTATTTTCGCTTCTATATGTGAAATCTGTAAGAGTATAGGAAGCAATAATAATAAACGGGAATTTTTAATATTGTGAGCTATTTTCTTTTTTTAGACATATCAAAGAGATGGTGGAACCCGGATCGAAGGACCAAAAATATGTTTCATAGTGCGTTATTTTAACTAGTAATGTTTGTTTGCCTGGTAGAGATCGCATTATAAGACAGACCGTGTGTTGTGCGAAAAATATTTTTTATGTAGTTTTTTACCACTTAGTTCATATTCTTTCTTGTGTATAATAAAGAATTTATCCAACTATCTAATTACATCAAAATTCACATTTTCAAGAAGTGTACGAGCCAATGCTATACAATTGGCTCACTTGGGCTTTCTTAGTTTTATAAAAGTGGCGATTACGTAAATCGGAGTCGGAGTTACGCCCCGAGATGATGGCCATTCTTCAGCATTTAATTATTTTATATCCTTTGTTTCATACGGGTTGATAATAAATAGTGTACATTATTTACAACATCCCCCCTGACCCAGAAACCGAACATTTTGGTCCTTCGAGCCAGACTGTTTAATTGTATGACCATAATTAATGATAGTCTCGCAGTCTCAGACGATAACGATAATACGACGGCAGTATATTTAAAGAGGTTTTTTGCCTGTAAGATGTAGAGACATGTAATTGCTGCGAGGTAGAAAATATAGATATCGCATTCAGAACATGTTAAACGTTATATCGATATAACATTAAAATTCAGATTTTTCTTAACATTGCTGTAAAAACTTACCTGTTGAGCCACCGCGGCATTTTGCGGCTCAGCATTCAGTCTAGCAGTGTCTCTCGCCGCGAGCTGTTGTGAACTGACGTCTTTAGCTCGACTATGCATCGCTTCTACCCGACCCACCCGTACCATTTTGAACCTTTCCGCTGAAATATATACATTTTGTATAGATCTATAGTAATTTATGCTGTACTACATTATAGAAGAGCTGTGTTGGCTTAAGCGTATTGTTTTGCGTTCGAACCAGTTTCAATTTTTTTCAGAGTTTTCTTTCTATCTGTGCAATAAGCACTTACTCATACGGTGAAGGCAAACACCGTGAGGAAACCATCGTGTCACAAACCCAAAAATCGATGACATGTGTCAGACCTAATCACCTACTTGTCCATTAAATAAAAATGATTGAAGAAACGGATGCAATCTGAGGCCTATAGATGGGGTGGGGTTGTCGCGAGACTCTTTTTAACTCTACCTCTCTCTAACTCTACCCTGAAGATGTATATTCGGAATACTACATTTTTAGTCACATACATGCATTCTTTAAAAAGCCCTGATACCCGAAGAGTGCTAAAACATGGGTTCTTCATAACTTTCCAAAAAACCTTTTTTGTGCCATGTGTGTGTGTTGTGTTTTCAAACCTTAGCATTTCTAAAGTTCTTCTGACATGTAACATTCATTTTACTTAATTAACTTAAATGATAGGTCTCAGGTCTCCGTTGTGTTATCCTATATTCAGCCGATTACCAATTGCTTACCCTTAACAAACATTTACCTGTGGGACGTGGGCCCTGGTAAGACTATACAGAGTATTGTTTGTAGGATTTAGAATTGTTTTTATATAATACTAGGTGACCCGGCAAACGTTTGTTTTGCCATGTATATTATTTCTAGGAAACATTTTTTAGTTCAATAAAAATAACTACAATAATAAAAAGTAGGGGTTGATCGTAGAGGGGTGAAACTTAGTATTGTATGTATTTTTGCATGGTGTACCATAAAAAAATAAAAACGATTTTTTTTTCTAAAAAATAAAAAAAAATAATAACCGATTCTCAGACTTACTGAACATGCATAAAAAATTCATAAGAATCGGTCAAGCCGTTTCGGAGGAGTATGGAAACGAACGTTGTGACACGAGAATTTTATATATTAGAGATTAGAAAGTCCGCTTATATATTTTACTTGAAGCGCCAAATTTGATTGAAGACTTTTGTGGTCTGTAAAATTTTGTCTTTGTTTTTTTTACCAATTTTAATCAACGCATCAGATGCGACTTAATACCCAAAAATGACCATAGTCAACATTCTACAGGTATATATGTGTAATGAAATGATATTTCATTCATCTGAATTTGTCGCGTTTTTACAAGTTGTCTGTCAAAGTTGGTAGGGGACGCGTCGGAGTGACGCGCGATTAAATGGCGGATGACGTGCAGATTAAGTTAGTGCATTGTATTATTATAAAAAGATAGATTAAAGGATATAATTGAGGATAAGTGAACATTGTTATAGTTAGACAATAAGTGCATTGTATTATTAATGTGATCAATAAAACAAAAACTTTGTATTTCAGAGAAACAATTTGTGATTTATTTTGAAAATCCTTAATAATATATCTTATATATATATACTCACGTTTTGGTAAGCTCTGCCGTATACTGAGTAGTCGTATAACAATTTCATCTATGGCCGCATTACTCGTCGCACAAATTAATATTTTTCCTCTGTTCTGCTGTTTCCTTCTATTAGAGTCGTAGAAATATGCCATGACCATTGCACATATCACACTTGATTTACCTAAAATTATAATAAGTATGTATTGTCGAAACCGCATTATGGTAAACCGCCTGGCATCTATATATATATACTAGCTGCCCCAGTGAGCTTCGTTTCTCCTTAATGCCTAACTTTTTAGTACATACCAACGTGGAACATTGTGCTAGTCTACCCCAGAGACTGTTCGGTTTTCCGGAATGAACACTTTTTAGGTTTTACTGTGATTTTTCTTTATATAAACCTCAGAGTGCAAGTTATAAGTTCTTAACTAACAAATAAAAAATAGGGGTTGATCGTAGAGGGTAGATGAAAATTAAGGGCTTTGTATTTTTTTTTTATCTCAAAAAATTTGGACTATATACAACTAATGTGTTAGTTTAATTGTATTCATACCGGTTCCAGGTGGTCCTTGAACCATTTGTATATTGGGCCGATCTCCAAGAGCCGCTGATACAGAGGACTCCACCGCAATTTTTTGACTCTCATTCAATGTCAAAGTCCACTGAAAAGGATTGATAAAACAATAATATAATAATTTATAACAAATAATCCTCCAAATAACTAAATGCATTACAACGCAGAAGTTAACTAAGCACCTCGCTGTAATGACGTCATAGTGATGTACTAACTGCATAAAAAATTCAAGTAATCTTTAAGGCCCCTCGACACTCGTGATAGTAGGTATCTATTGAATTATTGATTATTTATAATATCAACGTTTATCAATAAGGGGGGTTAAATGTAGGTATATTTTTTAGTAACAGTTCTATATCCATAGGTTAATAAAACAAATATAATTTTAGTTTATTTTTTAACGGTAGTATTTAATTTACTGATCGTATTGTCGCGTCAAGGGCGAGAGCGGTAGTCGGTGGGGTGTGGTGGGAGGGGAAGCACATTCCACGCAGGTGCCAAGTTGATTTCTGCGTGTAGTACATTTTTTCTGTTATGTTAAAGCATGCGCTACACGGTATGAAACGGCGGTTTGAAACTTTGGTTTCAAACCGTGTGGATAGTTGTTTTATGCCAAATTTCGTTTAACCTTGATATGACCTTGGCAGCACGCTTTGCGTTGCAAACCGCGACTGCGGCGGCGAGCGTAGACGCACGAACGTGAAGTTATTACCGAATTGCTCGAATTATACAGAGAATTGCCATGTCTTTGGGATATGGATGTGAAAAAAAAATCGATTAAAATTGATTTTTTTACGCGATTTTTATATTTAAAATAATCGATTATTTTTATAATTGAAAATCAATCATAGTCGATTTTTTATCTGCCACCTACCGACATTATGTCTGGTATTTTATAACCCGGACCTTGAACTATTAGGGATATTCGATATACAACGATGTTTACAATGCGATACATTGAATCCGATTCTTTGAAGATGTATTGTTTTTTTGTAAAACATCGAAAGGATGATAAAACTATAACTTAAAAGTAAAATAAATTTATTCAGCAGCACAAGACTACATACAATTAAAAATACAACAAAAATACTGCAATGTGCTACTGAAGAAATCGATTATTTATTAATCGATTTTTCATGCTAAAAAAATAATCTATTAATAAAAAATCTATTTTTTTATGCAGAATGTCACATCCCTACGGAGACGTCTTATCAGCGCAACGTTATTTTGGTCACTGTTGGTTTTCAACCGTGTAGCCGAAAAGCGCAACTCGCTTTTATTTCGTTTCAAACCCTTACTCTTAAAGACCAATCATCGACCCCAAGTGCGCAGGTAGCTAAGTATCACTAATCTACTGTCAGTGACATTTATTGCCCGTCGACTCAGTTTAAAATGCGTCGACTATAGACACCTGGTTTTTATACAGAGACGATGAAGGGATGCATTAGCGCTATACTGATCTAACATTGTGTGGGTAAAAAGGAATACTAGAGTGAGGGTTTTAAAATAATTTTGACTTCAATACTAAAAGCTAAACTTTCATTAAAATTTTTAAGACAGAACAGACAACTAAAAATTAGACTGTATTTAGTAGTGTTTAAGAGAGTTCAAAAAAATAACTAAGGTAAGTGATGTTACAATAAATAAACTAAAGTGGAAATGGGCGGGGCAAATTGCAAGAGGAACGGAAAAGTGGAGCAAAAATCTACTAATTGGGCACCCAAGGTACAGCAAACGAAGAAGAGGGAGACAACTCAGAAGGTGGATAGATCACATTAAAGAAACAGCAGGTGGTACATGGCAGAGTGGCACAGTGCAGAGAGGAATGGTGGGATTTGGTAGAGGCCTTTGCCAAAAAAGGGGCACACAGTTACACTAGAAGAGGAAATTGGAAATTTGTTTAAATGTAAATGTATCTGAACAAAGGCTATTATTATTACAGTCAAAACCGTTTATAACGACATCGTTTACAACGACCTATCGGTTATTACAACCAGATTGTATGGTCCCGTCCGAATCCCTAGTAAACTATTCAGTAAAGAAACCGCTTATAACAACATCGGATACAGCGACATATCGCTTACAACGACGAAAGTTTATCGATATTCATCGGATATAACGACCAACCGCTTCTTGTCTCAGTAAAACAAAACAATACAAACGATTTTAAATTTTATTTATAAGCATTGAATGAATATTTAGGCATATTATTACCTACGCACTTTCTCCCAACGAACAGTTTCAGCCAACAACGATTTCCGAGGCTCTTAACGCTGTAACGATTTTGCAAAAATTTGTTGCCTTTAACGATCAGTTTGATACTGGTGATACTCATACCTTGAGGAGTATGAAACGTAAAATGCAAAAAATATTTGAGACTGGGCTAAAAAAAAACAGACTGACTGATTACTTTTGTACCTAATTATTTCGTAATAAATATTATATACATATTATAATATTAACATACCATATTATAACCCATACCTACCTATTCTAGATCGATAACTATGTACATACATATGTACTGTACTTGTGTACATGACATTGCTTATAACGACTATCGGATATAACGTCGGCAACTATACGGTCCCTTCAATGTCGTTATAACCGGTTTTGACTGTATTAGTAGTGTTATAAAAAATTAGTAATTTTTTAGTAATTTTTTTAGTAATTTCTAGAACGGTATTAAACTTAAATCAAGAACTGAGTATATTGTTTTTTTGGAAACTTTGATATATTTGACTGTACGTGCTCAAGCGGAGATAGACTTGAGATATCTACTGGAATACGGACTTGAGACTTTATTGATTAATATTGGTAGTAATATTAAGGTTGTGTCAGATTTCAAAATTCAACAAAAAAATTATCGGCATTTAAAGATACTTATAATAGAAAACGATTTTTATTTTTATACAAAAATTAATTTAAAAAAACCTCTATTAGACAATATATTTATTTTCTAAACTAGCCGTTTCCCGCCCGCTTCGCTGGGCGAATTAAAATAGGAAACAAATAAAATTTTATGTATCATTATTATTATTTTTTCATATTTTTATTATTCTTCTTTTTAACTTCCCGCTAAGAAAATTTAAAATTTTCGAAAATCGAGTTTTTAACAGATGTTGACGTTTTGAGGTTCTAGGAAGCCTTCCCGAATGTTTCCGCGGTGAAGTCCGTATGTATAAATTTTCATAAAAGTAAAACTAGAATTTAAAAAATAAATAGCCATAAACCATCTAGACCATAAATTTCGCATCGAATGGCAGTAGTTTCATGTCGATACGATCAGTGGTTTAGGCGCGAAGGAGCCTCAAACGAAGACCATTTTTCTTATATATATATAGAACATAGAAATGAAATCTGTTAAATTAAAAATAATACTTACAGGTAAATTCATATTAACACGAGCATTATTATTATATCTTTGGAAGTGTTGAGGCTGCGGATTCAAAATTGCCTCACTGAGGGGTGAACCCGAGAGGTATTCCATGGCTTCAAATAACATTAATTCCTTATTTATATATGCTAATGACCGACCAATTATCAGTTCACCAATTTTTAACTGACTCATCTTCCCAGTAAATATAGCATATAATGAAATGCTAAAGAATGTGTTTTTGTTGTCTGAAATGTAATACGTTTAAATTAAAAAAAAAAAATGTAAGTCCTAGAACTTATTAAATAATAAACATTCTTAAATAATTGATGAAATTGGTTGTAAAATATAAGCAAAAATGAGGATTTACATGTTTAAATAATTTAAAATAAGTAGCAGATTTTTTTTATTAAAAAACTAAAACTGTACTAAGTTACATTCGAATCCTAAGACAGCTATATTACAAATTTTATTAATTGTATTTAAAATGTGAAAATTGAATGCAATGTGAGAACTGTTATATTTAATTTGTTTTCAGTAATTGTTAATTAACAATAATTTTTATCTTTGGATGTTCTTCTAAGGTACATAATGTTATTGAGTTAAAAATTACTTTTGCAAAAATTATCTTATAATGAACAACACTTACTTGGAGGGGCAGGAAGTATCCTTACATTGTGTACAAAAAAAAACCTGGAAATCCTGGAATGTTCCGGACCAAAATCAATAATTAATATTTCGCCTACTCTCGGAGCGTTTTTTGCCTCTGTTGTTGGCATGGAAACTGAAAGTAAAATATAGAGATTAAGATATTGGTACATTACATATAAACAATGTAGTTGTGGCTAATCAACAGTTCCATGCGAAAAGATATCTTTTAGGCTAATTCTACACCGCGGCTCAAATGTATGAAACATTGATTTTGAATTAAGAATGCACCAGCAAAGTTGTAATGAACTTTGCTTAAATGACTTTCCAAATAGTTTTTTTTTACCTTTTACTTTTGAATATAATATGTAACTGTATATACAGAAATATCAAATTTTATTTGTCTGACTGATTGTTCAGTTTTCAGGACTTCACCAGAGAGCATTCTAACTTTTTTTGGCCTCACTCACTTTTAACATCTCAACAACAACCATTATTTTAATAATCTGTCTTCATAGCTCAGTGGTTAAGGTACATGGTTTGATTCCCTGAGAAATAAGATTCTTTGGGCTATGCACAGAAGAGACTTGTGAACAAATTAGCAACAGGTTTAAGAGACTTCTAACTGAAGTTTCTGAATATTTTTTAGAAATAAAAACTTTCTGTGCATTTGCAAAAACAAATGAATAACCAAGTACTTACTGTTTACACTCAGGTTAAATAGTTCAAAGTGGCGTTCAAGGGGTGGCAACGGGGGTAAGTTTTCAATTCTCATCTGAAGTAGTTTGGGTTGATTGCGAGTCCTTAAATGACCTTGAGTTAAACATTCCCATATTTCCATTAACAAGAGATCACCGATTAACCTGAAAATGCCATTTATGTAAAAAAAGACCAATAGAGTCAATATTTACAAGTTCCAATAAATCATAATGAGTTTAGTAAATAATACCTAACATTATATTTACCTTAAGAATAATGCTGCAATATATTTTGTTATATATCTATGATTTTTAAGTTTTCTCTTGAAATTATTTTCAAATACACATATATTTTTGTAAATACATTACTATTAGAAATATTATGTATGCATCTTTTAGTTTTAAAATATTTTTTCGGACATATGTATATGACAATTAATGAGAAAATTTTATATCATACTAGCTGATCCGGCAAACGTCGTTTTGCCTTGTATATCATTTATAATAAAAAATAGGGGTTGATCGTAGAGGGTCGCAAAAATTAGGGGTTGTATGTATTTTTTAATGCTGTATCATAAAAAATAAAAAAATAAGTAATTTATCTAAAAATTAAAAAATATGCACATAAAATTTCATGAGAATCGGTCAAGCCGTTTCGGAGGAGTATGGCAACGAAAACTGTGACACGAGAATTTTATATATTAGATTATCTAGTCATTATCATAATTTTTACTTACTGCACATACTGGTGGTGATTGTTATATGTTTGAAATTTCGCCAATGGTATATTATTATGCCCCAATATTGGCGGGGGATCTGCATTAGTAATCTGTTCATCAAGCCAATGTGGATTCCAAATTAAAATTTTCATTAAAGTGATTTTTTCTAATGAAAATATTGGCATTTTACAATTGTCAACCATTGTTGTCTTTACTAACCTAGTTTCCTTCATTTTATTCCCAGGTTCAATTTCAAATACATGAACTTCCGGGGGGGAATTAGAGAACCTCACAGATTTTTTAATTTTTTTAGGTGGTAATGGTTCAACTTTTGAAACTGGCTTTCCAAAGAAACCAAGGTCTATATCCATTAAAGGCCTAATAGCTTTTACAGGAGGAGTATGTGGTTTCTCTGTCTTGCCCGATTTTCTTCTTGATCTTCTTCTTTTCTTCTTTGTGCTTTCTGACTTAGGTTCGGCTGAAACCACTTCAACATGATTTTCTTTGTAATCTGATGTTCTATTAACCAACGTATTCCCTTGGGATGTTTTATTTTTTTGCTGCATCTTTTTGTCAAGACTCTCTTTTCTTTTTGTAGGCTTAACAGCTTGAACTACATTAGTTAAAAATTCACCACGACTTGTATTAGTAACTTTTATATTAACAACACTTTTACTGCTTGCATTGATATTGGAAGGAACAGGTTTAGGTTCCTGAAGTTTAGCTGCAATTTCTTTTAGTTTTTTTTTACGTTCATCTTTTTGAGATTTATTTATACTTTTTTTAGAGGATTCACTATGTTTTTTTTGTTTGTTTTCTTTTTTAGATCTTTTCTTAGCTGCAATGAAAAAATCAATAATTATAGAAATACATATATGTAAAATTAAAAATACAGGCATAAAAGATCTTACATTCAGTTTGAGCTACATGTACTTTTCTTCTAGATGGTTGGCAAAGTGGTTCAATAACTTGAATTTTTTTTGGGCCTTGATCATTCGCAGAAACTTTTTCAACAGTAACATCCTTTATATGATTACTATCAGTGTGATCACAACTTGGCAAGGGTGGCAGGTTTGTTTCAGATTTATTTTCATTTAATTTATCAGGTCCTACTTTCTTTATATCTATTTCTTGTACAGCTTTTCCGGTGACCTTGCCCTCATCTTGTGTAGTTTGAGCAACCTGTGTGTCTACTGTGGGTGGTACTAAACTGATCAAATCTTCAAAGTATATATCACTATCATCATCATCAATAAGCTGAACATCATCAAATTGACTATAAGAGTTCTCATCTGAACATTTATCCCTAATTGGTGTTTTTCTCTGTTTTTGCAAGTTTGTAAATGGCTTTCCAGGGGAACTCTGTGAAAGCCTTAAATACCAATGTTCTGATTCACTATCACTTTCACTATCTATTGGTATAGGTTCTTCAATATCCCCAAGTTGCTCTTGCTTTATAGAAAATGCATCAAATTGTATTTCATCATTTTCAAATTTTATATCTTCTGGGTATAACTCTTGCTTTATTGTATCTAACTTCTTTATCTTTTTAGTTGAGGGGCCTTCGCAATCAACATCACTGTCGGATAATATAAAAACAACATCATTTTCCTTACAATTCCTGTTATCTTCATTGATTGGCTTTTCAGTTTTTATTATTTCAACCATAGGTAAAACACTATATCTTCTCTTAAGAGTTGGTTTACTATTCTCATCTTGGTATTGAATTCTGTTAATGATAGGTACTTTCTTTTGTAGTAGTTTAAATATGTATTTTTCAGTATCATTTATATTCGTTAGCTGAGTACCTTCTGTCCAACCAATACCAATTATATCATTTTCAGTTATTGAATATGGAATGTTAGGTGAAATACGCTTGACTCCTATGTAAACACCATTTGAACTCTGAAAATCAATAATCATTTATTAGATGAAAAACAAACTGTCAATTTAAAATCATCTTTCCATGCATACTTTACCTTTAAATCCTCAATTGTTACTTCATCATTATTAACCTTAATAACACAATGATTTCTTGAAACAACCAAACTTGTGAGGATAATTTTATTATCATTCCCTCGACCAATAGTTACTTCTTCACTATTGGGTAATGTAAATTCTTCGTTACCAAATTTTTGCCGGTGTAGTTTCCACTCCATGGTGTATACATACAGAAAATAGACCTACTAAACTAGATTAACTACTAAATATAGTAGATTACCAAACTAGATTAGAAATTCTGTGTACTAATCACTATAACGAGCGACGTGAGATTAACTTTTTTTATCAAAACGATATCTTATTAGTTAAAGGGTCGTTACAGGGTCTAGAAAGTAGAAATTAACAAATATCAAATAACTAAGGACTAAGGAGGGAATGATCAATGACGAACCGTAACAACCGGCAACCGCAACTTTTAAATTCATATTCATGTCAATTGTCATATCACAGGATCGATGTCAATGTCTTTACTGAACCATCAAACGACTTTTTACTAAGTTTGTTAGTAACGTTCATAAAGATATTTAATTTGGGCATTATAGATCATAACGTTCATAACATACTTCCTTAAAAAAAAAGAGACTTACATGGTTTAAATTATGCTACCTAAATGTAAAAGTTGAAGGTAAAGATAAGAGTTTTGTGGAATAAGTTTGGCTTTATTACCATAAACTTTAAAGTTTGAAATAAAATAAAAACTTAGTCTATCGGAGAATAAAAATACTAGAAAAATAAGTAAGATCCTATAATTTAAGGTACTATAAAATAATATGTCTGTGGACTATTTTTAAATTTGTTTTGCTTAAATCTTAAGCCACCCTATAAATAATTAAGGTGAACAACCTTAACTATACATTAAGGGTTAAATTAAAAGACTTAGCACATTTAATCCAATACATTTATCAATAGCCATATATTTTTGAAGTACGAGAGTCAGACCTAGAGCTTAGTGTGAGATTAGATAGAGCTAGAAACGAGACTTAGCTCGAAGGCTGACGCCCGAGAGTCATAGCGCTAAATATCATTTCGGAATCTTACCCTAATATACTTAATAGACAAGTGAGCCATGCGGAATCCAAAGAGGATATGCAATAGCACTGCTCGAACTAAACATTTAGCTATATATTTATTATATAGCTAAATGGGCACGGTGCGATTAATAAGCGGAGTTTCGAATATTCTGAAATTTATAATACGTCAAAATGTTTATAAGTTATAACAGATTGATTGCGCTGATTGCTATCGCAGAAAATTTGTTTAATTTATGCTTAATTCAAGGAGAACCCGGCATGCCCATATCATATGATAACACTAGTACGATTAGGGCATCGAAACTCGGTTCAATTTTGAAAACCCGGGTTTTCGGGTCTAAGAGTAATCAAAACCCGGGTTGACCGGTTTTTTCGAGCATTTCGATCTTTTTATTGTAATTAAAAATTTTCAAAGTTCTGACGAGCCTGCTCTATAGTATACTACCATATTCGACGCGTTTCTGTTTTGCTAGTCATTCTGGTCAGTTTTCTCAATGCTGCTGTAGCCATCTGTGTTCGCCTACGGATTTCCTCGTGACATCCTCCCTGGTTACTGGTAAACTGGCCCACAAATTCAAAGTCCGCCAGTTCGCTAGAACGTGCGAGGAATCCAGCCCAATCCACTAACTTTTGTCTTTACCCTAATAGAGAGACCGACCATTTTTGGGAGATGACATGCTGTATCGTAAATTTCCCCTAATTTTCTTAAACATTAGTGAGTTCTATAGGACTAATTTATTAGATACTTAGCTGTGTTTTTTTCTTGAACGATGCCTGTTCATTCTTCTTTATTGTTCCAAGTCCCAATCATAGGTAATCCACATTTTATCCATTATATCATATTATATTATATTATGTCTTACACTCACCTATAAAATCCGAGGCTACTATCACTTCGATGACGTCATACCTTGAATTGCGCTAACAAAGTAATTCTCGACCTTAGCCACTGGGGCCTTAGGGGCGGCCAGTCGGTGGTGATAATGATCGAAGATCCTCCCTTTAACATTCCCTTTCTTCCTCTACATACACTCCACATCCTGGTATAGGAAACTTGAGATTTTGTGAGTTAAAATATTACCCTAACAATAAACGAAAGCTAAACAATAAATTTTATAAAGATTTTTAATAGATAATTTTTTTATCAATGGTAATTCGGTTAAAGCTCCTTTCCTTTATGCCTTACAGTTAACGTAAACCTTAAATCCAACAAACGTGCTGCTCCATTTTACATATAATAATTTACCACAAATAAATTCTCGAAATGATTTAGATTCTTTGTTGTGATTAATACTGAAACCATATTATTCCATTTATTTTATTTATTATTTCCATTTTCTGCGGTGCCGATCGGTGGCAAGTCATAACCTTACTGGGCTTAACCAGCGACCTCTTGTGATGCAAACAAAGCCAAAGCAAACTTAAGCCTGCAGGTTTTTTAAACGGGAAATCGCTAGGGAAGTCTGAGATTGCGAGCAAATTGCCAGATTTAGCGAGAAATTGACCCGCCTCTCTACCCTGACGCCTCTGGTCTTCATATCTCGCTGGCATCTATCAGCGCTCCATTCTACCACTGCACTGGGAGAATAACTCACTGGCCCACACCGCGAAGGAGAATGGCCGGCCGATCTTATGAGCAGTCTCTTTTCATCGAACTCGACTTTGGTAAGGCACCACCGATGTTATTGCGGTGTGATACTTCAATTTATATTACGGCAACATGCTAATCTGTGAAGCTCTATCTTCCGGTAACGCACTTGCAAGCTGCCCCCGGTTATATTAAAAAAAACAAATTATCTTTATTTGGTCCAAAAATGTAGATAAAGAAAACGATTGAATTTATATTAATGAAAACCGAGCTGTTGGACATTGAAAGATAACTTACAACCAGCGTTGACCCGCCTTCGAACGAGCAACTAAATTTTTCATACTAATCATTCTAGATATAGGTGAATCCACAATAAATTTTAAGCAGCAATTTTTGAGTTTATCGCGAGCAAACATACAGATAGACGCGATTAAGGCAAGGAGAGGTAAACGTTTTCATTCCACTATTTTTCCGTCTTAATATGAATATCTGACTACTACGAAAAAGTATTTTTATTTGGCCTTTGGATGTGGCTGAAAATAATATATTATTAAGGAATACAAATAATGTGGCTTTATATTGGTAAAAAAATTCTTAAAATCGGTTCAGTAGATCCAGCCATCCATCCTACAACCTGACAAGCTTTACATATTTATATAATCAATAAATAAAATTGATTAACTTTAAGTTAAAAACGTATAATATATTAAAATAACATAATATGTATATATATTTTATCTAATTTTACTCATACAAGTCGTTATTCGCTAATTTCCTGTAAGGGTGCATCGTTTAATGTCACTTGATAGGAGCTTTCGTCTGTAAGGATTGTTTTGTGCGCTGCGCAGAGAAAGCTCTGGGCGGGCGGCGGGGCGGGTGGCAAGCGGTGGGCGGCAGCGGGCGCAAATAGCGACAGCAGCGCAGTCGGCAACCTTACCGCTACCCAGCGCCCGTGCGCTCCCGGCCTTTTCCATCGGACCCCGTGACCCTTTAAAGAATTTTAATAAACAAAAGAATTGCGGTCTGATCCCCTGACGTTCGACCATCCTTAAAACCAAACCATTCATTGATAAATATAGTGCTAGTGTATAGTGCCATAACCAAGAATACCTGGTCGTTCTGGTCATCTGTTCTTCAAGGTACACGTGGTAGAATCGATAGAATCCTTGGTGTACCCATCTCCCCAAGGTCACAGCGAGGTAAACAATTTTCATTCGCATATAAAGTATTAGATTAGTCACCAAAAATGCAGAAAAAAGCTAATTATTTACTTATCAAAATTAAACGCAGGACTAGGTCTGAAGTTTTGCATCGATTTGTGTAAGTGCATGACAGTTAGTGACCTATTTTCGTAAGAGCTCGAAAATACAAGGTTTGGCACAAAACGTGTGGCATGCAATTAAAATTTTACAAACTTTTTTAGATGGTAACTATGTAAAAAATCTTAATGATGGAAATCCATCTTGTTTGCAATTTTTCGATAATGAAATACAGCCAAAGGCGGTATGCGTTTAAAGCTCGAAGCTATCATAAATAAGAAAGTGAGTCTGTTAATATGCTTTAAGCTGCTAACAGCTTTAAATATATAACGTTATCTTGCAAGGTACATCGAAATCCTACGAAGGCATCTGCTAAAATTTGCAATAGGATTAGAAAACCATACTACTGTTTTTATGATATAGGATTATTAAAACACCAAGCCGCTTCATCCAGTTATGGTACAAGTTACATCTTGATACGTCTAACTGAATTACATGCTCATGCTAGAAGCCAGAGCGGTTAATAAAATACAATTGGTTTCATGCTATAAACCAATATTTGAAACAATTTATTCAAAAGGTTATGCATATTGGATCTCATGTGAAGAGCTTTCTTTGTCTTTGTCGTGAAGCGTCTCTATGATACTTAACAAGTTTAAGAACTTAAGTGTTACTGAAGTTTGAAAACATACTTTTATAGTCTTGGGAATTGATAATGATTGGCGAAATATATTCCATACATTTTTTTAAAGATTTGTTTAGGGAGATAGTTACATATGTGACATTACTAAATAGGAAATACACTGCGTTTATCTTTGTGTGACTAAGGTTATATTGAATCGCTAAATAACACAGCAATAGTTTCTTCTGTTCCATAACTGTGTCTAGTTAGTTGCTAAGAATATGTACAATATTTTTTACAAAAGTGCAGGTAGGTCGCATAGATGTTACAACACGCATGTGTCACTGATGAATAGTAATAATTTCTTAGACGCTCGTTTACAGATATAAATAAATGGTAGAAGTATTTTTTTTAATGTTTTGTAAATACATATTAATGCTATTAATTTATATTGAACTTTTACGACTTTTTATATTACCATAACTAAACATATCAATTATGCCAATAACATAAGTATCGCCTGTATATTTTGTTAATTACGTTAATTTATATATATATTATGGTATTACCTATTTTTGTACATAATGATTTTCATTATTATTTCCAATTAGTTTAGACGTCTAAAATGTAATATACGGTATGTAATAATTACGGTATTAAGTGAAAACATATTTGTGGCGATCATTAACTTCTATAGAACGACCTCCTATAAAACTACGAATGCAGAATAGGTAATTTAAAGCCAAGAATAATATGCATACAACGAAGAATAGAATATAGGAAAGTAGGTCTATGGGCGACCTCTAGGTATCTTATATTGATCCATAAAGCCGAGTTCACTTTATGTTGAACGTATCGATTTAATTGACTGTTATCAATTCAAACTATTAACAACAATTTAAATGATAATAAATCAGAAAGTATCGATTAAATCATAAATTTTAAACAGTTCTGGTAATTGTTGAGCCATAGCGGAGGTCATTTTAAATGCAGTCTATTAAAGAGATAGCTCCATAATCGCAGAGAGAGTTTTATCTATGCTCCATGTCACTCGAAAGGGTGTTTCCTATGCTAATTCATGTAACAAGCTTTTATTAATGTTACGTATTGAAGTTGGTAACTCGGAAACTTTTGTTACGGGTTGTAAAGACTGCCCATAAAAAATATTAATGTATAGAAAGCTAATAGTAAAATGCGTGGTAGAAACTGCGAGGGTAGGTTAAAAAATGGGGTTGCAACCCTCGATATTATTGCGTGGTTTCGTGACGATCAAACAAAAGATTTGACTCATTTTAGGTTCAATACTCAATATGAAACCTAATAATAAATTACTTAACCTGGAAAATAAATTAGTTGAAAATCTTTAAAACTTGCGACGAAATTAATTAAATTGTTAACGCATTCTACTATCAATATAATATATACAAATAAAGTAATTCTACGTAATGGTTTTTAACAATGGTCTTTGGATTTGTAAATTAAATAATTCTTTATGAATTGTTTATGTAATCTGATACGTCGAAAGAAACGAAATATCTTACGAAAAGTTAAATCCCATCAAATTACATCGAGTTCCAGTGTGTGCATATGCCGATCCTTTTCCCCCCCCAGAAACCCCCACTTTTCGGTACCCCTTTTTTTTTTTTTTTTTTTTTTCCCCCCAAAACCTTAACCCTAAACCCCCCGCCGGCCACTTTTCTTCCCCCCCCTCTTTTTCAAAAAAACCCCCCCCTTCTGACGCCCCCCCCCCCCAAAAAAGAACCCCCCCTTCTCCCCCCCCCCCCCCCCCCCCCCCCCCCCACCACAAAATACAATACAAACATTACTATAAAGATCTACAATTTTTTTTTTTTTTTTTATGGATATCAAGATGTCATCTTGCTATTAAATTGAGTCGTAGATTTTCTATTAGAAGAAGCGACTGTTGGTGGCAAAGCAACCAATACACTTTATATATAAAATCTACAATTCGTATCAAATACTGTACGTATTTAGGGTAGGAATACGGGGCGCTAATATAGAGTTTAAAAGAGATCAGCTTTATTAATAAGCAAAAAACGTTAATGTTATCAGTTAACAATTATATACCAGGATGACGTTTGTCGCCTAAAGGTAGGCGATATCGATCGCGTGGCCCGCGGCTAGAACAAAAGAGCCTTCCCAGATAGGGCGCGATTTAACTGGCAACAGGTTGTATTTTTTTCAAATAGCGATAACCATTCTATTTTCAAAAAATATTACGATCTTGCTACAGATAATATAAGTATTAGTCTGTAAAACAGATATATAAAAAACAATATCTGACCACAACGGTAATTTAACGAATATTATCAAATTCTATTACACCAATAAAAAATAAGAAAATGTTATAGAAACAAATGACATACAAAATCGGCACGTTCTATTTGTATATTAAAATTAAAATACACTTCGTTAAGATTATGAAAAAGGCCAGGAACTTTCCCCGTAATATAGATTACATTTTCTTCAAATTTCAGCCAATTCAAGCTTCAATTTTGAAAGTAACTTATATAAACGCTTATAACAACTGAGTATAGGTTATATTTAAATTGCCATTCCATTTTTTTTAATAATTTCTTTAAATATGTCTTAGTTAAAATTTCTCCTGTTCATAAATATTTTGCTACAATACCGGAAGCTGGTTCCTTTGTATACTGGCCAGTGAAGTACTTTACGTATGTTATGGTTTACTTCAAAGCCGGTATGTAAAATAATTATTTTACTTACAAATTATACAAATATATGCATCCTGCACAGCTTCTCGTCGCTACAATTATTGAGCTTTTAGACGGTCGTGTCTTATATGATCGACATAAAAGAGCAGATTTATATGTATGTGAGTGAGGATAACAATACTTGAGAAATTATTTTGTAAACTACACAGTATAATTTAGATATTCAGGGACTTTTTTGATTAAGGTCCAGATAGTAGAGGAAAATTCATTTGTAGAACTATCGGCGGGCTGTGTGTGAATTGAACATATTTTGAATAGATTTATGTAAGATTTTTATGAGATTGAACTTAAAGTTTAAAATTGTACGAGTCGTAATATCCATTCATAAGTTATTGTATTAATGATGTCCATACTCGATTGCCAAGTTATCTGACATATCTTTATGACTACATAATTTTATATATAGATATACTTTAACCAGCATCAAAGTATATTAACCTTTCAACAGAGCCCTCATCTAACAAAACACGCTAACAATGTTTATATTACACGTTGATGTCTATTTTTCTTAAACTTTATTAGCTAACATTGAAAAACGCTGTCATAAAATCTTTTACGGACAGGTTAATTTGCGAACGTATTATTTGACTAGTTTTGAATTTAGAAGGTCTATTTTAAAATAGTTTGCATTCTTTTTTTAACTTAGAATATATAATACTATTATAATCTATGGTTACGTTTAGATATTGTATATTGTTTATCTGTAATGTTACATTCCAAGTTACATCTAATTTGACATGAACATTTTTTATTATTAATAATACAATAACCTTGAAAAATAAGCGCATCTTGACGGGCATATTTACATTAAAAGATTCTATGAATTCAGAATCTTGACCGGATATAATTTTTCAATAAGTTTCCTGCTGTCGCCTTATGTAATGACAAGACTATTACTGCTAATTTTAAACTTCCCCAGTGTCTTATAGACATCTCCTGGATTTCTGAATACATAACTGTTTATGCGACTTCAAACAAATGAGGCAAGAGAAAAATATTTTTTTCAATGGTATAATAAACATAAAAATATAAGGCATCTTAAGACATTCCCAAAAACAATATTTAATACAAATTTAATCTGTGTCTGTGTGTGCCGCAATTTCTTTAATTAAGATTATTCTATCGTAATGAGGTGACAATTGTCAAAATCACCAAGCAGTTTTCGTGGTTTAATTACAGCTGTAAATAGCTTCATCAAACGCACGAATACGAGCACCGAATGGCCCAATCTCGTTAGAATTCCACATGACTTGCCAACTCCATATTGTTTACTTCACGCATTATATCAAGGTTAAATATTTTTTATCATTCCGCGGAAGCGCCATCATTTTTGAATTACGAAAATAACCTTTCTCTACTTTACATCTGTTGTATAATTATTACAACTGTTATATGTGAACGATGAATGTACATTGAAGACGTTTAACGGCCGCTTTTTACAGTCAGTCCCAATCCAATTTTTACTACTAGAGACTGATATTTAAATCCATTTCTCATAAGCTTCTTTTCAATAACCGATCGATGGATCAATAGTCAATCTGTTTTTATAAGCCCATCTTTGGGAGGACCGATCGGTATTTTTG